ACCGAGACTTAAGTAGTGAACGTCAAATATATTTTTTTTTTACGGACATGTTTAGTTCAGGTCAGTTATGTTGTCACACCGGTTCACTGTTACCTGTTGGACGCCTTCTGTTCATCTCAGGTAGACGATTCATGCAATTACGCTTTTTATTTTATTTTATTTATAGGGAAGTGAAAATGACCTCACCTGCCGGAGCCAATCTAAGTTCATTGAACGGACACACACACACACACAACTTTGAACCCGAAATAACCTAACCTAACCACATGAGTTCATCACCGGGATCAGTAATAGTGAACATAATCCTCTATGCTGTTGACTTGTTTATGCCGGAAGTATACACGTAAGGAACAAGACCTGTACCTGACCAACCAACCAGCCAATCACGACCTGCCATGTTGCACGTAAACAAATGACTAAAAACAGCGTAATATTTCTTCCCCCAACCCAACCTAACCTAATTTAACATAACAAAGCCTAATATAACCTAACATAACCCCACCCAATCCAACCTAACCTAACATAACCTACCCAATCCAGTCTAACCTAACCTAACCTAACCCAGTGCAACTTAACCAAATGCAGACTAACTTAACCTAACCCTAACCGCTTCATATGGTGGTAGGGGATAACGTTACAATAATCGGAATATTAAGAGGAGGAGGATCAGGCAGGCTGTTGAGGCTGACTTACTCACCCGAGAGATGGCGCCAGGAAGACTATGACGAGTGTGTGTGTTTACCTTTTCTCTATGTCCTTATTTACTTTACATTATCCTCTTCGTTAACTTTATCCTTATCGTCACAAGTTAGCGGATTTAGTTGATTTTACACGCTCTATTTCCTGTGAACTGTCACTGAGCAAGAGACCAACCAAAAAAAAGTATTAGTCATGACGCGACAAGAAGGCAGCAACATATTTTCTTTTGGCGTTGCTCGGTCAATCGCTTTTTTTTTTCTTTTCTTTTTCCTTTTCATCTTTAAAGACCAGTTTTTGTGGCCGCCTTCCCCCCCACAGGGAGTCATCACCACCAGTATGGTTTTTACCTAATCCCCTCCCCTCTCTCTCCCTCACCTCTCACCCACCACAAATGAGTGCTTTTCGTAACTCAAATGCCCTCGAAGCAACGAAAGTGCTCGAGTCATCCAAAAACTATTACCAGTAGACAGTACCCATGATCTGCCAGCTGTGACCTCAATGTTGCTGAGGTAGTGAGGTGTACTGTACTCAGAATATAAGACGGTTAATAAAAATCCATTTTCTCTACCATGTTGAACGTAAATGTGTCGTTCCAGCTCAGCTAACACACTTGAATGCGTTCTTTGACATGAATCCCCACAGGAAGCGATCTGAATGCCCTGTTTTCTCTCTCACTAAACCGTGGGTAGTTTTTAAAGGAATCTGTTGAAATATTTAGTTCAGAGCAGACACCCAGACAGACACACTGTATTTGTCTGTTGCAATACGGAGTAACACTGCACAGTAGAAATTAAATTATGATCTTTATATTTTTCCAATAAAGAATACATATATTTATACATGCATACATACATTTATATACTGTACATACATTATTACAAACAACATAATCCCTAATTTGAACAAAAAATATCAGTTTTAAGGTTTAATGTGATACAGTGTTGACTAACGGTAGATGTGAAAGTCTGAGTGTGAACTGTTGGCGACAAATACCGTCTCTATGTAGTTGACGTTGGAGGCATTTGTCTCAGCCTCTTTACAGTAATTAATGTATATTCCTTCCAGTAATGTTGTTGAGTATAGCTTATATTTGTCTAAAGCTATATAGACGAGCTTCCCGTGATCGTCCTCTCATCTCACGAAGCCTAGTTATAAGCGGTATCCTTTCAACCAGTCAAAATTCTCTAGGTTAAGCCTCCTGAAATGCGAAAACGAACCATACAATCTAAACCAACAAGACGAACTGTATTAACAACACTTGAGGTTATTGAAGATTCCCAATCAATTTCATTTTTATCCCTTTTTAATGTATAACAAAATACAGGTACAAAAGCTGACAGTAGGAACACGTTATGCGACACACTTGTACCTGCCCAGTCGACCAGTGAGTGTTTATGGCTGTGAGGAATGACTCGACAACCCTGAGATTATTTAGTATCGTGAAGTATATTGCATTTCTCACCTCCATTGTCTATATACATATTGAATTGCATACCTTTACATACAGTATAAGCTGAATCACTGTAAACTTGTATAAGGATTTTACTGAATATATCTCCCTTTCTATATCTCTATCCATTCATCTATCTATCTATCACAAGTTACAACATAACACAGCTAAAGAACTCGGCTCCCTTCATCACCACCAAAGGCTCATCTTAACGTTCTATTTAGGTATAAGTAGACATGGCATTGTTTACAAAAAATAAATCCCTCGTAAAGTTCATCCACCCGAGTCTCCGAACTGCTTTACTTCCTACAGCTGGTATTGTGGTGTCTGGTTTTGTTTCGTTACAGTTCTGAACAGGAGGATGGTGGAGCTCGTGTTTGTGACTACCTTCTGGAGTCAGTGGTGATGGGCAGGGCTTGAGGACCAACTTCTGTACGTTCCGACTGATTATTTATTTCTGCCAACACGTAGTCCTCATTACAATATGGTTAAGGAGACTGAACTACCCGAGACAATTAAAAACAGGTCCCCTACAGCAGCCTCCAGTCGTCCTAACTCTCAGTTACAAACTTTCCAGGAAAACCTTTCACCTTTTAACCTGTTGTTGGCAGCGGCACTAAGGAAGAGTTTGAACCTTTGCATAAAAAAAAATGGTCTTGGCAGCTAGTTCGCCGGTACAGTACTAAGACAACCTACCCTGCACACACACACACACACACAGACGAAGATATTACGAAAAAATAATAAATAGTTCCCTGAGAGCCGTCATGCAGGCCCAGACGTGGTGTGGGCGCGGTGATCCATGGGGAAATTATTTATTCCTGGGCGAGGCTTGAGGGCAGGCGGGTTGACCTGATTTGTTGATATAATTCATAGCCTAACCTGACCAGTGTATTTGTCAAGGTAATTCCGTAATATCTCTTCCACATACACTCGAATACTGACTCAAGTTTTCGCTATGTTCGTGGAGCATAATGGTTGGTCACGAGTAGGTTACTCAACTCTTGTTTTGTTTACCTCAATGAAGGCGGAAGGTGAGGGCTCGGGGTTCTTAGCCGCCTCACGTCTCAACATAACTGCTAAATTTATACAACCAGAAAAAAATACATTATTAGTTTACTTCTTGTATGTTTAAGACTGTGAGTTGCTGGAGTACCGACACCAGCAAGAGTACCACAGGCGTCGGGGTGCATAGGTCGCTTAACTCTGCCTTGGGGAGCGCTGGCTACATTATTTATAGATGAAGTGTTCAGTTCAGACGTCCCCCTCCGCCTAACCCCGGTTCTGGCGTTCATGGGTACAGGAAATGAGTCAACTATGGACAGTGTTATAACGTGGTGACTGTAGACCCGACCTGTTCTGAAATGTCTTGTCTGAAATTAACTCAAATAAAATTTTCTCGGGAGGAAACAGCTGGAGTAGAGAGAGAGGGTGACTTACCTAACCGTGTGTAACAGGGTGGTGACGGTGCGCAGCCTCGCCATGACCCCCACCTGGTGTGTGTGTGTGTGTCTCAAGGCCACACTTACCTCCTGCCACCCTCATTACCTAGGTTGGGTTAGTTTAAGTTATGTTAGGTTAGGTTAGGATTAAGGTGGTTAATCTTTAGGTGAAATAATCTAGGGTATGAAATTAATACTCACTTATCATGTTTCTTCTAAGTTACCATTAAATATTATAATCATATCCAAGCATAACTATCACCTAAGTGTTTCCATAGTCAGTTTGTTATACACCTCACAGCAATTTTTACACTCGTCAAATACTGGAAGGATATTACAGGAATTATATTGGTCTAAGTGCCATATTGGTCTAAGTCCCACATTGTTTTAAGTGCCATATTGGTATTTTTTTCCGTGTAATATTCAGCTGTCATGTGCGAACGCCTCGTGTAGGTGTAGCATAATAATTACTCAGCAATATTCGGTAACAATTGAGCGAGGTGCGCCAGACATATTGCTGTTGTTATTTTTGTTGTCCTACATAATTTGGTATTCTAAAGTTTCTTGTTTTGCTTTACTTTTATACAATAATTTTGGGTCTACGGTAGTCAGAGTAAGTAACACTATCGAGGGCAGTATACCCCCGACGAGGACAATAAACCCCCGAGGACAGTATACCACTACGAGGACAGTATACCCCTACGAGGACAGCATACCCCTACGAGGACAGTATACCCCCACGAGGACAGCATACCCCCCTCCCCCATGAGGACAATGTTCAGAAAAAGACACCCGCACAGTCCGCCAGGTGGGAGCCGGCCCGCTGAGCCACACACACTAACCGCAGAACCTTAGTGTGAAGGATCCTCGCTTTATCAAATCGAATAACCGTGGCGACAGTGACAGTCAGTATAAATGTTTGTAATGTATTGAGGAATTTCACCATATTTATCTCGAAGAACATAATTGGACAACCCACATATTGCAAAATTCCGGGGGGAAATATTAAAGATTTGTATTTAACAAGTCATGGTTAATCCTTGAAAAATTTATTATATTGTATGTGGATTATGGTAATTAGTGAATAAAAAAATATATACAGTACTGTATATGATAAAACAGGACTTCGTTACCTTTACAACATGCGGTCGTGAAAATTCTTTTGCTTGATTTAGCAGGACAAGTAAAAGCAGTAATAACTATATGTGCTATGCCGAGGCTCTGGAATGGAGGTAAATTAAACTAATTTATTGACAGTGACAGTAGACATCCAGTTTGGTTTTAAGTCGATGGTATGTGTCAGAAATTTCTTAAACTGCGACAGGTTAAAGGAAATCGAGGGTTAAACTAGACACGAAGAGGGCTCGAGGTATGTTTTCCTTCAAGTTTCTTTACGTTTTCCTCCCCAGGATTGTGTCAGCCATGATCCACCACGCCCTGCTCCTGGCGTCTATGTGGACGTGGGCGTATGCGGCCAAGGTGGACTCTTGCGCCCTCCAAATAGTACGTGGAGTCAAGCGGCACACCTCCCACCGTCAGGCGCTCTTCACTAACGTGGTCAACGTCCCGTGAGTGTTATAAACATTGACTTATAACGTGTGTGCCACGGACGTTTGATTTGGGCCAGGGTAGTTAGGACCTGACCTGACCTGACCTAACCAGACTGGCTGTGACGGTGTGTTGGCGAGATATTCACTATCCTCAGTACAGTACTTGATAACATGGACGCTCCCTTAGAAGCTAACCCAATAGAAATCACGTGATTAATTTATTTTGGTTTTAACAGGTTGCCGGGCACGGTGTGTATAACCTACGCCGATGTTGAAGCTGCTCTGTTCACCGCTTCTTCACGAATAGGTAAACGATCCATTAAAACTGTCAAAGTCACATGTAAGAGTGATTTAATTTTACATTATTAACATGTATGCAGGCATGAACTGTTTGTTTATATTTGATAGTGAGAGTTGCAATAGTTTGATCCGACTTTACAGAATTTCTGCTTTAGTTAACCCTAAAATAATAATGACTAAAACATTAAATCAAGATTCGAGTTATATTCATTGACCTTCATTCAGCAGTACAGTACACACTCCAAAAAGTATCTTAACGGTTCAGTGTGAGACAATATGACAACGGACGAAGGTTTTTGACAACCCTACCGAGACAACAGGAGTCATAGTGTTCATTATGGAAGTCATCGAACCTTTCCGTAAAGATACTTTTCTGGAGAGAGTGAATATAAAAATACAAGTCAGAAAAATTTCATCTGATGTACTAAATTACTTTGTTATGACTTAAAGTTTTTCAATGTCTGTCTGTCTGTCAGCTGTGAATCCCTCCAAGGGAGAAATCATGCCGGAAGAGATAGCCCCCATTGGAGAGATGCTCCTCGAAGCCTCTAGCATCCTCGCCACCCAGTAAGTCCTCCTTGACTCTTGTTGCTACCATGCATATCACTGGTCTGTGTAGAACGTCTGCAGCCAATCACAGCCTTCCTTATATGACCTGCCGTTCAGTTGACGTCTAAATGTATACAATAAGTTAAGGCGAACAGAGTTAAATTACGAAGTGGTTCAACTTACAGTATATACGGTGAAACTTCGATAAAACGCACTTCTCTCTCCATATACAGTAGTCCGTTAAATAGAAGTTTCGCTGTATTTTTTTCTGGCAATACTCTTTTCCCCATAAGGTTTTCAAGTTGTACACAAGTGACCTTATCATACACCACAAGAGGATCGTATGTGAGGTGCAAAATGAACTGGTGACCATGGTAGTGTTTTCACAAGCTCTGTATGACTATTATTTTGTGTATTTTTTAAGATTATTACGGGTATTTTAAGTTGTAATATATCCTCTAAATACTGTAGAATTTTGACACTGAAGATTATAGAAAGGATAGTTAGGCTTTATAGTGAAGCTTCCTGTGAGATGTTGCCGAGCTCAAGTGACGTCACGTAATGGACCCAGATCTTTTTGTTTATTTCTAGAGAAAAACTTTCTTCTGCTAAAAACTTTATTATGAATAAGATTTTTATTGTTTCATCTAGTCTGTGGAACATAACAACAGCACTACAAAGTTATGACGGGACTGCAGTTGACGTTGAAGTCCGGAGGAATGACGCTTCACGGAAATTGACCTAAAACCAAATATTTCCTTTGTCTGAGAGAATCTTAGACGAGTCAAGCACCTGACAGTCACCTTAACATAGCTCACCACAATGAACTCTTTTATTTATATCACTGGAGGAAGGGAGTGGAGATGTGTGGCAAGCTGTGCTTTGCAAGAATTTAAGTAACTAACACGATAAGCCTCCACCACTACACACCAACTAAGTGATACCTACTGCCGTTAATGTATCTTTATGTTACTATAAAAACCTTTAGCCTCAGTGTGTTCTTAGACAATGGCATAAAATGTGTTACTCGGTGGCTAAGCACACAAGCAGGCACGTCATAAAATGTGGGTTTTTTTGTGAGCGCTATCTGTCGCTTACTTAGCTCAAATGCGCTAGAAGTATGTTGCTGTGGCCTTGAGTCTAAGGGTTATCTCACTAGTGTGCTATTAGCTATGTTCTCTGTGTTGTTCAAGTACATCTTCATCCTCCATCAACCCTGTTCATCTGCATTACTCTACCGTTTTTTACATTACCGTAACTTTAAGAAGTCATAAGGCGGGTTTAAATTTAAAACTATAGTATTTGGAAGACCTGTGTGTGTGTGTGTGTGTGTGTGTGTGTGTGTGTGTGTGTGTGTGTAAATAAGACGTTTTCAGTGTGTTTGGGGTTGAAAGTCAGTGCCAAGACAAATTTGAAATCCTGAACTTACACAGGAACACACATACACTATCACACAGGTTAAAAAACATTATAGTTTTAGCCTAGCCTAACCTACAACATGCAGCTCTACATTTTGAAAGTATACAAAGACACTCGCAACACAAAATGACTCGCTCATTCTCTCTCACAATGGCTCAGTGTGAAAAGCCTAACAGCGTCACATTACAAAAGTTAGTTGTTGCTGCACTTCGTCTTGTGTCGCCAGGGGGTGTTGGGTGGGGGAGGCTGAGGCTGGCTGCTGTGTGAACGACCTTGTTACCACGAGCACCCACACATACCTCACCTGTGGTTATTGCCGTGGTTACTCTCTCTCTCTCTCTCTCTCTTATACACACGGAAGTACTGACACCTTGACACCACAACACGTGTGGATGAGTTGTCAAGTATGTGATGAATTGTACAGTGTCTGGGTCACAACTTAAGTGCATGTCATTGTTGTCAATATGCATGACGGGGTGTATGTATATATCAATCAATAAATCAACAAATCCATCAACATATCTATCTATCTATCTATCTATCTATCAATCGACTGACAGAAACAGTTACAAGAACAAAACGGCCCAGAAACAATACAATGGGCCATTACCTGATCACAAAATGGTCTTTTTTTACACGAATGTCACACTTGATTTTTTCCTCAGTTCTTGCTATACTCGCTGTAGTGTTTAGTAAGTAAATGCGTGCAGGGGGGGGCTGTAGTGTGTGTGTGTGTGTGTGTGGACGATCGGAATGTCTGCTACCATAACTAAAGCGTCCACTATATGTATGTATGCATGTATGTATGTACCGAAAAGGACAGACAGTCACTCAACTCGGTGACCAGTGTAAACAGGACATCAGTTTAGAGCTGAAGACACAATAACTAATGTTTTGGCTTGGCAATAAAACTAACATAGTGTATGCTTGTTATTTCTGATGCTCTGGATATAACGCACAAGGTGAGTACGTGAGTCACCTTCGTTCTGCCGTTAGAAATGTTTGTGTGTGTGTTAGTGATTAGAGAGAGAGAGAGAGAGAGAGAGAGAGTGAGAGAGAGGTTATGTTCCAACTACAGATCCGTACAATAAACAACAAATGAACAATGACACAAACAGCTTCGCATCAGAACAGTTGACACGATAAAACCTAACCTAACCTAACTGGTGATGGGTGTCCATTTCTATTACCCTGCGATAAATTTTATAATACTTGTGGGGAAAATTCTATACGAGAACACAGAGACACACGGCTTTAGTGTAACAAGACATTGGGAGATAATGTCTTACCTAAGTTCGTAATGGAAACACGAGGATCAAGTCACGTATAAACCTCATAATGACAGATAATGAGTAATTGGCATCACAACTAGAGCAATAATAATCTCCCTTGAGCAAGTGTTCATTGCATCAATACACCTTTTGTTTTACAGTCGTGAGAAGTATGTGCCAAAACATTACGTCTTAACCTAATTTATGTACTGTACATTCCAAATATCGCAATTATCGCAGAATAAAGCCATCATTACATTATTTATTGGTTTTGTTGTAAATAATTGCATTTTTCACCGACGCTGTTATTATCGGTTCCAAGCGACGACACGGGCGACTACCGTAGAAATATCTAGCGTTCTTTGTACACAGATCTGTTATGGTTCTTAATGAAGCTAAACGAGAATTTCATTGATTCAGAAAAAAAAGTTTAAGAAGAAACATTTCTAATCAGAAATAATGGCAAACTTTCTGTCCTGGCCAGGTACGGACTGACGGCGTCGGAACTGTTTCACAACCTTCCCCTGGTGGACATGACTAAGACATCAGCAACCAAAGTGTGTCCTCGCTTCGCCTTGCCCATGACCTGCACCCCAGGCAAGTTCCGGCGGTACGACGGCCTCTGCAACAACCTCCACAGTCCCACCTGGGGCGCCATCAATTCTGTCTTCTCCAGGTAAATTGCATTTTAACTTGTTTATTCAGTTCTTGTTTTCGCGTGTCTTCACTGTACATCACTCGCCCTCCCCGGGTCGCCAGTAAACTACCAAGGTCATGTCCTAATATCACCAGCCGACTCTGCTCCTTCCGGCAGGTTCCTCCCGCCAGACTACAGTGACGGTATCGGCAGCCCGCGACTGGCTCGGGACGGTCACCAGCTGCCCAACCCGCGAATCGTGTCTTCTATGATCCACCGCGACGACGGCTTCCACGACCACGCCGCCACCCTCTTGCTGGTGTCTTGGGGGCAGCTGATGGACCACGACTTTACTCTCACCGCTACCCCTCTAGGTACACCCATCCCCCCTCTTCTAGGCACTTCCCTCACTCCTACACCTTTTATGTAAGTACCCCATACACACTCATTAAATAACTCACAATTAACTTATAGTGTATAAGGCACCTCACTGACACACGTAAGGCAAAACTCACTGGAGGCCTCCAAGCTCACCTTCCTTCCAGGGCCGGGTTAAGACTTTCGTAGGCCTTAGGCACCTCCAAGATATGGGGCCCCATTTGACAGCATATTCACTAATAACACAAGCTAGTACCTAATTATAAAATGTGATGTCGAAAGAATAAGATTCAGTGATGTTTGCCATGAATTGAGTAAAAGAAAATGGGTGTGATCAGGTGTTCTTGTACAGTACAGAAAAAGTTTTGTTTACAAGAAGCACAGCTAGCTGGCGGACACTAATAGGATTAAGTAATAAATAAATGGAAAAAAGTACCTCAGTATCAATTTAATAATAACCTGTAGAAAAAGGGAAAGAAAAGTTCTCGTTATATTTTCGTAGGCCCTAGGCACTGTGCCTACTGCGCCTAATGGATAATCCGGGCCTGCTTCCTTCACCCCTCACAGAATATCACTTCAACTACCTCGCTGTTACCTAACTTTCTGCTCTACCATAAACAGTTTTCTTCTACCCTGGCTGTTGTTAATGTAAGGTTCATATAACATACCCAAAGTTCTGCAAGATTAATGGAAATATGTTTTTAGCCAGTAGTCATTTAGACATTCCGTATGGTGTAGCCAGCTAGTAAGGTCTGATCCATCAATCTCAACCATTAACCACCACTAACCTGGGTGCTGTGTGTCCACCTCAACAGACCCGCGGAACAAGAACGAAATTGAGGAGTGTTGCAACCGACCCCCGGCCCTCAAGAACCCTTACTGCTTCGAGATCAACATCCCCCATGACGACCCCTTCTATAGGCTCTTCAAGTTCACCTGTATCGACTTCGCCAGAGGCTTCCCAGGCGTCCAACAGAACTGTAGACTGGGTGAGAAAGTAAACATGCTGGGTTTTTCTACCTTCCGGTGTACCTTAGTGAGATTATCTAATGTCAAAATATAAGCATTAAAAGGCTGCAGAATCTGTTAGGGGTTCAAAGACAGTAAACTATGTTTATAAAGGACATTTTGAGGTCAGTATATTTCTTACCTGTTAGCGTCTGGAGGCTGAAACTGTTCACATGAACAAGATACGAGTATATCATCTCCTGCAGGTCCGCGCACACAGTTCAATTTGCTGACCAGCGTCATCGACGGCAACACAGTGTATGGCGGCAACGAGAGAGCAGCCAGGTGAATCCACAAGTTTTCATCCTTACCACTTCCAGAGTCACCTAAAAGTGGTGCTTTCATTGTTTACAGAAGCATTTTAACACTATATCAACATACAGTATTCATAAAATAAAAACTCCTTTGTAATCAACTATCAAAAAATAATCAGGTTCATTTTCTTCAAGGAAATTAAAAATAATTAAGTCCCACAGGTCTCCAGGAGTTACCAAGGGTCAGGGAAACTAGTTCTGGACCTTAACTTAGTCCTGAGGCCCCATAACGTCTGTATTAACCGTGTGTATGTGTGTGTATTGGTCAGAGAGCTGAGGTCTGGTGTAGGGGGCCTCATGCGTACACACGACGGTTTCCCCGGAATGCCTCTCAAGTCGCTCCTCCCCCTCAAGACGGACATACCCGACGAAGGCTGCATACGAGGCTCAGGCTCCCAGAGGTGTTTCCTGGCAGGTGAGTGGCGGGTCATGATGGTGGTGGTGCTGACAGTTGTAATGCTAATGGTAGTGATGATGATGGTGGTTTATAATAAGAGTTGATAGTGGTGTGGTGTTGGTGCTGACAGTTGTAATGCTAATGGTAGTGATGATGATGGTGGTTTATAATAAGAGTTGATAGTGGTGTGGTGTTGGTGCTGACAGTTGTAATGCTAATGGTAGTGATGATGATGGTGGTTTATAATAAGAGTTGATAGTGGTGTGGTGTTGGTGCTGACAGTTGTAATGCTAATGGTAGTGATAATGATGGTGGTTTATAATAAGAGTTGATAGTGGTGTGGTGTTGGTGCTGACAGTTGTAATGCTAATGGTAGTGATGATGATGGTGGTTTATAATAAGAGTTGATAGTGGTGTGGTGTTGGTGCTGACAGTTGTAATGCTAATGGTAGTGATAATGATGGTGGTTTATAATAAGAGTTGATAGTGGTGTGGTGTTGGTGCTGACAGTTGTAATGCTAATGGTAGTGATAATGATGGTGGTTTATAATAAGAGTTGATAGTGGTGTGGTGTTGGTGCTGTTACGAGTTGGGGATTTAGAATATAGTTATACGTCTACCCAGATCCCAACAGGTAACAACAACAACAAAAACAAAGACAATCGGACTATAAAAGGGTAGACAAAGGATGCGAGTTTTCGTTGCGTATAATAAAGTACCATAAATCCCTTAACAAAATATTCAGCTTATAAATTACCCTTAACCAAACTTAACCTAAACATTAACAGTATATACATATTAATACAACATAAACAATTTTGAAGCAAGTGGACGTGGGGGAGGCAATACAAGATACAAGTACTTAAGTGAGGAGCTGAGATGGCTGACGAGTAAGGCTGAGTATTGTAGAAGACGGTAGGTAGTCACTGTCCGTAGGTTTAGAGGATAGATGATCCTGTGGTCACTTCCCAGAGCCAAGTCCTCTCTCCTCGAATTGGAGCTGACAAATAAGACTTTGAGGAGGTGACGCAACAACCAGGATATGGAGAAGGGAAACCCCGGAGTGGTAACTAAGACGAGTCATACTCGTGTCTCGTCCCTAGATGGCGTTGCTTGTGGTGCTGGGTAGGTAGATCAGGACAATAGATGGCGTGGTTCGTAGTGCTGGGTGGAGGGGTTCGTAACAGTGCTGACAGTTGTAATGCTAATGGTAGTGATGATGATGGTGGTTTATAATAAGAGTTGATAGTGGTGTGGTGTTGGTGCTGACAGTTGTAATGCTAATGGTAGTGATGATGATGGTGGTTTATAATAAGAGTTGATAGTGGTGTGGTGGTGGTGCTGACAGTTGTAATGCTAATGGTAGTGATGATGATGGTGGTTTATAATAAGAGTTGATAGTGGTGTGGTGTTGGTGCTGACAGTTGTAATGCTAATGGTAGTGATAATGATGGTGGTTTATAATAAGAGTTGATAGTGGTGTGGTGTTGGTGCTGACAGTTGTAATGCTAATGGTAGTGATGATGATGGTGGTGGTTTATAATAAGAGTTGATAGTGGTGTGGTGTTGGTGGTGGTTGTTGTGGCGCCAATGGTAGTGATGAATATAACTGACGATTCTAATGGCTGCTGTTAATGGTTTCACTGAGGATATACTGCTTGTATTTGGGTGCCACTGTGGTGCCCATGGATACTAACAATTGCGTCAGTGGAAGGGTAGAAGGAGGTTGAACCATTAAGTAAAGGTGAAATGATTGGTATTGTTTGTTTTTTTTCAGGCGAGATCCGGGTTAATGAGCAACTGATCCTCACCTGCTCCCACATCTTGTTAATGAGAGAACACAACCGCTTGGCCATGGATCTTGGCTCTCTCAACCCGCACTGGGATGACGAGAGGTTATACCAGGTAGGTGTGTGTGTGTGGTGGGTAGTGATATAAATGATATGCTTAAACTTGCTATACCACACACACCCGATAACCGAGCTTCCCGTCTCCCTCGCTAAACCTCCTCCATCACACAGTTAAGGGCCTCACAACACACCCGATAACCTAACTTCCCGTCTCCCTCGTTAAACCTCCATCACACAGTTAAGGGCCTCACAACACACCCGATAACCTAGCTTCCCATCTCCCCTCTAAACCTCCTCCATCACACAGTTAAGGGCCTCACAACACACCCGATAACCTAACTTCCCGTCTCCCTCGCTAAACCTCCTCCATCACACAGTTAAGGGCCTCACAACACACCCGATAACCTAGCTTCCCATCTCCCTCGCTAAACCTCCTCCATCACACAGTTAAGGGCCTCACAACACACCCGATAACCTAACTTCCCGTCTCCCTCGCTAAACCTCCTCCATCACACAGTTAAGGGCCTCGCATGTAATCAACTCTGGGAATTCACAATAACACTTCCCATCTTGCATTTCATATAGAGTTGACTACCTAACCTAATCTAACCTAAACATGGAAAGGGTGGTATTAATTACATCTCTGATCTCTGTGTTTAGGAAGTTCGTAGGATAATCGCTGCTCAGATTCAGCATATCACCTACAATGAGTTCCTGCCACAGCTGTTGGGTCGAGAAGTGATGGAGCAATTCGGTCTCCTGTTGCAGAAAGAGGTAATTAGGTGCCTTGACGTACATGTTGAAGCTGCTTGTAAGAAAATAAACAGTAATAAAAATAACACGCTCATGGGTTAGTCCTATATATTAACCTAAAACAGTAAACGTAAACTGTTCTTAATCAACAGTCAAAGCTAATAGAATAAAAGAAAGTTGTTATACCATGTTACTACTCGTATGGTGAAATATTTCCTTTTTTATACAGGTAATTTAATATTCTTTTGATGATCCAGATATGTTGATAACCGAGATATTTTACTTCTCTCTAATATTTATCTTTTTTTCTTCTGGTGCTCCTCCCATTCTCCTTCCTGTCTGTTTTCTGTCTTCTTCCTCATCTCATAAAATTTCTTCCTCTCGTCTCTCCTTTGGTATTTTTTTTCTCCCATTTTCTTTATAATTTCTTTCTCTACATCTCATTCTACCTCCTCTTCTTGTTTTCTTTCATATAAATATTTTCCTTTCGCCTCCTACATCCGATCCTCTGCCCGTGTTTTGCTTTATCTTGTTCCTCCTCCTCCTCCACCTTATCACAGGGTTACTGGGACGGCTATGACCCTAAGGTGGACCCAGGCATCTCTTCCTCCTTCTCTGCCGCCGCCTTTAGGTTCGGTCATTCCCTCCTGCCGTCCTCCGTAGAGCGCTGGAGCCCCTCTCATAAGTTCATAGGTGAGTATCCTGTCCTACCAGTTTTTCTCCCAAGGTAGGCACTGTACACTCAAGTAAACGCCTAATAAACTGGTTGGACTGAGCCACGGATGAAAGTGAAAATAATGCAGTTATTAAGTATCTAATTTGCAGAACTAAATGGACTGCAGCTTTTGTCGAGATAAGACCATCACCTCTGCTCCAAGTTGGGAGAAAATCAGAGGAACAATGGATATGTAACATGATAACGATCCTTAAACAAGAAAATAGAAATTATGCAAATTAGGTAGCTAATTTGTATACTGTAACAGCAATAACGTGGCAGATTTAGTTCTAGTTGACTGCCATCCGTGAACCAAATTTGACCAAAATCAATTCAACGATGGCTGAGTCATTGCACTAATGAGCCTGGACACACACACACACACACACACACCAGCCCACAAAATATGCGCTAATTAGAAAACTACAGCGAGAAAACATATTTAAAATAGTTACTCAGTTTGAATGGAGTCTGACGAATATTTCAAATGACATGAAAGAACTTACTCTTCTGGCAGTATGAAAAAACAAGTCACGTTACATCATAAACTCACTCCTAAAGCCTAGTAACATCCCATAAACACAAAGGTTTGGAATTCAAAGTGGCCAAACCCTTTTGACTGGTTAGCATTGATAGGAAATACCGAGATTTTGCATATGTTAATATCCAAGTACTACAGTAACTTAAATTCAAAATTGGACTCAAGCAAACACAAACACCAGATATAATATCCTCAGCGGCGGTCTAAACACAGAAGCGAAAAATAGATACATACAATTCCACAATAACGAGAAGAAAATATCCCCCCCAACCACACACACACACACGACACCAAATACTGTAATATATTCACATGTTTAAACAAAGTAACAAGATCATATATAATATTCTGAAAGATCTACTTACCAGAAACAGTCTCACTTCACTTATTCCAGCAACATTAAAAAGTAACTTGTCGTTACTTGTCGAAAGACTAGATAAACTATTTCTTGAGTCAGATTATGGCGGTCAATGTGTTTGTTTTCGTTATCATGTCACGGCAGGGAGCTACAGCAAACTACTACTTCCTCAAGTAATTGTAAAAAAAAAAATCGCATCACTATTGTACATAAATTCTCTTCTGTGGCTCATATCATTTCTCGTTCGTTTTCGTTATTATTAAGAGAAAATACATTTGCAGAAAATTACAATATATAATTTGCTTGCTTGATTCAGTCTCAGTATTACCAATATCGTCACTTTGGACTGACTCAAAAATAAAAATAAATAATTCAGATATTGCTGACCTCATAATTATGTCTTAGTCGGTCCTAACAGAGGGTATTGTACACACGGCCATGTTTTGGGAACCTATGTATGTGTGTGTGTGTGTGTGTAAACTAGACATTTATAGTGTCCTGGCATTAGTGTTGAGGATTTGTACCCTGTATATCTCCCCCAACACAATACCTATACACACTAATTAGAAACCCTCTTTATGCATTCACAATTTCTAAAAAAAAAATCATCGTTCCAAAAGTAAACCTCTGATATAAACGTTTAACTTGGAATGATAAATAAAAGCCGACTTTTATCCTACAGCTTCGCGACGTCTGCACGAATTGATCCGCCAGCCATACGACTTGCACCGTCCCGGGGTGTTGGACGAGTACATTATGGGCATGTTGAACCAGCCAAGCCAGGCCATGGACGACGGCATCACCCAGGAGGTAAGTGTTGCCACGACTCAACATCATTACTTTCTGTGATCACAATACAGTAGACTTACTGATTCACGTGACCTAATTTAACCTACGACTTATGTGAGATAACCTAATTTAACTTAACCTTTACTAATTCACGTGACCAGTTTTAACCTATGACTTATGTGATAACCTAAATTAATTAATCTTTACAAATTCTCATGACCTCATTTAACATAAGAATTATATGAGTTACGCTAATATAACCTTAACCTAATTCACATGACCAGTTTTCTATTTATGGCTTGTATAAGCTAACCTAACCAGTGTGAGCTTTGTTACTCAGTTGACCAGTGTAAACCCTGTGACTCACACCCCGTGCATCTTGTGCCCCAGGTCACTAATCATCTGTTTCGAGAGGAACATGAGAAGTTTGGCTTTGACCTGGTGGCCTTCAACATCCAGCGTGGTCGAGAGTTTGGAGTCCCGGGCTACGGTGCCTGGAGGTGAGTGAGACCCCCCCCCCCCTTAAAATAATCACAAGTTCTGTACTTATAAATTATAAAGTGAATAACTAGAAAAATTTTATGTCAGGCATTTTGTCTCATTACCTCACAGCTTAAAGATCAAATATTTTATCTGCATAATGTAGCGGTTGTATTTATAGTGTAATTATGATAGTTCTATAGCGGTATTTGTGTCGTGGCTGTCATATTGTGATTTAGTGGTAGTCTGAGTGGTGACGATTGAAGTGCTAATCACGGTAAGTTACTGTATTCTAATGATCTCGTCACCATCACAAGCTTCTTCCCTACAGGAGATACTGCGGCCTAGAACCCATCCTCTCCTTCCAAGCTCTCACCCACCTCATGTCCAACAACACTGCCTCCCTGTACGCTAGCATCTACAGGTATGGCGCCCTCGTGTACTGTCTATACGCTTCTGGGGTTATGATTCCCACTTGGCCAGTAAGTTACAATATTTCCTTTCAGTGGTTCTCGACCTCAGAAGTTGTGATCTTTCGGGTTTGTGGCCTTAAGTAGTTCTGGTCTTCAGGTTCAAGGGTTATAGGCTAAAGGAATTATGGATCTCAAAAGTTGTGCCCTTCAGGGAGAATAAAATTCAGGTTGTATCCTATAAAAGTTGTGGCCTTCAGGAGTTGTGACTCTCAGGTACCTTTAGGGGTTATAACCTGTAAAATTTGCGGCCTTCGGTGTTTGTAGCTTCAGAGTTGTGATCGTCAGTAGTTAAGTCTCTCGTCAGACGGGTCCGAGTAGCCTATTACTAAGGTGCTATTCTCTTTCGGTAATAGTATAGAGTAGATCCTCGTCTTAACGTTTTGCCTCATATAAATATAACTATTTCACGTCTAAAAATTGAGTTTGGAGGATTATTTTTACACAGCTTTATCCACAACAAAGTTATCGATGCTACTTGTGATCAGAATTTCAAAATACACCCTTTAAATTTTACCTCAGCGAATATGAAAAAAAAATAGAATCGATGACAGTAAGCACCTGATATTATGTGGGATATTATTATTATTATTATTATTATTAGTTATTATTATTATTATTATTATTATTCTGTGGTTCAGGTCGGTGGACGATATTGACTTGTGGAGTGCTGGGGTATCAGAACGGCCCCTACCCGGCTCCCTACTGGGTCCCATCTTCTCCTGCATTATTGCTACCCAGATGCAGCGACTCAGACAAGGCGACCGATACTGGTACGAGTTACCTGGTCAACCTTCCTCCTTCACCCTGGGTAAGTCCTCCACCAATCATCACCCCAGACAGGTCCTCCACCAATCACCACCCCAGACAGGTCCTCCACCAATCACCACCCCAGGCAGGTCCTCCACCAATCACCACCCTAGACAGGTCCTCCACCAATCACCACCCCAGCCAGGTCCAGGTCACCACCCCAGACCCTAGACAGGTCCTCCACCAATCACCACCCCAGGCAGGTCCTCCACCAATCACCACCCTAGACAGGTCCTCCACCAATCACCACCCCAGGCAGGTCCTCCACCAATCACCACCCTAGACAGGTCCTCCACCAATCACCACCCCGGCAGGTCCTCCACCAATCACCACCCCAGACCCTCCACCACCCCAGGCAGGTCCTCCACCAATCACCACCCTAGACAGGTCCTCCACCAATCACCACCCCAGGCAGGTCCTCCTCCAATCACCACCCTAGACAGGTCCTCCACCAATCACCACCCCGGACAGGTCCTCCACCAAGCACCACCTCACATAAAACTTCAACTAACCTTCGCCAGCGCATATTTATAACAACTTTCGTGAGTCATTCCCAATAATTCCTATTTCTGTTTCGACAATATAATCTAAACATTATGAAATATTTAATTGTACTCTTATCTCATCGAAATTGCGTCTGGTGTCAAGGTATTTATTTGTTTGACTGTACACAAATATCTTGCCAATGTCAAGTCAGGGGTTCAAAGTACACATGATACTGTATTGGAGTGTGTGTGTGTGTGTGTGTGTGTGTAAGAAACCGTTCATAAGTTTGTCTGTGAGCCTATAAATCACTCATGGTAACTTAGAATCCCTGAAGCGAACATTCAGGTGTGCTAAAGATACATACATGATGTATGGGTAATATGTATCCACCTAACACACCTGATTTCCTTAAAATAATCTTAGCTGCTAAACAAATCCATGACTGACTTGACTCTGGTTGTTTTCATATAGCTGCCATACCACCAAGAACCACACACCAAACACTACTACAGCTTTCCTCTTCTTGATTCTGGCTCATATTATTTTACAACTAAAACTAACAAACGTCAGCCTGAACACACACGACTGTCATCTACAGATCAGGGTCCTGTTACAGATTATGTATCCTATAAATGCTACGTAATTAACAAACACACGACAAGTTACACAAGTTCAGCTTCCCACTCCCTCATGAAAGCCACAAAAGTAACAAATGGCATCAGGCAAAACAATCACAGACCTCACATGTGTTACGTGCGCGTTAACTTCTTAATATAACCCTGTCGTGTCCCGTTACCCACAGCCCAGTTGGAGTCTCTAAGGAAGGTGCGTCTGGCGAGGCTTATCTGTGACAACGCTGACAACATAGAGACCCTACAGGTGTATCCTATGGTGCTGCAAGACCCGCGCATGTGAGTACAGTACACCTGCCACTACTACTACCGTACCCATTCAGACACACGTGAACTAAAATTAAACTTCTAACCTTGTGGGTTACCATGCCGGAGGGGTAAGAAAATTTGATACTTTCACTCTTCAGGAGATAAGCAAGAACTATAACGTTTATTCCCTTGCTGTGAGAGTATCAGGTACTTACACTATCTTACTCTTCTTTTAGCATTTTCGGGAAGGTCAAGACAACTCTCATCGTGTTCTTTTAAGACTGACAGGAATTTTATATACAATAATCTTATCGTGTAGATGCAAGTTTGGCAATAACTTACACTATACATCTTTGAAAAAAACATTGTTACTCTATAATATACCCTGCAATATAATATCTAAAAGAACGGTATTAACGTGTCAACTGATATGCTTACAATTAAATTAAGAATCTCATAAAAAATACCAGTGACAAATAAATTGTAGTGAATTACTTCAAAATCACTGCAGTGAAGAAATTTAAAGAAGAGTATCAGTAGTGAAGAAGAATTAAGATAGCATAAAACTGTATGAAAGTCAGATCGGTACAGATTTATTAACACGTCGTCCCAGCGAGGTGGAGATACCGGACTTGACCATTACTCGGTCATGGAAACTTGATGGGTCATCAGGGGGTTCAAAGTCGGCACGATGCCGTTTTAGGAACTAGTGTGTGTGTGAATAAAACCTTTATATAGGGGCGGATACAGGGTTTTCAAAAGGGGAGGTCCAAAAATGCGGGCATGTGTATTAAGTAGAAATAACTACGTCACACTGAAGTTGACATAAACTACTAAAAATATAAATTATAACCGAGAACAGAATATGTTGGTCTGGATCTGCTCTTGTTTAGTATGTCTATATAAATGTGTATACAGTATTGAACACGAATGGATCTTTTGTACGGAGGGGGTGCCACACATAAGATACTTTAAGATAATTTGTTGCAAGTTAATAAGAAAGGTGACTAACACGAGTTATATAAGAGTACGGATGAGATTGAGACAGAGATGGCATCACAGCCATGGGGGAGAGGGGGGGGGGTATTGGAGGGGAAAGTCTTGCCAGATTTAAAATATGGAGTCATGGCGGTGAACCAGACAGTCAAGGTTCTTATGATCAGTCAGTCCACTCGCCATTACTCACTCATTATAGAGGAACCAAGATCTCGTGTTCCTGTGTACTGTAATTGTGGATGGTGATGACAGGTGATGGTGTTGACTGGTGGTAGTGATGGTGTTGACTGGTGGTGGTAATGATGGTGTTGACTGATGGTAGTGGTGATAGTGTTGACTGGTGGTAGTGGTGTTGACTGGTGGTGGTGACGACTACAGGTGGTGGTTGTGATTGTGTTGACTGGTGGATGTGGTAGTGATGGTGACTTGTGACGTCATTTATGGTGCACGTGTGGTGGGGCCAAGTAACCTTTATTCACGGGTCAGGGAAGCAGAATATTATGAAGTATTTCATATTATTTAGGTCAGGAGGAAATTATGAAGTATTTTGATGTTAATTAGTATAGAAGAGACTTACAATAATTAATTAATGGCGGATGTGTTCATTATGCAGTGATTTTTTTTTAATGTTAGAGAATATATTATATAAATTACAGACTTGTGAGATGGAAAAGTGAAACCGTCTGAAAGTAAAAGTTGAAGACCGGTATTTGGATAAATATCTGACCAGGAATCGAGGCAAGATTTATGAGGCTAATGAGGATGGCGCCTGGTGCTTCTTATGATTCCTGGCCCCCTTGTCCGTTCTTTCTTTCCTCCTGTTGTTGTTGTTGTTGTTTTCTTTTTTCAGATGATGACTTTATTGGCAGCCCTTCTGTGATTTTGTTGTTGTTGGAATACCGGAAGTAACATTTTGAGGACTTGATATTGTTATGTACAGTACAACACAGTATTTAAAGGGGTACAAAATTAATGTACAGAAATTTGTTTATGCACAGTATTTCTCTATTAATGAAAATGAGTTGGGTATCATTTGGAGATAACAGAAGAACAAGTAGATATAAAGACAGAATAACTAATACTGTAGTGGTGGAGTCAATGCCTTCTACAGTACGAGACCTGATAAAGCCCATAACTACTGAAAATTTCAATTCTTTGCAACTATGAGCATGCTGGGTTATTACACTAAACTGAATTTGCTATAGTTTTTTTATCACTGTACTAACTCGAGCCTTTCCCCCCTCTGTTGCTGGTATGTGAAGTAACCCGCGGGTGTCGTGTAAGAGCGGTGTTATCCCCCGCATGGATCTGAGACCCTGGGCTGAACATCCTAAGTCCTCCATCCCACGACAACATGTTAGTATTCTGATATTGTTGCATATAATTCTAAAGGGTCTTTTTTCAGAGAAACCTACAGTGAAACTTCTTTAATTGACTACAGGAAAGGAAAGTCCGTTATATTGAGGGGTCCTTTAGATATGACCCCCACCCTATCTGCCAGATTATACGGAGAGAGAAGTCCGTTATATGACCCCCCACCCTACCCTATCTGGAAAGGAAAGTCCGATTATACCCCATCTGCCAGACGGAGAGAAGTCCGTTATATGAACCCCCCCACCCTACCCCATCTGCCAGATTATACGGAGAGAGAATATGACACCCTACCCTATCTGCCAGATTATACGGAGAGAGAAATCCGTTATATGGAGGTTTCACTGTAAATTATATATTTTAGTAAGTCCATATAAACAGTAATCATTTAGGGTTCTTGAATAGAAAAATGACCCCTGTATGACAAATGGTCTTTTTACTATATCCAGCAATGGGATTTGTATTCAGAGCAAGATTCCAGCTCTCTACTATAATGTTTCATTCATTCACAGTTGCACAATCTTCACACATGAAAGCTTTAACATACTGAACATATAATTTACTGAAGACTATTACTTGTTGAGGGTCTGGCCAACACATCTTGACACAGGCACCAACTTCCATTTTCTGTTTCAAGTAATGAAGTGTAAAGACAATATATAAACATGAAAGTACTGTAAAAAGAATAGTGAACAAGTGAAATTACAAAACACTACTATACCTGTACCCGAAAAATAGAAAAATTATGTAATTTTACTTTTTGTTTTGGTTACAGGTTATTATTAAATGCTCTTTTGAATGCTTACAATATACAATATTGATCGGTGTTTGATGATATATAAGACTACAGGGTACTGTTATTTTCTTATGTTTCCACACAGTAACACTAGTTAATAACATGTAGGTATTGATCATATTTTGTTAACTCTCCTAATAGTGTAATGTATTGTCCAATTTCTCTCATAGGTGTTGGCGAGGAACAGTGTGGTGCCCGGCATTCCCAGATCAGCCCAATCATTTTTCAGCGCAATTGGCCTTTTACACTGAACACATCTACCCCATACTATCCAGTGTTGTTAATATATCAAATATTTTATGATAAAAACATTCACTTTGGCTGATAACGTCCTGAAAACCATCAGCCAGTGGTAATGAACTCCAAAGATAAAAAACAACTGTTGGTTTTAGTCACTGAATCTCCAACATTATTTACCATGATACATGTGCATCTGTTCCCTACCTCCACCACATACCATTCATAACATAAGCAAAGTTCCAGGCATAGAATCTTTACTTTTAGTATTATTGTGACCATGAACAACAACTAAGAAGTATTGTACTGTACAGTATTAAGAATGGCTAAAGCAACAGAAGAAATACAAGAAAGTTTACAAAATAAGAATAATTAAATACATTGGCCATATTATTAGGGAGGGGGGGGGGATAATGGAAGGGATATTAATTGGTACAAGGGCAGGAGGGTCGGGGGAATATTGCATAAAAAGTTGGAGCAGCCGAGATACAATACAGTACAGTATCTAGAAAAGTCGTTTAACGTTTGGAATAGGCGGCCAAGGTCGCCAACCCACAGACATGAGTATGGCACTTTAGTTGATTGAGTGTAATGAACTGATACCAAAATAGTGATGTATTTGTTAGAATAAAGACAATATTTTCTCCTTTGTAGTATCTTTCATAAATTCTGTGCCTTGGTCAGTGTGTTAAATAGTCTCTCATCAAGTTTTAATGTTCCCTCTCACCAACAGATTAATTCATTAACCAACGAAAGTGATTTTCCAACCTTTGAATTTACAATGATTCAAGCTTTGATAGAGAGATTTTTAAAACTTGTTTAGAAGTTGTGACAAATTGAAACAGGCATCATACACATTACTGTCAGTCATCTTGTCTCTCACCTATCTTCAACTCTTATTAATACTATATATATATATATATATATATATATATATATATATATATATATATATATATATATATATATATATATATATATATACATATATATATATATATATATATATATATATATATATATATATATATATATATATATATATATATATATGCAAGTAAATCTGTATATATATGCTAGTGAGTACAGACTAGGTTAGTCTGTACTCACCCCTGAAGATGTGAATTACACGAAAGCGCTTGGGAACTTCGTGTTTTCTTCTTTCCTTGTGGTTATCAGCATATATATATATATATATATATATATATATATATATATATATATATATATATATATATATATATATATATATAATGTGTTGCGGTTGTGTAAATTTTCCAAATCTGAAGCAATTTCTGTAACCTCACTTTTAAATATATACAAGTTTATAACATTATTTACATCAGTGTAATGTTTCTTTTTTATTATAATTTCAAAATATATATTTAAAGTAATATTACTTTTAATACTCCTTTCACTATATGGACACGACACATAGCCTTGCAAAAGGATAATTTACCTGTGTTTCTGCTACTGAACTAAGCAGTTGACTTGTTATGTCCTGAGATTGGTGTCATCAACATCTTTCATTTTCTAAATAAAGAAAACTAAAGACATCAAGAACAGTTCAATACACGTACATCATCTTAACACGTTAAATGCTTCTCAGCATAACATGGAAAACATACAAAGATAAGTACAAATGTAGACCAGCAAGACAAAACAATAATAGAGTGGAAGAGTACAATGTCTATATGATTATCATGTACAGTACATACTCACATAAGATGCTTAAACACATCTGCCAGGCAATGCAAAAAGTAGAAAAATTTGGTGAATGGTGCTTAAAACTTTCAGGAATTGTTTAGTTTTGAAAAACATTTCTTTAAAATGAAACTGGGCTATTTGGATAATCTCTTGCTAAAAGATGATAATGAAACTTTTGCCATTTGTGAGATGATCAAGCTTCTCTAAAAACAGTACATAAACTTAAAAAGTGAAAAAGGTGTCCTATTATGCACAAGACATTCATTGGACATGTGAGAACCTGAGGTTTGCCAAAGGATTTTTGATAAGGCCAAATGTAAACAATGGTGATGACATTCTCCCGGTTGTGTGGTAGAGCCGGAGTCTTATTAAACATGCGTGTCAACTAAAGTCGTTAACTTTCTTCTTTTGCTGAAGGACAAATATCAATCATTAGCTATTTAAGTCTTATTGTAGTACATCAACAGACAATGAACATGTATTAGTTTTTGATCATTACAAACTTCCAAGAAACAGTTCATAGTTTTATTGGGATAAGGCACCAACTCCACGTGGGACAAAGTAAAGATTTATAAAGTAGACCCCTTACCATTCCTAAAGCTGTCATGCTTCTATACAATGGTCGTGTGTTTCAAGAACCTCAAGTATTATGAGGTAAATTCCATGAAGGTCTCTCTTCCATTATTTTTTCTTTGCAAGTCCTAGAAATGCTGAAAGCAAAGTTACTCTTACCTGCACCCTTAGATACTGTACTGCTGTCTCAGACACTTTGCTCTCTGCTAAATCAGCCTTTAATACCATAGCCTATACCTTTACTTGGTAACACCTGAAGCCCCCAGGCCATTCACAGCACCACTCATAAAACTAGTTACTGGATAACCTGGGAGTGATTGCTTATCCATACACTATCACCTGTACTTCCAAAGAGCATATACTTTTTCATCACAATGCTAAGTGTGTGTGTGTGTGAGCATACGTTCACACCAGGTACAGTAGCAGCAAGATCAAAAGGAATCCAACCTTGGCTTGTCAACCCCACCCCATCACTGACACGGAAGGGAGGTTTTTAGTTCTCTGCCAGTATAAACAGAGACAATGCTTGAAGTTCATAGGATGTGAACATATAAACTAATTTAATAAGATATCTTTAATTTTACCCAAGAATGTAACCAATGGGGTTGCCACAAGAGATTCATAGTAACCAATGCAGAGTTTACCATATCATTTCTTTATTTCACTGCCTGACATCACTTAAGTTATTGTGCTACAAACCCATGTCTCACTAGTTTTATTAAGCTTGAGTTGCAATATTCTATCAAACATGCTGCTCAAAACTTGGTAACTTGTAATATTTTCTCCCGAGTTTAAGCAATACTCCATTTCTTATGTATGGTATCTCAGCACAGTCCACTGTTCTTGAATATATCTATCTTCCATCTATCAAAGACAGTCCACTCCTAACTGAAACAGAAGTGGAATAAGTGCAACACCTCTCCAGGCATCACAATGTATCTATTCATCTCCAAATGTGAAGAAAAAAAGTCAGCCAAGCCTTCTACATTGTTTGGTTGGTTTACTACATCTGTATATTATGCACATTGATTACTAAACTCAATTCACCACACTCTTGTCTCCATTCAGTCTTCCACTTTCATATACAACTGTCTGTTCTGCATATTCTTGTCATACAACAGTGACAGTCCACCATTCCTTCCTATCTTTGTAATATAAATTTTCATTAAAATATTCACTCTCACACTGTACACCCATCCTCGAATCTTTTACAACACCTCTTGCACAACATGAATCTTAATACTGTATATAAATTACTGTCTTCCTCTACCTCTTCTGGCATCAAACAAATGTTCCTTACATAATCCTAAATCTTAAAATACTGGACTTCCCTAAAACTAACTGCGTTTTGTTAATGGCTATTTGTGATTTACCCCTTTAAGAAATATGACCATATACAGTATAATACAGCAACAGAAAATGTACACCAGGTATTGCCACAGAAGGCAAGCCCTGGTGAATATAAAATTTCCTGAGCCACTTCAGAACATACTGTGGATAATTTATTTCCTAACCGATAAATTTAGTTGCACCAGAAGAGGAACAGAATAAAAATTTCTTGGCATGTTTGTGCTGAACTAACCCAATACAGTACTGTACTCTATTTACTTGGTACTGATGTCATCACAAATTGTTGCAGGTATCAGATGTACTGTACACACACCGTATACTGTATAAATATAGGATGTAAAAGGCATCTCAGAGAAGTGGTAGATTAAAAACTGATTAAGACGGTTGGCTTGAAAAACATTACTGGAATATGGATAACTGATAGAACAGGTAGTGAAAATGTAAAAAGAATGTATGTACGAGTCTGGAGAGTCCCTGGGCACAAAATGAATCAAAGGTGTGAGACTGGTAAGAATAATTCATAATGGCATGAGTGTGTGAAGAAGACTGAGAAAGTGATGATCATATTACATAGTGAACAGTGGGAGAGGGTCTAGAGTCATCACATTACTGTAGATAATCTTGAAAAATGATGGTGGATAATGTACAATGTTGACTCGAATGATGAAAAGAGATAACATGAATGAACCTAACCACTCAATGATGCATACAGTGAATTGTTTTGAAGTATTATGAATTGATGTGGATACTCTTAGGATTCATTTTGTATTCAGTACTGCATATGCAAGTTGATGATATGACCTAGGAGGTTTGGATACTGTATTGTTTATCGACTCTTAATACTTTGTTTTATATATCACTCAACCCTATATATTACACCCTTCGTTGAGGTTTCTGCACCCTTTACTTACACCCCACACTAAACTAGAAGTGGACAAAAGATAATGGGAAGATATTGGACTTTTCACCATTGGTATTCCTAGTGGTTCAATTGGGCCACATACATACTGTACTGCAGCTGTTAAAATATACGCACATTTCAAACCAAGCGTTTATAAAACATGAGTTAGTAATTTTTGTACCTTTTCTTGTTTTCATAACAATCTCTTCCAGTTTTCTCCATTGACCCATTTATCTTAAAGCATTTAACTATAACAACACTAACAAGTCACAACAAAAACCGAGCCATTGACCGTCTTCAATGCTGAAGCTGTTATTTTAGGAATGGGCCTCAAGTTCTCCTTGGAAATTTTACAAGGAAATGTAAAATGTTGTGGGGAAATTACTCTCACTAGGTAGAGAAAAATACAATGACCCTTTTCCAAATACTATAGTTGAAAATGTGAACTGAAGTGTGGCATTATCTAGTTACTGAACGATAGGCTGCTGGTCAGTGTCCTACTAACACAAATAAGCAAACACAGGTCACAAAAACAATGATCACCCTCCACGTCCTGTATATTCGAACAAGTTTTCCATTTAGACAGGATAACCACAATAAAAAGATTCTTGGGTTATTGAGAAAAAATTTGCAACAGCAAATATATAAATAACTCTTTATACAAGGGCTACTGGCAGCTCTTGGAATACAAAAAAGTATGTGATTTACTAACCTATCCTTTCATTAAGCCTAATAAACTGCCAAAACAAAAATTGCAATATGAATAGTATAGGGAACCATTAGTAATTCCAATCGGAATTACATACAATAGCTCAATTATAACAAAAGTCAAACAATTTAGCAGCATGAACAAGCCACGAATTATGAAATGAGCAAGGCACCCAGTACACTCCATAGCACCAGTACTTTTCTCATTCCCAGTCCAGAAGGTGAAGGCTATATATATAATATATATATTATAAAAAAAAAAAAAAATACAAAAAGCTATGGAGTTCTGGAGCCCCCACTCCTAGATTAGCAGTAGCACTGGGCTCACACTGCACAGGCAATGTCCCATCTCTCATCCTCTGTGCCATCTGGACTAAAGACAGCCCGCCCTTGGACAGCTGTGTGAATGAAAGGACAGCTGTAACACTCCTGAGGAGGAGAACCACCACAAATATAAGCCACTGCATGTTAACACTAAAACGTGCAACCACAGGCACAGAGGAGGAAGCAAGGATGCATGTGGTACCTGTAACGTGCTATTTATCACATAAGAAGGAATACCCACTGCCATTTCATCTCACCCTCAGAAAAGATACACACAAAGTCCAGTCTGGAAGGCTTTAGCAGGATTCTGTCAGGAAATTGATTGTTCATATTGTTTTTGTTTTTTTAACAATTCTCAATTTGTTAACAATTAAAAAGAGTTCATATACCCATTTATTTCAAATGCCAATAAAATTATTTAAGATTCTAAATTGACTTAGCATTCCACATTTATAATTTCACATTAAAAACCTTAACAAACCTGTGTACTGTACTGCTATAGCACATATTGACTGGGTCAGCACACTTCCTAAGGTCTGGTGCAAAAATTTCAGTTCCTGTTAAGCCTACTGTGTGCTCAGTGGTATCCTTGGATGCACTCAATCTTTCAATCACCTCAAGATTCCCTGCTCACTTTACTCCCACCCATTCTATGTATACTTTATCACTTTAATATGCACAAAAACCACATTCATGAAGCTATCTCAGGAAATCTCTTTGCATAAGAGATGTTTGTAAGAGGAGACAATCCACAATGATCTCATTTACATATTTCTTCCACCGTGATCTCTCTCTCTCAACGGCCTGCCAACTGTGGGCATACAAAGACACATTCTTGCAGTGAGGATTTGTCTTCGAGGGTTGAGCATGGCAGGTAGAGGGAAAAGGCGGAGATTCTGGCAGGACATCCACGCACTTTGATTCTCTCTGCTGATTGGTGGATGGACCAATTGTGCGAGTCTTCTGCCTTCATGTGATTCATTTGAGGATTTATGTCATCTTAGTTTTCTCGAGACTGATTTATACCGATGAACCTCTCAAGAACATCTCATAAGCTCCTGATGTGAGCAAATTTCCAAAGAAAGGCAATGCACATAACTTCAGTACTCATACGATGTTTTTGGTTATCTGACATGCAATTTACCGAAGGCTCGCCAAGGTCCAATATTTTACTCCACTACTTTCAAAACCTTACCAATGGCAATGGTTTTGCCTGCAAAGGAAAGAAGTTATGTATTATTGTTAACATTCTCTCTTTACAAATAAAATTTAGTAAAATTATATCAAGGGATTTTTTCCTAAATGCTGGGTTTGGCACCAGGAAACAGGATCACAAGGCACAACATATACAGTAACCAAATTAAAATTCCATTTTACTAGTGAAATTATAATAATCATACACAAGTTTTCGAACATATCACAAGTAATTCCTACCTTCATCTCTTAATGTAAATCGTCCAAGTTGCGGGTGGTCCTTGAAAGCCTCCATACAAATAACTCCTGAAGTCTCAAATCTCATGATAGCAATCTATAAACAAACATAATATGCATAAACATCATCAACAACTGTTCAAGTTCCCAACATCCAAAAACTCAGTGATGGAATGAGAACCTGAAATGTCTGCAACTGGCCATCACACCTTAACCCCTTTACTACAGGTATGCCACTTTAATATTCTATTTGGCTAATGCCAGACGAATTTATTCAGCACAGAAGGGATCCCGTATCTAAGTGGTTAAAATCTTAAGAATTACTCATAATCACTTAAATGATCCAAGTCATACAGCTGCCACAGAAGACTAAACCCTGGTTTGTAAACTCATTGCCAGCATCTTACTTTAAGATATTATGGAAAGGATGAAGGATATATTAACAAGTATGCACAGTAACAGGGAATGCATAGTTTACTCTCGGAAACTTTTCCTAGTACTGTACCTAGAAAAATTCTGGGGTTGTAGGATTTTTTCTGAATCTGAGTCATTTCATAACCAGGAAATCTCTCATACCAGGAAGAGCTCTGCACAAGTACTGAATATCATATACAGTACTGTTACTTAGTATCTTTGGTGTTATGAAGCAATTTTGAATACGTATAATACAGTATTTTGATCCCCTCCAACTTCGAGGTGTGGCCGATATTAGTCATTTTCACTTACTCACTGAGAGACTGTTCAGTATTAAGTAGCAAATGCTATTTCTTGGCATGCAATATAAAAAATATTCTAAAACAGTTTCTAGTCTCTTGTAAGAAAAAGTAAGAGGTTGGAGGTGTCATCTTATTACAGTAACTTCATATTGTTAACTAAGATTTGACATTAGCCTGTTTGCAAACAGCAGATCCTAATCCATTTCCAGTTGTACTATTTTCACCACCCACATATTGTGCCAGAATCAGAATACTTTCATCAAAAACACTTCAAAATCTGCAACATAGTTTACCATTTATTAGTCTTCCAGGACTTCCACAAACTTCTCATTCTGTTCCAGTCTTTGTGATCAGAGATCATATTTTTTTATGTATAAAACCGTATCTTGCAAAATTGTATTTACTTCTCATACAGAACAAGCAAGGTTATCTAGTCAACTACCTAATAATGCTAAAAACTGAATTCAACAAGACAGGGGGAGGGGGGGGTATGGAACATACCTGATCTTGTTTGACAAACCGCGGCCGAACCTTTGATTTTTCTCCCGTCTTCTTGTCAACTAAGCATATAAGTAGTTTGACAGTAACTTCCTCGGCTACAGAGTGAATGTGGCAAACTGCAGAGTAGCCCGCACAGATAATTGACTTGTGTTCCAAGATAACGACCTGTAACAATTCATACATTAAAAGTCTCATAAAGTTTTAAGTTTCATTATATTCAATTGAATGCCCTAACTGTTAATTAATTTAATAATATGATATACTGTACCAGACATACATAAGATGGCCTTGTTGTAATTATGACCACTTAACCATGATAACCTAATAGAAAAGAGTTAAATAAAACTTGAGCATAATAAAAATAACTTGTACCTTCTTTGACAACTGGTAGTAGAGGTTAACACAATTTCAATACCAATCACTCCGGCCAACTGTCACATACAGTACAGTATTCTTCACCATCCTTTACAATACACACCCTGTCTAGTTTTAAAACTCTGATCAATTCCTCTCAACTTCCATCTGTTGTCTCACTCGGTTCCCTCCCTCAGTGTGTCACCATACATACACCTCCGCCTTTCATTAACTTCTGCCTTATATACCTTTATATCCATTAAGGTATTTTGGACGAGACGGCACAGTATGAATCCCCCCAAAAATTAATGAAGTACAGTAATATGGACATTACCTGTGCATCAAATATCCTCCCTGTCTTGCATGGGTTGTTAGGATCACAGAGAACAAATCCTGGGGCAACATCAGCCTCTTCTACACCTCTGAGCTTCACCTTCACATTTTCACCACAGTTGACAGACCCAGTTTCATCTTCATCTCTCCACAACATGTCAACTGTGACTGGAGTCTGAGATAAAAATATTAAACAATTTAAAAAAAAAAAAAAAAAAGACCAGAAAATTTTAATACGAAAACATAAAATAAGTTTATTGAATGACTAATATACAACCAGAACTTGCTAATGCCAACATTGACAACTAAGCTCGAAGGATTACAATGAAAGCTTTCTACAGTTCTTATGGGAAATGATAAAGGCCAACACATAAATGTATTTAACCCAAGCTAGTCACTTACAACACAAATCTAGTGTGATATGTGTACCATTTAGTGATTATGGGAATTATAATTTTACAAGCCTTAATAAACTGTTTAGTCAAAAATGTTAACCCATTATTGGCAACCCTTCATACCATTTTCCTCATCTGTAAGAGCAAACAATATTTTTTGCAGCAATTTTACTAACATCTACAAGGTAAATTTAGAATTTATAGAAGTGCTACACACACAAACCACGGTAAACATTCATAATCGCACTAATACAATTTACTAACCTTATTTGGCATTACATATACACTATCGCCTTTCTTGCAACATCCGGATTCCACTTTCCCCATGACGATTGTTCCTCTGTCGTTGTAACGGTCTACCACAGGCATCATGAAAGGTCCACTTACATTACGATTAAGAGCCGGTAAGTCGTTGATATATGGTATAAATGCAGGGCCTTTATACCATGGACATAAACTTTCATCAATAGGTTCTCTGAGGTTAGCACCAGTGAGTCCTGAACATGGCATAAACATGATATCTTTGTTTGGATTGAAGCCAAGCTGTAAATGACAGAAAAAAATTAATTAAAACTGATTAACGCACGAGTCAAAATCAATTCAACAAAATGACTGATGGCTTTAAAAACAGCAATAAAACAAAATCATGAGTTGTGTAACAAAAGCTCACTGCCCTCCCTCTAACATCTACCTTCAATATTAATGTATTAGAAACTCACCTTTTTGAGGTAGGGGACCAGTTTTTCTTTACATTCATTGTAGCGAACTTCAGACCATAGCACTGTTGAATCGTCCATCTTGTTGATTAATACAATTAGATGTTTTACTCCGGCAGTCTTGGCCAACATTGCATGTTCTCTAGTTTGGCCTCCTCGCTCAAATCCTGTTTCAAATTCACCTTTTCTTGCAGATATAACCTGAAATAATTGATAAAAGGAAAGGGGGTTAACTGTCTGAGTCATTTGTTATGCACAAGAATACAGTTTTGGGATGTTAATGAACATTTTCACAAACAGATTATTACAATCTCGATTTTGTAGTCAGAATTTATATTCTCTTTTCACTAACTTATTGTCATTACCACTGACACCCAAATTTCTATTCCTGCAGTTCCCAGATATTTTGTTGCATTCTGTCAGCAAAACAGCCGTCCAAATACACGAGGTAAGGAATTTCTTCATACAGTATTTTGTATTTTCATACTATTTATAAAAACTATGAAAGAACTTGAAGTTATACAAGTGGACAAGTTCTGTGACTGCAACTCACTGGCTGAATAATTGCCTCAAAACCAAAGGATCCCCATTTTGAATTAAAACTTAATTGCTCCTTGTATATTGCTTCTGGAACACCAGTAATAACAATATTACTGTACACTAGTAGTACCCTGCCAAGGGGTTGTGGTATCCGACTAACTACTGAATACTCAAAATCTGGGAGTCAGCACCTAACCACCTTACATTATTGCAGGTAAACACAGGCTCTTCTTAAATATACAGTACAACTCTTGAAATTCTCTGATTCAACATGGCTTACAGGGTACCTCCTTATATGAAGCCAAAATAATTATTTGTCTATTTTATAACAAATCACTGGACAAACAGCTTTTGAAGGTGTACAGCATTCAAAAGTTATTAGTATTCCCAACATGGACCCCAAGTTCTGTTAACATCTTCACTACAGGGACACCACTTTCAACTTTTTATTGGGCTAAAGCCAGGCTATTTCACTTAGTGGTTAAAATAATTACCATGAGTATGTCTTGCAGCTCCCTTGGGAAACAGAAACACCCTATAAATCCTTGACTATGACAGATGTGATTAAAAAAAAAAGTGCTCCTTACCAAAACAGCTAAGTCAGCTTGGCAGGCACCACCAATCATATTAGGCACAAAACTTTTGTGACCCGGAGCATCCAGGATTGTGAAGTGTTTCTGCTCTGTCTCAAAATACGCTCTTCCCACCTCTACTGTTTTCCCCTTGTCACGCTCTGATGGAGAAATAATACAATCAAATTAGTTCATCAGTATAAAATAACGAGGAAATATCTTATTCAAATCAAATTCAGTGATATTAATTTGTAAAGACAAGCAAATGTTTAATGGGTTATGGAAAGAACTTAATGTAATTTTATATATCAACACGAATCCATTCACATAACTTCAATTTTTTACATAAACTTTTAAGATTAAATAAACAGTAATAATAAAAAAAATCTGACCTTCAAGATTTGTGTCTAGTGCCCAAGATAAATACCACGTCTCCCTGTTCTTCTCTTTCGCCTCCCTCTCATACTTCTCTAAGGTTCTCTTCTCAACCATTCCAGTTAAGTACATAATCTGACCACCAATTGTTGACTTTCCTGCATCTGAAAGAAAAGCAAAACAACTATGAACGACAAGTGTTTATGAAATGTATACAACCGGTGTGGACTTGTTTATTAAATGTACTGTATATATCCAGTGTGACTTGTTTATGAAATGTGTACAGTACTTGCTTTCAATCTTAAGCAGTATAATATATGAATTTGGTGTCTCTGAGGGATCATTCCCCAAACCCATTTCTCATTAGATCTACAGCCCTTGACAAACAAGGGAGAATTCTAAACTACAACCACCACAGATGGTGAGGGATTACTGCACCATTAAAAGCCATGGCTCCCTCATTTCATAAATGCAATCTTTTCTAGTACAGTATCTAAACAGCTGTAATTCAGTCAGGAATAATCTGAATTCACTAGTGTATTGCACATAATCTGAATTTGCTAGTATATTGCACAATCTGAATTTGCTATAGTGTATTGCTGTGTAACAAACTCCATTGCTCTTGATCATATGTGTGAAGTTGATGCACCAACAGTTTCAGAGATTAAACAGAGCCTCTACTACATCCTCCAAGCTGCCAGTGCCAGGAGGATAATCTTCTTAACATCAGTTTATTATGTACTGTACTACAGCAGGTGACACAGAGTACACAAAGTACAGTATGTATGTCCACTAATCATGTGTGTGTACAATAATTTTTATGTAAAACCTCCAGCATATTCTTTACCATCTTCATTAATAAAATAATGTGAAAGAGGATCCCATACCCATGACTGCCCGTTAGGGACAGTGTAGACACAGAGCGCTGTATACCGAGCCTTTGATACACACGGAGGCAGCATGGCCGGTACTGTACTCGACCGCATCACTCGCCCAAGTTGTAAACTCAGGTCCCCATTTACAACTGGACGAACCAGGAGCACCCGGGAATGGAAACACCGACCCCCAGGAACAGGAGGCGAGTGCTGTATCACACTCCCCAGTATTATAGAATACATCAGATACTGTTCTTGAAATACATACCAACATGACCGATGAAAATTACATTGACTGGTTCTTTTTTGGGCAAGGAATCGTCTTCATCTAGTGGCTTCTTCTTGGGTTTCTTAACCTCATCACTGTCTTCATCATCATCCTCATCTGGTGTACCCGGGGTGGGAGGGGTCGGCGGCGTCTCACGGGAGGGGGATGGAGTTGCGGCGTCGGCTGCTTCCTCCCAAGAGTCTGCTGTAATGTCTCCGTCGTTGTTCATGGTTGGCTCTTCGGGTGTCCCTGCCACTGGCTCCGGAGGCGGATCTATAACAAGAGTAACCTCGGTGAGAATTCACCTTTGTCTAAATAAAATGTCATGTAATGTACAGTATACACAACAGTAAAATATTCAACTCTTATTGACAAAGTACATGTATAGATATCTTTATATTGTCTGTCCACAGCCAACTATGGCCCCAAGCCATTAAAAATTAGAGAGGATTATTTGTTGTCAATTTATGCTATTTTTTCCTTTCAATAAAATCTTAATACAGTATACTGTACAGTGTAAGAGTAAATTTTATGTACACAAGTGTACAGTACAGTACCTGGAGACTTATGAATACTTTACACAATAAACACTTGTTTCAAGTCTTTCAGTACTTTGTTAGCCACATCAGTTATTAGATCTTTACTTTCACCTAGTGACCTAGTCTATGTCTTTATGACAGTTCTATGACAATGCTGGACAAGTGAGTTATATCTAATTAAACATTTTACTCTTTAATAATCACATTCACATCTTTATCTTCTTCAGGTTGTTACCATTGGCTCTGTACAAGTGCCCCCAACAGAAGGATAACTTGGGAGGCAGTTGACAATTCTGCTCCACTGAGTTACTGTATCAGTTTTGCTGATGATTGCACCAAATTTATTTTTCTGGCACCATAATATTATTTTTCTGGATATATATATATATATATATATATATATATATATATATATATATATATATATATATATATATATATATATATATATATATATATATATATATATATATATATACACACAGTGGGGTATGCTATAACGAACGGATCCTACTACGAATATTCCTATAACGAACGGTTTTACCTATAAAATTGAGAATGCTATAACGAACGCAACTCCTACAACGAACGCGGATGAATACGGGACTATTTCGCCTGGCGCATGAATATTGTTGTACCGCGACCCACAACAAGAGCGTCAGGCGCCATCTTTGTCTCATTGTGTAGCCAGTGCACCACTGTTATTGTTGAAATTTCGTCTTTTGATGTGGAAATTCGCGTTATTTGTATAACTATTTTGTTATACAAGTATACAATTGTAACAATGATCGTCCAAAGCGAGTGAGAAAGCTAATAACCCTTGAAACTAAGAAAGAAATTATAAAGAAACGTGAGAATGGAAGAAGCATTGCGAAACTTAGTGATGAACATGGGATGGCTAAATCGACTATATGTACGATTTTGAAGAATAAAGAGGAGTTAAAAACTGTGCAAGTGGCTAAGGGAATCTTTAGACTTAGCAAAGCAAAGTGTTATGTGATTGAAGAGATGGAAAATTTACTCTTAGTGTGGATAAAGGAGAAAGAAATGGCAGGTGGTAACATTAGTGAAGCTATAATTTGTGAGAAGGCCAGACAATTGTTTGAGGACCTTAAAGCCAAGACTCCCAGTGGAAGTGGAAGTGATAGTGATGTGCCAGTGTTTAGGGGTACCTGCATGCTGAATAACACTAAGGTAAGATAAAGTACCGTATTTTTTACATTTTCCACAGAATTTTTTCAGTGTTAAGCGGTTGTATTTGGGGGCCTGGAACGGATTAATCCTATAACGAACGAATGCTATAACGAACGAGGTTCTGGAACCAATTACGTTCGTTATAGCATACCCCACTGTATATATATATATATATATGTATATATATATATATATATATATATATATATATATATATATATATATATATATGTATATATATATATATATATATATATATATATATATATATATATATATATATATATATATATATATATATATATATATATATATATATATATAATATATATATATATACACATATATATATATATATATATATATATATATATATATATATATATATATATATATATATATATATATATATATATATATATATATATATATATATATATATATATATATATATATATATATATATATTTACTGGTAGCTGGTCAGTGGCTCCATTTTGCTGCTCTTTAGTTCTCACAAAACAATTACAGGAGGCCCCCCAAATTCGCGGACTTTAGGTTCTCAAAATGGCTGCGAATCGCCAAATCAGAGAATAACATTTGCAGACCAGGGGTAGAGAAGGGGGGGGGGTGATTTTTGCTTGTGTACAAAGAAATGTATATTCCCTTTATGTGCTTGCCCTTAGGGCAATTATTTCTTTTACCTGTATTGTATATATGGGTGTGTGTGTGTGTAGGCGCACATGCACGCTCGCACACACGATGGGAAAATATCCTCAAATAATCAAACAAATTTATAAAAAATCTGAGTCTACCCTTAAGTCCGTGCTTTATCAATAAAGCACACTTGAGGGTAGACAGTCACATTTTTAATAAATTTGTTTCTGATTAATTGTGAGAGGATTTTCCAATTATTATATATTTGTATGTGTGTATCTACACACACACACATTTGCAATACAGAACAGGTATAGCTAATTACTGTTCCTAGAACGAATGGCTCCCTGTCCCAGCCGCGAAAATGCCGGCAACTTTAAAACTACCCACAGACTCTCTTAGGTACATCCAGGGTGTCATCTGTGAATAATAGAGGACCGCAAAATAAAAATCCACAACCTGGGGTAGGGGGGGGGCCTTTGAGGCAGAATACGTTGTGCTTGTGGGAGGTACAGTGGTCTATATTTAGTCAATCCACATTCAATGATACTATTTCCTATATAATTCTGTCATGTTAGTTATTTTCTCTTTAAAGGGATCATTACAGGCACTTTCATCACATTCAATGTGTTGTGATAATGACCTTAGATCTGATATTTTGACAATTCTACTTTTAGGAACAGCAAACCTGTATTGGCTCCCTTCCAGTGTCCTCCAGTTTTTCTTGGTCTTCCAACTGTTAGAAGATTTAGAAAGTTTCAAATATAGGTTGAACAAATACATGAACGATCAGGGTTGGACGTAAACTGGGGTGACTAGTACAGGATGGGGGCCAATAATTCTACTGCAGTTTCCTTCATTATGTTCTTGAGCCTTGACCCACTCATAAGCCAAAGACAACACACTCAATAGCATGAGTACTGTACAGGTGGGAACACAGCCACCTATGTAGTGGTTGTAGACATTCTATTTACCCTCATGATTAATAATGCACTAGCTCACATAAATTCATGACTGTTTGCAATGTAGTAGGCAGCTACCAAACAGGGAGGTACTACCGCCTGACAAGATATTGGAAGCATAATGTGTTGTCTAATGGTAGACCCTGCTGCCATATGTGACCAAGTCCCGGGTTGCTGATCTGACTTTCTGCCTCCTTTACACACAATTGCAGGGTCTCAATTGTTTCTCTTACTTTGACTCTTTTAAGTTAATGAAACTGCACATTAACACCATCTTAAAGCCTTTGATGACATTACTGAAATCTTTAAGACACAAAAGGCAAAATTATTTTGTTGCCCTGGACCTAATTTATTCCTGTTAAAATCATCACTATGGCTTCAGTTGTCACTGGTTGAATAGCCTGGTAGTTAACACAGCTGGGATGGCTACATAGACAGCCAGGCTATTCAGCCAATAACTTAATCATATTAACAACTGTAGGATACATCAACATTCACACCAGGTTTGACATTTAAATATCCCATTAGCTTATTGGCCATACTGTATTTATATCTGGACAGGTCACTAACCAGTCAGATTAAAGAGAGTTTTGGGACCGAGTTGTGAATATTAATCAAAACAAGTATATAATGGCTCGATAAGCTCAAGGAAGGTAACTGTACAGTACGGTCACACCTTGGAGGCACTCTTCCGCCTTCTGAACACCCACAAATGAAATAGATCATCTGGTTATAAAATGTTCCAAAATGCCTCTGCTCAGTGACTCATGTGCTGATAAGATTACTGCTTCCTATGCACCAGTGCTAGCATAGTTACAGTAGTAACACTTAGTAGCAATAAAGAAAAGAATAAACGTACAGTTAAAACCACTGAAAAAAGTTGTTCTTATAATGTACATTGGTCTAGTTACAGATGTATCCTACAGTTGTTAATATGTTTATGTTCTTGGCTGAATAGTCTGGCTGTCTATGTAGCCATCACAGCTGTGTTAACTACCAGGCTATTCAGCCATGACAACTTAATAGCCAGAGTACAAAATCAAATCTAGTTCACTAACTGTTTTTATCATAAAAAAGCACTAAATCCACACCTTCCTGTTAATAGTTCTGATACTACACCTAACCACATTCAAGTAACATACCACATTCTGTAAACAAATCCTCACAAACCTGTAATGTACCAATAGTCCACCTGACCAAAGCAGTCATCAGAAATAAAAAAAAATTCTTCAAGAGATTAAGGTGTTAAACATACCATACAATATTTATCACTATCCTTCACTTTTACCATAACATCTACCGGTATACAATTAATTCTAGAACAGTGACATTATGCCATGAACCATCTACCAGTACAGTATACATACACAAATTTGTTTCAAGGATTTTAAAACATGATGAGAACCAACTTTACCTAACCAAACATTCTTACACTTTTGATAGGTTAGTTTAAGTAAGCTAGTTTGATTAGTTCGTCTCGATTTTTAAAAACTTTACAGTAATTTTCTTGGCCATTATATTTTTTGTAACAGGTAACACCAATCATCACTTTCACTATACAACTGTGATGTAGATGGTCATGTTGGGTCACGTTATGTGTTACCTTCAGTCACATATGGAGCACCACATGCCTAAAAATACTAGCCAGGTATGAGTCATCTGTTCACTGACTAATATTACAAGTGATCTCCAACATAAGGGAATTCCATTTTAGACTTATTAGGTACATAATATATTTCTTCACTGACATACAATACTGCAATAATTCACCTCAACCAATAAAAACCTATACAAACCTCAAACCAACATTAAATAACGTAACTGAAGAAAATTTACTCAATATGTCAAGTAAACACTGGATAAATTCTTCCACAGATTTCCCATATGCTAGTTGTAAATTCACACACAAATCACATAGTTAGCAGGTGTAGAGAGCCAGTAATGTGTGTGTTAAGGCAGTAAGCAAAACACCAGCTGGTCGCCACAACACTACCACTACCTCCCCGTAATGACCTACTTCTCCCTCATCTAGTTATCTAGTTTACCTCGACACGTTATAAGTCTCTAAAGGTGATATTATGAAAGGTAAATGGACTCACCTGGCGCCGCAGGTTGGGTCTGGCCTCCTTCTTCCTTCATAAAGCTAGGCACGAACTCGGGCGCATTCACGTTGGGGATGAAGACCGGGGCGTTCACGTTGAGTGTTGTGAAGTTAGAAGAAAGACTCCCTACTGTCTCGTCAGCTGCCGCCTCCCACGAGTCTGGTGCACTGTTGTTTTCAGACATTTTGAATGGATACACACAAGTCCAATAAAGGACTTCTGGAGTCAGCAGTGACACAAGGAGATACAACGTGAGCCGGAAGTTGTCTCGCGAGGAGCTGCCAATCCAGTATGGCGGATGACACCAACAACTGACTCTCGCCAAGCACAAGTTATCTTCTACAGCACCATTATTTATGCCATTATGCAATACATATATACATATAATATTAAGTGTTATATTTTGAATATGTATAGTACAGTGCAGCGATAGTGTTATAAATTTTTATTATATATATATAGATATTTTTGTTTTTTGTTTTATTTCTATATTTATATATATACAGTATATATATTATTTAGTATTGTTATCTTTGGGTTATGTGTCAGATTTAATACATAAAAACTATAATATATTTAACCTTAGACACTATACATATGCAGACAGCAGTGTTGCGATAGCCGGTCAAGTTAAAGTTTAGTATTATATAATAACTTGAAGCAAACATTCGGACACAGAATGAACAACATTACGTCCAAGTCTTGCTAGTGTTATTTTGAGTCAACTTTTAACTCACACAGACTCTGCTGTTAATTTATCCAAATGAATTATAACTCTACATTTTAATTTAAATAATATTCATATTGCTGAGACGGTGTTATATACTTCGTATTTAACAGAGGAAAGGTATTCTAAAATAGCAGTGATAGCGTTTGTCACCATCTTCAGACACACAGCTAATGCTTTCTTAACTTACTTAAGGTTTCTCAATCTCCACGAAGGTTCTACCTGTTTAATAATTGAATTTCACGAATATAAATGATACTGCGAGGTTGCCATGTCCTTAATATTCAACAAATAGGGAAATATTTTTTAAATAGCATTAATGAGCTGACCGGGGCGAAGAGGATAAATAAAGGGCTACTGTAGAGCGTGTCACCTCACTATCTTCAGACACACACAGGCTTTACACCTTACCAAAAGTGTTCTCGGCTACATCATGTTTCTTGTAATACATCACAACTTCGACAGTCTCACCAAGTTCAATAACAAAATGTTCACTGAACTGTTTTTCGGTGTACTGTAAAATATTTGCATGTGCAGTAGGTTATATATAGTAATGTATGTGTGTGTGTGTGTGTGTGCACAATAAACACACAAGTTTCTTCATCCTTTTATAGGGTACCTGAACAAATGTTGAATCCCCGATTCTTAACATTCAGCAGCTAGTGGTTGGGACTTAAGTCCACCCAAAGGTTGTCCCACCGTCATTCAGCAACTTGAAAATCATTTTATTACTCTTTATTAAAAAATAACTAAATAAAATTTATCGGAGACTTTCATTTTCATTTGTTGGATATTTCTATTAGTGAATTATTTCCTCATTAATCTACTTGAATCTATTTAACATGAAATCGCGGACAGTTTGATTTACTGTTTTACCGTCTGGTGAATTACAAGCCCCTTAGTGTACTTAATGTATGTCACCACTAAATACATTAATGTAGGTTCTAACTTCTATCATATAATTACCATTTAACGTATGTATGTATGTACAGTAAGTATATGCAGGAACTCGTTTTCAACTGTACTTTAACAACAAAGTTATAGAAACGTGACGAAAAACTTATGCACAAGTTCATGCCTAATATTAACCTAAAGTAACGGTAAACAAACATAACCCTAACTTAACATACAATTAACCTAACACAACCTTAACCTATCATAACCTAAACACACCTGATATTGCCTTAACATACCCCTACGTTGACATTTAACCAACTATAACATTAACAGAATATAAAGCTAACCTAACATAACCTTATTTTAACATTTTACGTTATATAACCTTAACCTAACAAAAAGTTAACATAATGTAGCTTTAACATAATCTTACCTGACATGATCTTAAGCAAACCTAACCAATTATATGGTTACTTAATGGTTAAATATTATTATGGCCAAGTTCTGGGATAACATTAAACGGATCACCTGAAGATAAAGACACCCTAGCTTATTTAACCCGAAGATTAAACACCCCAGTTTATTTAACCCGAAGATTAGACATCCCAGCTTATTTCTCGTGAAGATTAGCCACCCCAGCATATTCCATCTAAAGATTGGGCACCCCAGCTTATATCACCTGAAGATTAGACACCCCAGCTTATTTCTTTTGAAGATTAACCACCCCAGCATGTCCCACCTAAAGGTTAGGTACCCCAGCATATTTTACCTGAAGACTAAGCATCACAGCTTATTTATCGCGAAGATTAGGGACTCCAGCTTATTTCTTGTGAAGATTAGACACCCCAACATATTTCACCTGAAGATTAGGTATCCCAGGTTATTTCACCTGCTGAAAGTATCCACGCAAAAGTACAGTGGATCTGGAGTGGACAGTACTTGTTGTTAGAAGAAAAGGAACGAGAGTAAATATACATGTGTGAACTTACCAATGAACAATCAAATAATCACCAATTTCCCGGCCCACCCTGGTCCTAGTATGCCACGTGTGACAAGACAAGAAACATCACCTAATTTTTCTAGTGTCTACGACCATTACGGGGTTAAATTTTATCACCAAGTCTTAGATGCAACTGTGCAGGATCTGATAAATATTTTGTCACAATATCCATACAGATTTACAGATACACAAATAAATCACTGTATGTGAGCGTGATCCATGTATGTGCTGATAACCACATAGGAAAAAAAATAAAACACGAAGTTCTCAAGCGCTTTCATGTAAGTCACATTAGTGGTGAGTACGACTAAGGGGTAGTTACTAGCAAGGCTAATATATACAGTAAGGGAGAGTGAGATCAAATCCCTAGGGACAGCAGGTGTCCACCATATTCAGGTCATAAGGAAGTGACCCAACCCTTTCATCTGGTTACAAATCTTGTTAATCACGAAATTGTCCAGTTTGTACGTGCCATTACTCAAATTCGTGTTGACAGATTCGGTATGTGTAATGAGACTAGATTCTATAATATTCCAACTGACAATTGAAGTACAAGGTAATATTGAGGAGGCATTATCCCAGTGCTTATTATCTCTCATATGAATGGACAAAACATTGGATTACTGGTCTGTCCTAACACTATATTTATGCTGTTTAAGTCTTGTTATAAGATCTTTTCCTGTCTGGCCTAAGTAATAAGAAAATATAAGAAAATGAAACGTTTAACTCCAGATAAAATGAAAGGCAGTACAGATGGATGTGATGGCAGCATCTTGGAGACGACACTGTACAATCATTGGCCCTGTTAGTAAAATATAGGACGCTATGCAAATATATGCCGAAAGTCATTCATCCAAAAATACAGGAGCCATAAGTTCGATGATAACAGTGAGGGCGGTCATGTATATAGCCAGTTTACATACAGAGGGCAAGGAACGACTTAATAGAAATTTATAAGCACCTCAAAGTGTCCAAAATCAATTGAATGTACATTTATGGAATTAATGACTGGCTTAGTCTGGCTGCCACATTAGAAGTCACGGCCTTAAGAGTTCAGAAGCTGTCAGTTTAAAAAATTATCAGAGATTTGGTGTACGAGTTGTGAACTTTAGAAATAACGTGTCTGCGAATTTTGTGGCAGAACCAAGTGTGATCTGGACTTGATCAACATTGGCCCACGTTCAGGTATATTCAAGAGTCCATACACGCCCAGTTAACCAGTGCAGCACATGGTTAACACTTACCGCGCTAAACAAATTTTAAACTTCCCGGTAAACATCAGCTGATATAGATATAAACACACTATAAGGCAACTAATGTTATATACATACCACGAACGCGAACTCTAATCCCTAAGAAATCTATTTTTCAGACGACAAAGAAATAATTTAATATAACCTGACCTAATAAAAATATAAAATACACATTATAAAAATATATATTATGGATATTTTATCACTTTTAACGCGTAATGAATAATAAATAGTTTAGAGACTATCTGCAATACATTTCTCTAACATTGACCATATTTCGTCCACATGCAGTATGGTAAACATCGAAAACCTAAAAATAAGATATTTAATAGGTTATATTACAATTTAATAAAGTATTGCCTAGATGTACATTAATTTTAAATTTAGTATCAAGAGCTCACATAAATAGCAATGTAGACACACATAAACCCGATCCGCACAAAAATCTTGGTAATGTTTTAATTTAAAGTTTAAGTGACATTGTGGCAGTGTTGCGCAAATCTCTCTCTGGAATATTGTCATTTATAGAAACCTTTAGTACGAAACTTGAAAACACTTGTTCAAAATGACAGTTAAACATCATTAAAGAATTATTACTACTTCTTGATACTTTTTGTTTTCGGTATTTAGTAGGAAGGGACCCCCAGGCATGGACGACTGTTTTAAGCACTAACTTAGTGTCTTCATTATGTCTTATCTTGAATGAAGTGATCGTCGTGACACTGAAACTATAAACCAAAAGAAAAGAAAAGGCGTCGAATTCTTACCTTTAACTGTGTACTGTAAGCAGTTATTGTGTGAGATGTAAGTGTATTGGGGATTTTCAGGGCAGGACATTTAAATACATAATATTAATTAGGGCGTGAGGAAGGAAAACTATATATTCATTTATTTAGGAAACGGATTGTAAATTTATAGGCTTGGCTTCAACAGGAACTACCCACACGACATTAATCTGCAGGTTGTTCATACTAATATTTCGTGATCCAAATTTGGTTTAGTATTTGCACTTTTTATATTTATCTTTTCCACTTTTTTTTTCTTGTAAATAAGCACACTCAATCTCCCGTCAGACTTATTTCTTTAGATCTGATGGATGTACACAGTATACTGGTAGTAACAGGTTAGGGGGATGGAATCTAAGTGAACCTAACTAAGTTAGTAAAAAGATAGGTACTGTACAATTGTGAACAAAATTCCCTGAACACTTGGCAATATCTGGCAACTACTTCTGGGTTATAAATACAGTTAATTTATATTTAATAATGCTGCTCTTCATCTCATCATATTTGAACCACAAAATGAAAAACAAAATAAAAAACTCCATAATGCAGAGAAAAATCCGAGAAATTACAATAGAATTTCAATGTCTCACTAATGATCCTCAAGAACTTATGTGCCAGAAACTGAAGCCCCAATTCAGAACGGTAATTTGAGCCTGGGATTTGAGCTCGGCTCAGGCGTGCGAATCGGGATTCCTCGAGCCGAGATTTCCTGCAGTGGATTACCCATATTCAGAATATTGGCTTGAACCCCAGATCAGGTAATCTGTTGCATTATCTAAAGTTATGAGTAAGGATTCAAATACTGAAATTCCAGCCAATCACGTTTCATTTACACCATTACGACAGCCAATCACCATCGAGAGTAATGTTTACAGGATTATGGCGGCAACTATGACTCGACGAGTTTTTACGGAGGAGAAATCTCTCCCTGCACATCAAAAGTTACGTTTATTGCTATAATTACAATGAAATTATGATCAAATTATAATGATTCATGGTACTGTGTTACAAAGCGGCTGTGTTATAGGATGATAAGGAAATTCATAAAGGAAGAACAATTACATACAAATTGTAGATATAATCCGGGACAGGTGTCAATATTCATAATCAAAGCAAGATGAATCAATGCTGGGCGTAGTAACCTGGTTCGGTTAGGTTAGGTTTCTTTCTGTTCTTTTAACCCCACATTTCCCTGGATTAGTAATGTTAAGAAAAGACTTTCCACTATTAATACAATAAAATCAAAATGCACTCAGCATTGATTCAATTACATTGAAAATACATCAAAATAGTTTTCCCAAAGAAAAACTCAAAATAAAGAAGCATCAGCATTCTTTATATTTACCGATTTGATCTTCATGGACCCTAAACACGAAAGTGTTGTAACACACTACCATAATTCATTCAGTAACCAGAATCTTTCTTACCCGGAAATTATTCATTGCGAAGAATCTCAAAGCAATCATCAGCTGATGAATGGGAAGTTGAGGTGAACCATAGCCAACACATCTGTCAAGTAGATGTTCCATATCACGGAAAATATCAAGGAAATTTCCCTTGCTGAACCTATATCGTTGTTTAAACTGCATATCATCATAAAAATTGATAGGATTCTGCCTATCTACTATCAGTCTTCTCTCAAAATTTCCAATTTGATGATACAGTATTGCCTTAAACCGCACACTGTCAAAATTCATGTTGACTTGCTTGAAGGATCGACTGTCAAACCTGCCTCCAGGCTGGATTAACGCGAGGATCGACAATTCCGATCTCAAACCCGGTTTGAATCTTTGTGTTGGCTCAAGCCAGCGTTCTGAATACCGACAATCTCCAATCTTCGCTCAATCCTTGGTTTAAACCTTCATGCGGTTTCAAATCACTGTTCTGAATTCGTGCCTGAGTGTCCAGGGAATTTTGTCTGCAACTGTACATGAGCAGCAGCTGTTACTGTGTACAATCAAAGACAAAAGTTGTGTCGCGGTTTTGTCCGAAGATTAAATATAACTCGTGAAACATTATGAGAGCCCCCTACCACAAGGCAGAGCACACCAAAAGTTTTAGCCCTTAGGCATATGTTGTCACCAAATTTCACGACACGACTTTTGTCTTTCATTGTACATGCTAATGGGTGATTCACTCATACAATCTTATAAACTATCTGTGTAAACTCATGGTGAATATATTTTTGTGAATATATTTGATATATAATGCTTTGTTATTCCTTGTAGCACAGTAATTAATTTGTTCTTATTATTCTACAGATATATACCCAGCACAATACAGTATACTGTACAGATTAGAGACAGTACTGTATATAAAGATACAAAGGCAGTTTTGAAGTGTGTACCAATATAAATACAGTACAGTATATGGGTTAGGGGCATTTCTCATAATTCAGTGGACAATGGCATACGTCTTGACAAAAACTTGTACCACCTTCAACATCCAGACACTAAACATTTTCAATCAGTGGTTTATGGTCGCAGCATCACGAACTCCTCTAAGTCATAAGTGTAGAATATTATGTAGAGTGCAGGAGCCAAGTAACCTGAGATATATACACTTAAAAAGAACTTTAAATGCTGCTACCATTTCACAGAAGGATATCAAAGAAGGAGACATTGATCAAGGAACATTACCAGACATTGTTCAATACATCACTGATAAACATATTATCTATAGTTCACACATTGCTGATCGAAGTGTTAAATTGGATTACAGAAGCAAACAGAAAATAGAAATGAAGTTCAAGGCCAATCAAGATCTGAAAAGAAAGCTTGAATCCGTTCCTCTCATCATCGAGAAAATGCTCTCGGTAAACAAACAGATTAGTGACGAAATTGAAATGGCCGCTGAAAATATTCCAACCAAAAATATCGCAGTATCGTACCCGTACTCGCACGTAGAAAAGGTAGATTTAAAAGAGACTATCGTGGAATCCAAAACAAATATGAAAGAGTCATTATCAACGGATATTGGCTTGACTGTGAGAGAAGACATTGCTTGTAGGTTGCAAGCTTATGAAGACGGTGTTTTAAAAGAATTAACCAGCGCAGAAAATAATTTACCTCCAGATTATATTCATAGCTCAGTAAATGATGACACTATGCATAATTTGGATCCTGAATTACCATCACTTAAGAAGCAGTACGGCACGAATGATCCGGCCGTCCCTGCCAGTAATGTACCTTGTGGTGGGTGTGGGGCACAGCTACACTGCCAGGACTCTGCTCTCCCAGGTACAGTACTGTAATTATATCATCCTCATTTTATACTTTTTATCTTCACTACAAACATAGTTTTTATCAGTATTTGTTAGTCCAAAATTAGTGATGATTTTTTATTTTATTTAAATTTTTACAGGCTTTTCTTGTATGATTTATAACTGCCATATCTTACGTCAGGAATTACTGACCAAACATTTCTGCCCCATGTTTAATCATATCGTAACTACTGATCAAAGTTCGGGTGAGGTGGTTAGTTTGATATGCAGTTTTTGTTACAATAGTTAAGAGTAGTTGGGAAGGAGTGTTGGCGGCCACCCAAGAACATGGCAGGAAATGACTGGTAGGTGGTCTAATTTTTTATTATTATTATTTGGAAAGAAAGAATTATTATTTTTTTTTTCATAAAAAAAATATAAGCCCCTGAAAGATACCTATTTGGAATACTGTACGGTGAAACCTCCATATAATGGACTTCTCTCTCCATATAGTCCGTTAAATAGAGGGTTCACTGTAGTAGACCGTCTTGTTCACAAAATATAAAAGCCTTGCAAATAATATCGCATTGTTTTCTAGGTTTCGTCCCAAAAGAATTGTTTGAAGGTCTTGATCGAGGTGAGCTGCGAAGCGTCCTCTGCCAGCGTTGTTATTTCCTCAAGTATTACAAGATGGCCCTCAATGTACGCGTCTCACCAGAAGTATACCCGGAGATGCTGAAGCCAATCAAGGACCAGAAAGCATTGGTGATGGTTGTGGTTGACCTTTTAGATATGCCTTGTTCTATTTGGCCCAAGTTAATGGACATTATTGGTAAGTATACAGTATGTTTATAGTGTCTTTTTTTTCTCTAACCTTATGGTAACTTTACTGACTTGGGTAAATCTTCATTGATTGTGGAGGATGGCACTTTTATTTAAGGATGACAGATCAGTAGTTTGGGATTTTCAGTATAACTCATCTTGAGATTGGAACACTTATTTAGGATGGTTTATATTTTAGGAAAATTTGATGGTAAACTGTAATTAGTTTTAATTTTACTGTACAGTACTGTATCCTCTTTGTCACTTGTCTGCTGCTAGCCGGCAGCATTCGGTCAGTTCTTTGTTTTTGCATTATTGACAAGTACGTACAGTATACATGTATACTGTACCTTTACATGCTCCTAACCCTGGAAAAAAATCTTTTATGCAAGCACAGCATCAGTTATTACTAATACTGTATTGTTACCTTTTAACTGTGTCTGGATTCTCTAATTCTGGAGGAAAAAGTCTTAAGTTATATGATTATAAAAAACAGAATGGTCACAGTGCCAAGGAATCGTTCTCCAAAAAGGAACACTTGTCTGTCATGGTATAATGATGGATAACAGAATCCCTCAACCATTCCCAGGAGGTCCCTCTCTTTCTCCTTATACCCAGGGTTTCATTTCCATTCCACAGGGAGGAGGATGGGAAAATCAAGCCACCTTCTCATCTCGGACCTTTATTCATATGTTTTTCAATATACAGTACTCCTTCCCGACTTACGACGGGGTTAGGGACCCAAATCCAGGTCGTAAGTCGAAAATGCTTAAATAATACATAGAAAATCTAAAATGGGTGTCTCTTTTTCTTCTCAGCACCATAAAACTCTCACTTTTAAGCTTGTCAGCCATTATAAAGTGAATTACAAACGAAAATTTTGTCAGTACACAGCGCAATCACTGACGTTAGGACTTGAAAATACGTAATTTTAAAAAAATTTGGCACGACTGAGGCGGTCGTATGTCCGGGTGGTTTTAAGTCAGGGAGGAGCTGTACTGTATTTTTTTTTTAATGCAAGACAGTAGTGATCTTGTATTGTACATGTTATGCAGGGACAAGGAGGCCAGTGGTGGTGGTGGGAAACAAAGTTGACCTTCTCCCTGCTGATGGAAAGAACCACCTCCACAGAGTCAAGAAATCTCTGGTTGCTGCCGTAGAGAAGACTGATTTAGGACGAGCAAATATTCGCCACATAGCTCTTGTCTCAGCACACACTGGTTTTGGAATTGAAAGTCTTATAACAAAAATCCAGCATTCATGGGGCACAAAAGGTATGTGATATAATTGGTTAGCTGAAGTGATTAATTTATCTTTTGTAAAAACAGTTTCAACATTTAAGATAATTTATGCTCATAGGATTGTGTGTTGATGATTTAGAAATGTCAAGGAAAATTCTATCGAGTACAGTATTATAGAAGTTTTGAGTAAAAGTTTAAACAATGATGTATGTACTGTACGTACTCGAAACACACAGGAGATGTATACATTGTGGGATGCACAAACTCTGGCAAGTCAACACTCTTCAATGCACTGCTTGGGTCTGACATGTGCAAGACAAGTGCTACCAGTCTCATTCGCCGTGCTACAACGTCTCCTTGGCCAGGAACGACACTCAATATGCTTAAGGTATTTTTTATTCATCCCTCAGTTGTTGTCATTCTGGTTACAGTGAAGGTCTGGGAGGGAATGAATGGGGATTGGTGCCTGGAAAACTATTATAGTGGACCCAGAGAGAAGGACAAGGGTACACCACATTATCATTCAGACCTCCCTGACTATAGTTTTCTTATTTTTAGGGGACAGTTATGACTTAGAGGATCTGTAATGGTTTACATTTGTTCCAGCCACTAATGTTAGATCTCCTGGTATATTGTGCTCATTAATGTGAAGCCGTGTAGTGAAGAGTGGCTGACCATAGGGGATCCAGTCAGAGTAACAATATTGGTAGAACAATCTGTACGAGAAGTATTTTGAGAGTCCAGGATACTAATCAACTACTGGAGCCCGTTCACCTCTGCCCCTGAGGTTCAAACTCATGAACCCAAAGCAGTATAGTGATACATTATTCTGTCCTTAAATGCTTTGGATTCATTTGCATGAATTTTGGGGTTTCTGGTTCAGGGGGAAGAGGTGAATGGACTTTAGTAGTTGACTGCACGTGTTAATTTATGAGAACTTGTTTACTTTGTTTCAGTTCCCAGTTCTTCGGCCATCAGGTCATATGCTGTATTTAAGAGTTAAGAGACTGAAAGAAGAACAGCGAAAAACAGCAGAGGTTGATAAACTAAAACCTTTTTACACCAAAAGTGTTTCACTGGGAACATTATCTGGTAAGTACAGTACAGTACAATATACAGTAATATGCCTTAATGAACACATAGATGTATTCTTAAGGATGGTTTGAATGCAGGAGCCAGTGCATGCCCGGTATCTGCCAACAGCACGTATCAGAGATGTGACCGACCGCCCAAGTGGTTAATGAGCCGATCAGTGGCAGAGAGGATAAAAGTAAAAGTAAAATTATATTCTTGAAATGTAACATACTGTGTAAGACTTTGCACAAAATTTGCATTGATGGTGTAACTATTTTTCTTTTTGTCTCACTCACTCACTTTATATTGACTACTTTTATTTTTACATCAGGTACAGTCACCCAAAAAAGTCCTGCCGCCTCTCATCCTGAACCACGAATCCCGAGATTCAGACTCGTAAACCCTAAGCAGTAGAAACTGATAATTTATTCTGTCCATAAATGCTTCGGATTCAAGAGTCTGAATCTCGGGGTTCATGGTTCAGGGTGAAAGGCGACAGGACTTTTTTGGGTGACTGTACTGTACAGCTTTAAAACATCAGAGGGTAATAACCAAAAATAATGATTGAAAATAGATAATTGTACTATGGATTATTAAACTAGAACATTTACATCTGTCTTCATCCTCAAGTTGATCACCAATGCACCTGGCGAGCGGTGAGCAGTTGCTCCACTGATTCTTTTATGATAGTGTTCCCTTCCTCAGAACACAGACAGCTTCCTGGTATAAATAGACACTGTCAGAAGAACTCAAGGAAAGTATTGTATATATAACACTCTCTCTCTCTTGGCTATTAATTAAAGGGAAAGTATATCTAACACTCTCTTGGCTATTAATTTAAGGGAAAGTATATCTTAACACTCTCTCTTGGCTATTAATTTAAGGGAAAGTATATCTAACACTCTCTCTTGGCTATTAATTAAAGGGAAAGTATATCTAACACTCTCTCTCTTGGCTACTATTAATTAAAGGGACACTCAAGTTTAGGATTTTGTTGACTCGTACTAAAGTTTAATGGCAGTTTATATCTAGTTGTGTTTCAGGTCACATTGGCAGAACACTTGAAAGTGGGAAGGAGCCTGAAGAGAAGGTTGACCCATTCTCAACAAATATGAAAACTTTACCCAAAGAGCAGAGGAAAATTCTTGGTATCAATACATCTGATCCAAAATATTCACTTGGCAGATGGTGTTATGATACTCCTGGGACGGTCCAGCCAGATCAGGTACGGTAAGACAGTTTTACTACCGGATATTTTGTATATTTGACGAACTTACTGTCATCGTATTTTTTTCTTCTGCTCTTGTATACAGTATTACAACATGATTTACTTTAGCCAATAAGGTTTGTAGTTTCTTGGTTTATGTAAAATTTGAGGTTAGGAATTTCTGAAAGTGGCTGGATTTTTACAAAGTACAATACTGTTTAGGAGATTGAATAAGTAATGGAATATACTGTACATGTGTGGAAATGTAACAAAATGTCATGAACTGTTCGGAGATATTTTCAGGTCATGTTCTTAGAGGAGATGCTTTAAAGACTTTCCTTAAATCCTTCACTATAGGGACGTCACTTTTAACATTTTATTTTACTAACTCCAGACAATTCTATTCAGCTCAGAGGTAAACCCATAAACAAGGGGTTAAGTCACCTTACTGAAATTTGATGGAAACAGATAATTAAGTCATATAATGAACAAAGGTATTACACTTCCACAGTTAATCAACCTGCTCACTCATGAAGAGTTGTTGAAGGTGCTGCCCCATAAACTTATTAGTCCCAGGACCTACTGTCTTCAGTCTGGCCAGAGTCTCTTCATTGGAGGGTTGGCACGTCTTGATCTCCTTTATAGTCCTAAGTCAGTCAGGTACAGTAATTCAATTTTATGTTACTATATGAGCAGAGGAATTTTATTTCACACTTGTTAAGTTAATAAAATAAACTATCCTTACAAAAATTTTTTAAACAATGTGAAGACATAATAGATGATGGATTATGATAACTCTACTGAAACAACAAGAGTCGCAGTGTTCATTCTGAAATTCATTGGACCCCAAGTTCAGATAGTTTTTTGATTGACTGTACACTGATACTGTATAGTCAAAACTAAACAATTTAGTGCCCACAGACTGATGTACGGTGTAAAAACAAAAATTCTATGAAAAAGATTGAAATAGAAAAAAAAGTTGACTGTACTGTAGTATGAGATTTATCCAAAGATCCAAATGACGAAAATTAAGCTGTATCAAGTGTTGTCCTCTTGGCATTGGTCAGAACTTCTCAAAGTTTTTCTTTTAGAAATATAAGTATTCAGAGGTGCAATGCCTGAAGAGTGTTCTAATGTAGTTTCTCTTAATGCTTGGTAAAATTAATATTAAGCTATATGATGGGGATATTTCTTGATATAGAATAAATATAGATATGTAATATTTATTAAAAAAAAGGGGGGGGGGGAGGTTGTATAATGCTCTCCATATTCATTAACTTGTATGTTTTACAGGTTCACAGTCTTCAGATCTCAACATCTTCCAATAACAATAGTAAAGACTGTTGATGCTTCTGCATTTTATCGTAATTACCTCGGATCTGAACTTCTTGGTGTTCCAGTAGGGAATAAGGAGCGGCTTCAAAATTGGCCACCACTTTGTCCCCAAAACATCAAGACATTCAGTGTGGATAAAAGGAGTAGTTGTGCTGATGTGGTCCTGTCATCTGCAGGTGGGTGTTTATGTATACAGTTCAGTATATATACAGGTGTGTGTATGCTTGGGGGGAGGTAATGTTGTATGGCATATCCACATCACCATTCTGATATCGGTTTGCTCAAGCCTGTGTATATCATCCTCTTTCACTGCCATACAACACCAACTTCTATCATCATATTGGAAATCAGTTCCTAATTTAGCTTTATGTCCAGTGTGAGAGTGAATGTAAAAAAATTTTGAAGATCATAAGTAAATATCACAATTTGCAATGCCAACTTTACTTTTTATTTTCACAGCACAGTACAGTACTTTACCAAAATTTATAAGAACTGTTGGCTTTGCCAAACATTTGAAAAATCTATACAATACAGTACAATACTGTAGTACACATTACTAAATCGGGTGGACAGTTGTCTCATCTCATAGGGTTTTCCTTTACAGGTTGGGTAGCAGTTACTGGACTAGGGTCTCATGCCATTGAACTGCGAGGTTGGGCTCCTGATGGACGTGGTATATATCTAAGGGATCCTTCCCTTCTACCTCTGGCCAGCAATCTTAAAGGACTCCGCATAGGAAAATCACCTGCATATAGACCTCACAAAATTTTTGTCCCAAGATGAGAAGCTAAGAATTTTGTAATGGTGTTATTGTGCAATTTTACTATGTCGAGTTATCTACAATACTTCGCAAGTATAGTTAAAGAGCACCATTGAATTTGTCAGAGATCGCTCAACCTTTAAGGAGTATGGCTGCAGCTCATGCAGCCGTATTAATTTAAAACCTTCCTTACTACAGGATATGATCCATATATTTACATATCTCAAGGCAATTGTTTTCATGGCTCTGCCATAGTTGCATTGTATCATTGTGAAGGTAGAATTATTGGTATGTCATCAAAGAGATATTCCAATGCTGGCCAGATACTGTATTAGTTACTACAGTATCATAATGTTTTCCAGTTACTGGATGAAAGGTACAATACTGTAAAGGCAGTGAAAGTTAGGTGAGCATAATTTCCCAGCAAGGTTCAAAGATGAGGAACTAATTTATGTGTATTGACTTGGACAGAACATGCATGTGAAAAAAAAATAAAATAACCTTTATGATCTATTCTAAGTGAATGTAAAATACTTAGTGAGAAAATAAAAGATTTACTGACTTAAAGATATTCTTTGAGATTTTGTATCACTTGTCAGCTGCTTAATGTTTTGTTTTGGTACGTATTCTCAAAAATAAATTATTCATGTAGTTGTTTTAGTTTCATCTCCTCAAAAGGATCTTGATCTCCAGATTTATTAATTATTGTTACTGTTTATGCTTAACTGGAAGAGACTCAACAGAACAATGCTGGAATTAAGTTTCTCTTGTTGGTAGAAACCCTTATCAGTAGTGATGCACAGCTGACATATTGGTGGCTATTTTATCTCCGTCTGAAAATACCTTGATTTTCCCCTGTATTAATTGGAGGTGAGTGTGGTTGACTGGGTTAAAATATGTGATTGCAATCAAGACAATGTATTTAATTTCACAAGTGTTTGTACGATTGAAACTGATATTCTGAAAATACACTTGAGAGGACCTTTGGCAAAACATCAGCTTTCTTTCATTGTGATTCTGTTCGTTTTGTTTCCTACATATTATGTCCAGTTCCCACTCTGTAAAAGTGCTTTGGTAATAGAAACAGCATCCAGCCATAAAAATTTTCTTAAATTTACCAGATGGCAACTGGCATACCAAGCCATAAGGCAGGGGTGGCAAACAGGCAGCCCTGGGGCCCGACCCTCTTACATGCGGCCCACTGGCTGCTCCAGTTGCAGCTAAGAGGCTAAGACAGAAGCACTTGAAGTAAAAAGTTAAGTCTATTTGTATCGGATAATACTCTTTTAGTCTATTGACTTTATCTATTCTTTCGAGTCTGTTCAAAGGCAAGTGCTTGTGGATGCCCTTTGACTAGTGGGGGTTTCCCTCAGCTGAATAAAATTGTCTGGTGTTTGCCAAAATAAAATACTCAGTGCAACAGCACCAATGAAAGAGCAATTACAGATAGTTTTAATGGCTAATTGTGGTTCTAAGCATGCCACTGTACGAGTTGTGAGATGGGCCGACCACTGGCCGCATACCAGTATTAGACGTGATAGCTCTGATGCGGTGGGCTCTCGCTTGGGCATTCATACGGGTACTAGTCCTGCATGGTTGCTCAAGGCAGTTGGAGTGTTGCGAATAACGGAAGCAGTGTCCATTGTTTTTACTTTTGAGCCCATAATCATGTCAAAGAAAAGAACAATTAATGACGAGCGTCGGGTGGTACAGGAAAAGTGGAAAATCTTGTAATTTTTTGTTGAAATGAATGGAAGACCAACATGTTTGATTTGTAAACAACAGATAGCTGTTGCCAAAGATTACAACATTCGAAGGCATTATGACACTAACCACGCTCCGAAGTATAATAAATATAGTGGCAAGTTACGTGAAGACAAAGTTAAAGAGTTAGAGCAGTCATTGAAAAAACAGCAGTCAGTATTAAGAGTGTTCATCAAGTCAGTGACGCTGCAGTGAAGGCAAGTTACAGGATTTCCCATGAAATAACTGTCATCGAAGCCTTTTTCTGAAGGGAACTTTATAAAGAAATGTATGTTGATGGCTTCAGAAGATATTTGCCAGAAAAAGGTCAAGCATTTGCAAACATTAGCCTCTCAAGAAATACAGTTGCAGAGAGAATTAATGAATTATCAGAGAACATTAACAGTCAACTCAAAGACAAAGTTATGTCCTTTACCGCATTTTCTGTTGCAGTTGATGGAAGTCCCGATATAACTGAAGCACAACTTGCATTTTTATACGTGGTGTGGATGAAAATATGCAGTTAACAGAAGAGTTTGTGGAACTGGTACCAATGAAAGGAACAACAACAGGTGATGAAATCTTTGCGAGGTTGGTAGGGGCACTGGATAAATTAGGTATTGACTGGGTACAAACTGTGAGTCTGGCTACAGATGAAGCACCGCAAATGGTGGGTAGAAAAGCTGGTGTGGCAACAAAATTAAAGGAAAAACTACTAGCTGTGAACCCCGACCCTCAATTTCATAATTTGCATTGCATTATACATAGAGAAGTGTTGTGCAGTAAAACATTATAGATAAATAATGTCATGGATGTCGTTATAAAGACAGTGAACTTTATATGAGCACGAGGTCTGAACCACAGACAGTTCAACTGCTTTCTAGGGGGAAAATGAGAACACACACGGACTGTCACATCAGACTCATGTTTGCCGGTTAAGTCGGGGAGTCGTACTAAAGCGATTTAATGAAATGCGCAGTGAAATACAAATGTTTATGGAACAGAAAGGAAAGGATGAGCATGAATTAAAAGATAATGAACAGGTTCAAGTTCTAGCTTTCATGGTGGATATTACAGAGCACTTAAATTACCTGCACATAAAGATGCAAGAATGCAATATATTGGTAACAGAATTTTATGACTGCATTAGTGCCTTCGAGATGAAACTGCAGCTTTTTGAAAGGCAACTTGCAGAGGGTAGTCTTTCACACTTTCCGACCTAAAAATCGCTGCAAGGCACACCTGAGCTTCATGTTGATACCAACACAGAAAAGTACAATACTGCATCAAGATTTCCTAGTTGAGGAATGAGTTCCAAGAAAGATATGCCGACTTTAAATACCCTGAGAAAGATTTTTCCATTTTTTTAGAACCCATTCTGTCATTGTTAATGAGGTACCAGAACATCTTCAGTTAGAATTAATTGAGCTCCAGTATGATTCTGTTTTGAGGAACAAGTTTTAGAGAGTCGATGTTGACACATTTTATCAATATGTGGGACCAAATTATCCCAGGATTAAGTGTTTTGCCTCAAAGATTATGTCCTTGTTCGGAAGTACATATGTTTTTGAACAGCTCTTTTCTGTAATGAGCATAATAAATCTCAGCTTCGTTCTCAACTTACTGATGCACACCTGAATTCAATACTGAAGGTTGCTACAGCTCCAAACTTTGATGCATTGGTCCATACCAAGAGGGGTTTTTTTCAGAGCTTCACGATCGCCCTTAAGCGGGGGGCTCGTCCCTCACTCTCGAGTAGACTAAGACCTCGTCCCTCAGCTACCAATGCCTCTAGTCCTGTTCCTGTATCCACCTCCCTTATTTTGCCGCACTACTCCCAGAAGGGGCGATCACGAAGTGTTCATAATTAGTGTGTACTCATTAAATCTGGCCCACCATAGCAAACGAGTTTGACACCCCTGGTATAAGGTAATCATGGCTAACAAAAGCAAGTGTGGAAAATGGCCACAAACCAGTGATGGTAATGATGATGAGTCAATAAGCTTACCATGCCAGTAATTATTTATATTAAGATTATTCTTCATAGAGATGCAGTGGCTTAGTGGATACAGTGTTCACCTCTTGGCCTAAGGGTTGCTGGCTTGTGCCTGGAACACCCAAAGTCATTCCAACTTTGAATGGATAACTGACTCATTGGGAATATGAAGGCTGTTGTGTTCAGTGCCAGCCAATTTGCCTCCTGAGTACCAAGACTTGGTGTTTAGTGACTGTAGCCACACAACAGTTACACTAATGAGGACCCATTTTCACCAACTTGGGATCTGTTTCTTAATTTCTTATTTCTTTGGCAGATAGCTGGGTAGTTCACCTATTTACCAGTAATTTAGCTTACAGCAGCACACGTACAGGTAGTGGTGGCAGACAGGAAAGGAGGCTGGTGGCCATTGTTTTGATGATCTTGTCCAGGGCTATTGTGATCCCAGTATATTACATAAGTTTAAATAACTACAGAATCATTTGGGGCAGCTTACAGTAACCAACCAGACCTTCATCAAACCTAACCTAACCTATTTTTGCCAATCAGTGGTGAAGAGGATCAAGTAAAGTAAAGTACTGTACTGCATATTGATCCATCATCTTTATGTGAATTTGTCTTTGCAAATGGACACCCATGACCAAATTGGTCTTAGACAAGTAAATAGCCTTTGTTTATAGGTTATCCAATACTGTACCTAAATTGGTCCCATTTTGGCTTATACAAAATTAATCATTCGGCTCTCCAGCAAAAACAAGTTGAATAAAAAAAATGGCAACCATATTCTACATTTCATTCAGTATTTTAGCAAAAAGCTATTAATAAAATTTATCTTCCAGGAAAACTTCATAAAACTTTCTTATCCTCATCACCACTTGTCAGATTCTAATATACAGTAAGTGCAGCATCTTCAATGAAATAATTTATTCATCTTATTAGTCTTTGTGAATCTGATCAGGAGACACAAACCTTCTGTTTTTATAAGTAAATAATAATCCAGTTCATGCCATGCCCAGTACTTGTCAACATTGCGTAACAGAGACGTGACCGACCGCCCAAGCAGCTAACGAGCTGATCAGTGGCAAAGAGGATAAAAGTAAGAAAGAAGAGAGACGTATGCCTGCTGGCTCAACTGTTAGAATCATCTCATCGTACAAACTCTGTTAGGCAAGCAATACAATAATCATACCAGACCCCCTGTAGGTGGCAGGAATTGAAGGCTAACCATATTAACTATTTTATTTAATGTTAGAGCTGTGTGTTCAACTTTGAATTTAGTAGGTAGATAGGCAGCTACCAAACAGGGAGGTACTACCGCCTGGGAAGATATTGGAAGCATAATGTGTTGTCTAATGGTAGACCCTGCTGCCATGGTGACCAAGTCCCAGGTTGCTGATCTGACTTTCTGCCTCATTTACACACAATTGCAGGGTCTCATTGTTTCTCTTACTTTGACAACACAACATATATAATGCAAATAATTTCTCACTCTTGATTTATTTTTTTCAATTTTGTATTTATTTATGGTTATTATTTTTATTATTTTATTTGTATTAATTTGCAATTAGTTTTATTAATTGTTGTAATAATAATAATAATAGATATTATTATTATTATTATTATTATTCATTATTATATTTTCGCTCCCCAGGCCCTGATGTGGGTTTTTACCTGTGCCCGGGTGGGCTAATGCCAGTAAAAAAAAAATAAAAAAGTAAAAAAATGCAACCTTCAAGTCTGTGGGTAGGCCTTCATGTGGTAATTCACTCCAGTGTCCAGCAGTGAAAGTGGTTCTCTCTATGTCTTCCCTATCAACCATTTCTTGAGACAATAATCCTCTTCTGGAAGACATCCTCAAGTAGTTGTGCAGGACAACAGCACAAACACTCACACATGACTACCACCACCATCCCCTCCCTGCTAACTTCTCAAGGATGGGGATGAAAATGAATTAAACAGTAATTAAAAACTAACCGAGTCGTGAAGAGAATCATGTAAAGTAACATTACAGAAATTCACTGCTCTACACTGGACACCATTAGCTGAATTCCACTGGGATGAGAATGAGGAGTTTGCTTGTCTCAGAGAGTGTAGTCATTTGCACCTATTTAACGTATAACCTACAGTACTTAACAAATTGTTGAACTAACTTTATTTTAAGATGCTCCCAGATCTTTAGATCGCTGAGGCCCATATCCCTCGGTGTTGAACTAGGCTGTTATGGCATCTCAGCTTCCTTCTTTAATGACTTCACCTCGACACATATCTTCATTTTGTATTTTTTTTCCTCGCCAATTAACGGTACCAAAAACTCCCGTTCTGTGAGCGTTATAGGGCTTGTCCTCACTGGTTAAGAGGAGTGGGCGTAGTGGGTGTTGAACCTGGCGCCAGTGAAGGTGGACACAATAACCTCGACAGGCCCACAGGGAGAAGAAGAGGCTCCATTAATTAAAACTACAGCTTGAAGGAACGATTCTTACCTACAGACTCTTCCTGAAAGACGGGAGGAGGGTGATTAAAACTCTAGGCGCCAGGGTTTAAAAGTAAAATAAAGATAAAGTAATAATTTCTTATATCACCTGGTAAAAAAAACTTCGAATCTCTTGAAATCCGAAAACTAGCTAAATTAATAAGAATGATTAAACACTTTATTGTTTATATTTGTGGATACACTTATTAATTATGTAGGTATATTTACGTTTAAAATCCATATTTATACTTTAGATAATCACTAAGATAAAGCATACAAGCATATATATGGCCAAGAGAATAAACTAAGTAAAGTATATACAAATTACAGTTTAAATTTGTTTTTATTCCTTTAAATCCATAATATAATGCTTAATATTTTATATTAAACTTCCAATTATATATATTGGCAATAAATATAACCCTAAGATATGAATATTAAGGATAATTAAAGTGATTTGTTACTTTTGTCTTTTTTCGTGGTTCAGGAGGACCTCTTGAAAGCTTCCTGCTGGATAGAAACGGAAGCTGCTGAGGTGAGATGTAAACAAGAGTGTGGCCAGCGAGGTGAGGGCCAGGGGCTTATAGGCTATATTGATCTTGTTCTCAAATTCGATCAAGATATTTAGGTGTAAATTGATAAACCAAAATGCTACTTTTAAGGTCTTTATAAAATTAAGATGATTATTTGTGGTTATGTTTGGTGGAGGACGACTGTGATGGTGTCTGGTATATCAACCATAATGTTACATTTTTAATGTCTTCAGAAAGTTAAGGTGGTTGTTTGGTTATGTTTGATTGGGGAGGACTGTGATGGTGTCTGGTATCTCGTCATCAACACTTATTTTACACCTTAAAATACACTACTTCAGAGTGAAGATGTTGGTCACTTCAGAATCTCTGCTTGGTGGTCGGTAGAGGTGCCCTATAGGCTTACGCCCTTCATAATCGGTATTATAAAAATAAAAAAAAATAATGGCAATCAGTAGTGTGAGCTACCTAGTTATGGGCTCACCTTTAAATAGGATATTAGAATCAGTCCTTTGATATATATACTGGTAAATTTGCACTGCCACACTGCACTGTTAGAAAGTCAAAAATATATTTTTCTACTGTATTTGTATGTGTTTAGACCGAATATGACCTTCATTTCTGACGGAAATTACCCGTTTTTTTTATCGATTTTTTTTTCCGTTGGACGTTTTCCGAAAAAAATAATGGCTAAGCGAATAAAAAATACACCAAGAAACACTAGAAAAACAAACTGTTAACCAAACCTAACCTAACTGACTCTCACCATTTGATGGAATCACCTATTTCTTACCTTATTGGCCTGGTTCTTGTTCGTCGTTGGATTCTGAGATTCTTATACAATGCCACATATGTTGGTCTTTGCGATACAGTATTTACTTTCAGTCTTGCACTTATGACACTTTACTGAGGAACACCATGCGATCGAAAAAATGCTATAGTTTCTTCGTTTTTTTCCCAAAAACTCGCAATCAGCTCCATATAATTTAAGTGACACCCATCACAGACTTCCACGGTGGAAACGAATATGAATTTGGAAATATGAGAGACCCAAAATAAAAATCGATTTTGATTGGGTAAAAAATACTGTGAAACAAACCACAAATCATTTTAATTGTTGCAAAAAAAAAGGCTTTTGATTGGTCGCGTGACATGTATGGGAACGCAAGCGCGTGATGATTTATGAAGGAGACAAACAAGTGTGAGAGGTGAGGCAGGCGATAATGGCGCAAGATTAATGGAAGAAAATAGAGAAAATTTTGGATACACTTTCTCCGTTATTATGCATTTCCACCGGTAATGTAATAGATGAAAATTATCTTATAATTAGACGTCTTATTCGAATATGATAATAGATTAGTGGTAGGAATGTGCGGTGTGTAAACGTAAAAATACCTATACAGTATACTTTTAAGTGGGCTGGGTTGATCAGTAGGAAGATCTTTTTGTGTCAATAATTATTCCATTTCTTAATATGTTTTCTTTCTTCTCACAGATGGCTGCACCACTGAGTCAAAAGGAATATCTGAAGAAGTATCTCAGTGGTAATGATCCAGAAAAAAAGAAAAAGAAAAAGAAAAAAAAGGATAAACTTCCAGGTCATAGCAAAGGGTAAATATATTGTATGTTTCTTTTCTTTTGTAGAGGCATATACAGTACAGTAGTACTGTACCATACTAAACCCTTGTTAAATGAAGATTCATATATAAAAAGTAAAACCCTCGCTTAATGAGTACAGGGTATAATAGTCTTGTATACAGTATGTTATATGGCTGACTCATGCAAGCGTGGAAAATAACCAAAAACGATGAGGATGGTACCCTCTCTCTTTAAGAATTGAGAGGTCCAGTTATGGCTGGCATGGTATTTGTTTTGGCAACACTTCATTGTTGTATCCAGATGTGATAAGGCTGCTGTGTCACCAGGATTAGCAAGCATACCAACTAAGAACATAAGAATGGAGAAAACTGCAGTGGGCCTATTGGCCCATACTAGGCAGCCCCGTTTACACCTAACCCCTAGCGTTCATATATCCATCTAACCTATGTTTGAAATTACCCAGCGTATGAGTTAATGGTAACTTGTTTGGTAACTTGTTCCACTCATCCACTAATCTATTTCCAAATCAATGTTTACCCATCTCGCGCCTTAATCTAAATTTGTCTAATTTAAAACCATTGCTACCAGTTCGCTCCTGGTTGGATAGTTTGAGTACCTTTGTTATATCACTTTGTTTAGCCCTGACTTCCATTTATACACCTTTATCATATCGCCCCTTACTCTACGTGTCTCGAGGGAGTGCAAATTAAGATGCTTTAACCTGTCTCTGTACTCAAGGTTCCTAATGCCCAGGATTAGTCTTGTCATCCTCCTCTTGAATTCTTTCTAGGGATTTTATATCCATTCTGTAAAACTGAACTGCGTAATCCAAGTGAGGTCTCACAAGCGCAAGATATAGTTTTAGGATAACCTTGCTACTCTTGTAACTAACACTCCTTTGTATGAACCCAAGGACTTTGTTAGCCTTGTTTCGAGCAAGTACACATTGTTGTCTTGTTTTAATATTTCTACTTATCATTACTCCTAAATCTTTCTCAGTCGGATTTCTCAATAACATTGTTGTTCATCTGGTATCTAGTTTTAGTTTACATCTAGACTAAGTACTTTACATTTGTCCAAATTAAATTTCATCTGCCATTTATCAGACCATTCAAAATTTTTTTTAGATCTTCCTGAAGTTTGGCGGAGTCCACTTCAAATTTAATTACACTCCCTATTTTAGTGTCATCGGCAAATTTACTTATGTTGATGTCTACACCTACGTATATTTGTGTACTGTATATAATAAATAGTAATGGTCCAAGTACTGATCCTTGGGGCACTCCACTAGTGACGTTACCCCAATCGGATTTAGTGCCATTTATGATTACTCGCTGTTTCCTATCCCTAACCACGCCTTAATCCAGTTTAGAATATCTCCTTCAATTCCATGAGCCTCCACTTTTTGTATTGGTCTTTCATGGAGGACTCTGCCATTAAATGGGATTTCAAGATTCAGTCTCACATTTCATACTTCAATCTTCCCCTTTCTCTGCTCTTATGCAGTCCTCTGTTAATTCCTTCACTGTTAGCAGTACTGTATGTATAACAGCATCCTGTACACTGCTTATTACTGCTCAGAGAAATTAACCCTTTGTATATGCTGGTCTTAGTGCTGAATAAAATCATCTGGTGTTAGACAAATAAAATTTTAAAATTGGCATCCCCTGAAGGGGTTAACAGTTTGTAAAATAAAACCTGCCATCTTATCATCTCCACGTTTTGTTCCCAACTGGTGACATGGCAATGAATATTAATTTACAGTATTCATAAAACAGGAGTTTCAGATAGTTCATTGAATGCAGTACTATATGAAATGTAAACTGCAAAGATTCCATACATAATTTAATGTGGGTTCTAAATTGATTGTAGATTTCATAAAAACTTGAATTAATTGTTGTTAGGGATAAAAACTTGCCCAGTAAAATAGGTCATTAATTACTGCTTGTTGTACATTACAGAGTGCGCATCATTGAAGATTCTCTTGACCTGAAAACCGTGCCTTACGGATACACAGATGATGACGATAACCCAACAATAGCTGAAGTCACTTATGAAGATGAAAAAATTAAAGCAATGGAAGAATTTAAAGGAAATAAAAGGTGGAAGAAGGTAAGTGACAAGGAGGGTAAGGAGGATGATGACTCTGATTGGCTGGAGCTGCATCACCAAAGACGAAACGTGAGGAATTCTCCTCCACACAGATCAAGACATGACTCTGGATCTCCACCAAGGAAGAAAAGACATGACTCTGGATCTCCACCAAGGAAGAAAAGATATGACTCTGGATCTCCACCAATGATGGCAAGACATGACTCTGCCTCACCTCCACCATTAAGAGCAAGACATGACTCTGCATCTCCTCCACCAATAAGGGCAAGACATGACTCAGAGTCCCCACCATCGAGAAGACACGACTCTGGGTCACCACCTCGTACTTTAAAACGTAACTCTGGCTCTCGACCGCGGAGCAGATTAAGTAATTCCAGATCCCCTCCTGTGAAACAAAAGACTCAGAATTTCGATGAATCACTTCAGTCAGCTCAGAATTTGGATATCAAAATGTCTCCATCAAAGAAAATGAGACATGATTCAGATTCATCTCTGTCAGGAAGTGCTGATGATAAGCAAGGTGCCAATTCCCCAGATCTCTCACCAAGCAGAAAAAGACACGTGCCTAATTATTTACCTCCAGGCAGAAAAAGATTAGATTCAAATTCACCACCAAGAAAAATACACGTTTCTGACACGCCGCCTCCTGGAAGAAGACGTGATATGGACGCCTCACCTCCGGGTAGAAGGCATGATACAGGTCCGACATCTCCAGGCAGAAAAAAGTACAGTTCAGACATTTCTCCCTCGAGGATACAACAACATGATTCAGATGCTTCATCTTCGAGAAAAATGAGACCAGATTCACGTATTTCACCCACAAGAAAAAGAAGACAAGATTCAAGTAATTCACCTCCAAGGAGAAGACATAATTCAGACACTTCACCCACAAGAAAGGGGAAAGATTCTCAGTCATTGCTATTCAGGAGGAAAAGGAATGATTCTGATTCCTCTCTTGGAATGGAGAAAAGTGAATCTGATTCCTCTCCACCCAGGAAGAAGAGAAATGATTCTGATGCCTCAACTCCACAGGGAAAAAGGAGTGATTCAGATGCTTCAACTCCTAGGAGAAAAAGACTTGATTCTGACTCTTCACCCCTTAGGAGGAGGAATGAATCAGATTCTTCACCGCCCACAAGAAAAAGAAATGATTGTCGTCCCTCACCTCCTAGGAGAAAGAGGATGGATTCTGATTCCTCACCACCGAGAAAGAAAAAAAATGATTCTCAATCCTCTCCTCTCAGAAGAAAGAGGAATGATTCTGATTCCTCTCCTCCCCGAAGAAGTAGAAACGATTCTGATACTTCCCCTCCCAGGAGACAAAGAAATGATTCTGACTCTTCTCCTCCCAGAAAGAAAATGAATGACTCGCATATTCACCCACAGAAAGATAATAGACAGCCTCTACAGCGGAAAATGACCACCCAGGAGTATCTCCTGGCAAGGAAGCGCGGTCAGCTGAAGAAAGATACTCCAGAAGATCTTGCCAGGAAGGAAAGGGAAGCAGTGTTGCAGCGTCAAGCTGAGGAAAAGCACAAACAGTGGAAACACGGCATGAAGCAAGTGCAGGAATACCAACAGAAGGTAGCTGATGACATGCATGAGATGGGTAAAGCCTTTGCTAGAACTGCTGATGATATAGACATGAATGATCGGTTAAAAGTTGTAGCTCGAAAAGAGGATCCTATGCTGGATTATATTATGCAGAAAGATGTTAAGTCAAGTAATGAGCCAGTTAAACCAATATATAAAGGTTCATTTCCTCCAAACAGACTCAATATTCGACCAGGCTACAGGTGGGATGGAGTAGACAGATCAAATGGTTTTGAAAAACAATGGTTTGAACGTCAGAACAGTAGGAAAGCTCTTGATGAAGAAGCATACAAGTGGAGTGTTTCTGACATGTAGATCTATAATTCAAGTACAAAATTAATGCTCGTGGGATATTTTGTCAGTGGTAGAATTATTTCATGTTCGCATAAATAATTTATGTACCATTTCCCCCCACTTAGCTCTTTTTAATTTTACTTTACAGTATAGAGCTGTATTTTGGGCAATTTTACTGTTTTTGTGCATTGTGAAGTCAGATGCTGTATATTCAGTATCTTATTTTTAAAGGATACAAAGTGGTTTAGATATATTTTAACTCCTACTATGCATCACATTCAAGAGATTGTGGAGTACGTACTCTACTGTATTGTAATGCTTTTTCAGTGTTCTCCTGCCAAGGGTTATACACCACACACTGATTTGTTTTCCTGTGCATGTAAAATTAGTGTCTGTTTGTTACTATCCTTAGTGAGCAGCTTGTATGGCACACTAACTGTTTCTCAGTCAATGTACAAGTTGGGGTATTGTTAGTGAAGCCTTTTTTTCTTGCATTATACCCACAGCCAGTTGATGTTCTCTTAATACAGGCTGCTTATTGGGGGATTTTTGGTCCTCATACAACCTTCAGTATGTCACCCAGGTAGATTTGTTGACACATTTGCTAAAACGAAATATCCTTCCTTCCCCTTCACACCTACTGTATTACCTTCAAAACATGGAAGATAGGGTGTAACAGTTATCTTCTAGAGACAGCAGGTCTTTTAGATCCGTGTCTGACCAATCAGCACACTCCACTCTAAGGCTGACTGCTATCAAGAACAAATGGTCTAGCTAGATTCTAGACGAATTGTTCTTGATAGCAGTAAAGTTCTTCTAGACTCTAAAACTTAACCCTGGCATTCTTATTTACTACAAAAAGCTAAGCATCCAGCCAGCCCTTTACAACACATCAGAGATTGTAAGCAGAAATTACCGGTATTGGTGTGATGATTTAAGTAAGAGAGATATAACATCTTATATGTATCATTTCATATTGACTTTACCGACCTACCCTAGTGTGCGTGAGGTTCCATAGTTCCCAAACTGAATCTACGGTATTATGTCTACTGCACATTGAGTTTGTTCCATAAGAAAAGATAGACAGGCATGTGTTTTATTTAGGCACTGTGAAATGCCTAAGAGATTCAGTTCCAGAAAGACTGCCTGAGAAATGAGTGTTGGGTTTGTGGACATAATTTGTCAGATAGAGCTTAAAAGGTCAAATTATATCTGATTTCCTTCATGTTAGAGATAATGTGTGTAATGAGGATGGAAGGATGATGGGTTAATAAGTCCCCCTGGTTTACATAATTAGGGCTGCCTGTGTTACAAGCTGCCTGGCCAGAGGCTATCAGAAAATAAGATTATAGGATCAGTCCTCATTTTTTTCTGTAATGATTCCCAGTATATGTGGAGGATTTCTCCCACAAACCTGATTAAGGAATTGTAATGTTTGGAGTAAATTTAAGATTTTGTACTTGCAGGTACAGTACATAGCCTTACCAATAAGATTACTGATATCTTTATACATGTAGGGGTCTGAGTTGCTTTCCCTTCCACCAAATGTAATTTTTAAAAGTAGGCTGTGTCCATGTGTTTAAAGTATTGTATACTGTACAGTATCCAGGTATTTAATTTACAATTGGAAAATAAAGTCATTTACTGTTTGAGTTCTTTTTACATTTTTTCTCACTTGTACAAATTAGTTCTTCTTGTGTATGTATTATATTTATTCCACCAAGGTCCAATGAAGATATTCCTCTTGAATGATTCATGACTGTTAGTAGTAGTATTTCTACAAAGATTGTCAATTGTTTAGGTATGCCAGACAGATGTCTTACAAATTAATAGAATTTGCTTACTGTTCCAATTAACTTGCCCCATTATTTATGGATATACATGACAAATGAATATAAAAGTGTACAATGTCTAGAACTGTATATCTTAAAACCAAATTACACTTCCTGTGTCAACTTTAGTGGCAATAAATATGATGACATCTTTGTGTTTTTTGTAACTACATTTATATGTTTATAACCACCAGACATTACTGAGTGAGTGATGAGATCGCAGTATACTGAACGAGCTCACCAGTGTTGTGGGACATTACTCTGTTCAAAAGAATATTGTATTGTACAGTATCTGCATCTATTTACCGTCTGACTCAGAGCCTACTAAGATTATCCAGCTAACACATAAGTGTAGAAAATGGCTATAAAACTTTGATGATGAGAGTGGCCGTCGCCTTTGTGGCCAGCAAGTATTCATTCAGGAATTAAACTCCAAACCTCAGGATCTTACGAGTCATGAAGGATGGACACCCATGTGCAAGTTAGAGACCACAGAGCAGGTGTTCTGGTACAATAAAGTATCTAGTCACAGCTCAACTCAGACTTGACCTCCCACAAAATGAAAAAGTGGACCACAGCCCAGCTTGAGGCTCAGACTCTAACATGCAAGCCATCTAAATATCCTCTTTAACTACACCATAACTATTACATAATAAAACTACTGATCAGCACCATTAAAGGTACAGTTTTGTACAAAAGTATTTTGTTTATTTACCAATATTGTAATCGTTTCTTGATTAAACAATTAATATTCATGTACAGTATAATAATAAAACTAATTCTTGAGTCGTCTGTATACACATGTAATTTCCATTTGTGTAAAATACTAACTTACAAGTTGTCAATAATACCAGCGACTTAGTAGTGACGAAACAGGTTTGATATTGGTGACGAAATGGGTTGGATTACAACTCGTATTTATAAGTGTCTCTCAGATATTAAACGAAATTTTGGCTGTATTTTGTGACAATTTTGCCGAATAATCATTACTATTATTATTATTAGGAGTAGTAGTAGTTGACAATAGGGCATCAGTCACTGAAAAAGAATGGCACATAAATTTGCAGCTTAATTTTGTATTAAGATAGTTAAGTGGGGAAGGTATCGATATAGAGAGGTTGGAGATTACATTGTAAAAAACATGGAATATCATTATTATTATTATTATTATTCGTGATTACAGGTAAGATATTAGTGCGTTTGGTCAATAAATAAGGTAGAGGAAGGTAAAATCCGGATAACAATGAAGTCAATCCGGATAGCCGTGATGAAGGAGTGCATCACGCTGTTTGTTGTGGTCCTGAGTGTTAGTGTGTGTGGCTGTTAAAGGTCACTAATATCTTGTTCTCTGGTATTTCTCTGGTATGGTTGATCGCAATGACAGTCGGGTGAGTTAAAAAGGATAGTATGTTGATGTTGTTTGATATTTAAGAAGTATTAATTTAATGGTAAAGTTAAAGAAACAATGGTTTACGGGATATTTTTTTCCCGTTGGTATTTTAGGCTACTGGTAAGTACAGTATTATAATGTAGTTTTATATTGACTGCGCATTATTTGATATGGAGACACATTGATTCTTTCAAATGGAGAATTAGTTAACAATCTATTTCTTGATGTGGATATTAGCAGACATGATCGGGTCAATTCTTACAATGTAAATCTCGGTAAATATGGAGTGGTTTGTAAAACATCATTAAATTTATCACTTTTGCTGCATTTTGTATGCAGAGGTTTTTTTGGGTAATAGATGTACAGTATATACATTTATTGAGTAAAATTTGTCATATTCTGTAAGTTCTTATTAGTTGAGCCCAAGTGGCTAGCGAGCCGATCAGTGCTGAAGAGAATAAAAGTAAAAGTAATAGTAAGTACATCGCATATCAAGAAACAGAGAAAGAATATAATTTTAAAGGTGACATTAGACATTCTCAATTGGCCGAATATGCGTCAGATGCACAATTTGCTTCGGGAAACTTCAAGATGGAGCGTACTTAAGTTTTGTGGTAAAATACAGTACAATACTGTACTTGTATAGTTCTAGATACCTCTCATGTACTGTACAGTCAGATCCACAAATAACAAGGTTAAGAGTACAGTGCAGTAATGCAAAAACAAAAAAGAACAATCATGTAAGGTCTTTTCAAGCTTTTTTAAAATGTCAATTGTTAGATTGTGACATTAATGCATTTATTAAAATTTAGAGAACTTTACTTAAATAGGTGCCCTAGGGAAGATGTGGATCATATCCCTTATTCTACAGCAGCATAGCCAACATAAGGAGTAACCTCATTGTTGTCTGGCAGTAACTTTTATGTGGGTCTGTCTTCCATCCTGTAATACCAGCACTTAGTACCAGTTAAAAAATAATTCCCTAGATGTAAGATGATTGTTTAAATTGTTATAGAGTACAGTATTTCTTTTTCTGTAGCATATACTGTATTACAATACAGTTGTGGTGGTGGTAAAGACTATTCTCATTCTGAATATGAAAGTCAAATATGACAATAAATCTCTGAATAAGCTACTGCACGAGTTATAGATCATCATTTTTACATCAGAATGAAGAGAAACGGTGTGCACAAGTGGCGGTGGAAAGTGTCATAACATGGGGTGAGGCTGCAGGTGTGGCAGACATCTCACAAGACATGGCTCGGGCTATTGCCGCTGATGTCACTTACAGATTGCGCCAGAGTTTGAATGTGAGTTTCATATTTTGCATGCTGTTTATAATTTGTTTTAGTCTTATATATCAAGTGTTCATTACAGCAAATATATTGTGGTAAACTTGTAGAATAACTTAAGGATGATGGTAATAATTGTTCATGCACACAATTCTTTTATAATGCATGGTGGCTAGACAGGTACTGACCCTACATCTTGGTGTTCAGTTACTTGTGTAGAACACCACTTCCCTGGTAGGATGTTAGTCTAGCATAAGAGTGTTACCATTATTGGCAATTGGTCTATGAATGTGCAACCAAACAGAATGTACAGTACTGGATATGTATTATGAATACAGGCAGTCCCCGAGTTACGACCGTCCGACTTACCAACACCTGCATTTATGAACGGGATCCCAATACATTCACCACAAAAAGTTGTAATTAAACTCCCATTTGTTACATTATTTTCATCATTATATATTGTTTAACATCACTTTATTTACATTATTTGTTATGTATGGGATATTATTGTTGTTTTGTATGGGCTTTAACCTAACCTAAACTATGGGTCCAGGAACTTATCCCTGTTGTAAGTTGGGGACAGCCTGTATTGATGTTGCTTTGTTTAAAAGGTGTTACTTGATGTTATACTGATATCAGCCTCACTATCGTTTTATCTCCTGCAACCAAAAGCTTTTGATAATTTTATGTATTTATATCAGGTGTGTGGCCAGTTCCTAAGGCATTGTAAACGTCGCAAACTCACCCCAGATGACGTAAATCGTGCTCTGAAATGGATGGACATTACTTCCATTATGGGGTATGTATTGGCTTGTCTATATGAAAAAGAAAGAGAAAGTATGTGTTGTGTGTGTGTGTCTGTAGAGGAAGTACCTAATGGTATATATCAATGAGATTGTTATGAATAATAAATGTGAATTATATTTGCATTTATGTAAAATAAGATCCCTTTCCAGATACAGTAGAAGCAGTCATGTAGCCAGATCCAAAGAAAAAAAATACATAATAACTACTGTAAGTCAATGCAATAGTGACAAAAAAAAAAAAAAAATAAATTTAAAGCTGCCTTCCTGAATTATCGTACTGTAATTACAGGTACACGGGAAGTGAGCCAGTCGAGTGGCAAGGAATACCAGAGGTTGGTGTTCACATCCCACATGATCCCACTGTAAACTTAGCCAGTACAGCCCTCAGTGGAGACATCTTCCATCAGCCTGGCAGCCCGTGTGTTAGAGGTGAGGAATAAAATTCTCTATTCTTGTGTTAACATACTTTGACCTTAGTTTGTGAAGCACTGTTTAATGGCTCTGCCACACAGATATAACTATAAATAAATTCTAACTTTCAGGTGAGTGGGCCTACATCAGTGGTCACACAATGGTGAAGGGTGAAGGAGGGGGAGAGTCTGTGCCTGCTCCCCTGCCACTCTCACCAGAACACCACCAGTATTATCAGATGTTATTCACAGTTATAGCTGGACCATCCAATGATCTTTTTAAGGTGAATATTAAATAAAGTTTTCAACATGTTAAGTATTTCTGTTGAACACATGAATTTAATAATTGGGTGAAGATGTACTTATGTCATTCCCCGAGAGATATTAAACCCTTCCAAGGATGCCACTGTTAATATTTTGTTCAGCAGAGGAGACCCTGTATACCAGTGGTTAGGGGAGATAGTCTACTAACCACTGCTGAATAAAATTGTCTAATGTTACCCAAATAAAATATTAAAAGTGGTGTTCCCAGCAACAGGGTTAATCAGCTGACAGAGTACAGTAGTGTTCATTATAGTAAACCTTCTGTCTAGGTCACTTGTACATCTAGTTACAGAAGGGAATGGGAAGCAAACTCTGCAAAAGTTTTGGTGCTTTTTTTTCAATATTATTGTATTTATTTGCAAAATGCAGTTTGCATTTTTGGATTTTTTTTTTATTTTTTTTTTTTTTTGCAAAAGTATGAATGAATGTACAGTATACCAGGTGATCTCTTCATCATGCCCTGACCCTCCAGTCATTATTTATGCAAGATAACCTTTTTGTAAACAATAACTCTGGCTCATGTTTCATGTCATATGTTTTCAGATAATGTGTGAAGATGTATCAACTTCCCCTGGGATAAATTCTGTAGTGGGCCCTATTGTAGGAGGAATTGTACGAGGTGCTCAGCGTGCTCGACAGAAACCTTGCATTTTACGGAGAATTCTTTTGATAATAAGAGCACTTCTCCTGAATCCCCACCTGTACCTCGGTCCTCAAAATTATGTAAATAAAATTGTTGTTTCTTTCAAATTTTCATATTACTTGATGGTTGTACACAGTACAGTATTGGACTTAAAACACAAATCAATCTTTTTGCCCAACATATTTTTTTTTTGCACATGTGTACAGGTATTATAATTTGAAATTGTACAGTGCTGTACAGTATAGGCATGTTTCTGATCTTCTTATGTGTGTGCCTGTTTATACAGTACAGTATGTCACTGTAGAATACTTCAGTTTCTGTATCTTTCTTTTTAGCAACTAATGATTTTTACAGGTACAGTAATGTCATTTTAAATTTTTGTGAGGAATGAATTACTAAGTCATCACTAAACATCATCATCCTCCCACAGATGAGAGATATAATAAATGTGTTGGTCTACTGCATCATCATTGAACGCAAGACACCACAGGATACTCAGACAATTCGCAGCTTGGCGTGTAATGTCTTAATCCAGGTTAGTATAAACTAGTGTCAAGAATGAGCTAGATTGCAGAGTTATAGAATCATTTATCATTTACAATTGACTTTCCAGTTTAAGCAGATTATTCATGTTTTATTGTAGACTAATATTGTACAGTATTTGAGGATGTGGAGGATATCAGGACATACTCTAATATGTTTGATTGAGATAGTGTGTGAAGGTTTCTCCACGTCTTTGAAGGTTGTGTCGAGAGAGCCTGGGTCTCGAGGAACTTGGGAGACGGTTGTTAGCAGTCTGGGTGGAGTTGTTGCCAGCAGCAGTCGTCCGTGGGGTCAACACGTGGGGGCACTAATTGGCCTTCTTACTCTGGGATGCCATTCGCTCTTGAATAGCCTCACGCCTATTGCTCGACCCTACTATAATCGGCTGACTCATGCTATTTCTCAGTCACCGGGAGCTAGTACTCGAGATATTCTGGATGCACACACGTCAAATTGCCTTTTACTGGTTAGTATCTTGGAATGTATGCAGGGACAAAAAAATATTGAGTAACAAAGCAAGTTTTTCTCAAATATTTTTTAATGACTCCCTGTAATTGTGTACTGTACTGTATACTGTGCTACATATCCTCTGTTGTTGTTTCTAAGAAAATTTATCTGTTTCAGGCTGGGCTGGTTAATGTTATGACCACCTTTGTGAGAAGCCTTCCAGACAATATAGTGATGTTTTCATCCTCAAAAGAATCTTCTCAGAGTACTATTAATGCTATATCTCCTACTGGTATTGGGGATGGGGAGGTTACCTTTGAGCAGATACAGGAGATATATAAACTAGGAGAGGAATCTTACGGCTCTGCCTTCATTGTTCAGATTCCTACCGTGTACCTTTGTTGTACACCTAACCAGGTTCCAAGCTTCCTGCAGTCTTCTGTTTACCGGGATCAAGCCATATCAGGGGATGCACTTCTCAATCCTCCTGCAACTAAACGATCAAGATCCAAGTCACACCATTCTACCAAACCTAAATCAAGAAGAAGTCAACCATATCCTCTCTCTCAGGTCTTTGATGGCTACAAAGCTCTTTCTGACAATAGGTCACATATGCAAATGAACATCAGAGGCTGTTGGGAGAAGAATATTAATAAGCTTAAAAAGAGAGAGTCTTCTCTCCCAACAGTTATTCCTCACGCTCACCGGCCGCTCCTTGCCCGCTGGTCTCGTCTCACAGGTTGTATGCCCCACAACACTTTCACAAGACCATTATATGCTCCTTTAAAGCCAGGACACACCTTGCAGTATCTCCTCCTTTAAGTTTTTATTGTTATTAATCCTAACCTTTATGAAGTGTTAGTATGAACAGGCAGCCACTTGTTTGACCTGTCTGGCATCATCGTAGGATTTTTTCATTTCTTTACTTCACATTCTCATGATTATTTATGATATTCATTAAATTGTACTTACATGTATCTCTCCCTTTGACACTATAGTACTTGGTATACTAGGCAGCATATTGCATACAAAATATTCTATAAGAGATATAGATCCAAGGATTTCATCTACAGTTTTTTCTGTAGCCAGGACTATTATATATTTATTTTGTTAATAACAAAAGAATTTTGAAGCTAATCAGACTTATTTTTTAGCAGTCTCTTAATTAATTATGTTCAACAAACTATAATTTTAAAGGATGTTTAAGAAATTCACTTGCAAGTTGCTTTAAATCATTGCTAAGAATTTTTATCAGTGTTTTGAAGAGCTGCTTTAATGATTTTATCCGATTTATTGACAACTGTTAGTGTCTGCCAAGGCCCTATAGATCTACTGTTTACTTGTACTAGTGGTCGAACCTCCCTTGAAGTACTGACCCCAGTGATTTTAACATGAGAGTTTGTTTGCTTAACTAGACAGTACAGTAGTTTTGTTTATATTGAATTAAAAATCATTTTTCTCACTATCAGTCACCACCATTTTCGACCTATAGACTGCACTTGTTTCCCTATTCATCATTTTGAGAGAGGTATCTGTGTAGAATCTTCAACATCATATTAACACACTACTGTATCTCATTACTGTTATCGTAGACTTTACAGCAGGGAATTAAGTTTTAAATCAAGCTCATTAGAAAATTAAAACAAAGTGAAGTTCGACCTATGAGTTGGCCTTTGTCGAGTTGAAGCCAGTACAGGTAACAGGATTTATAATTATGGCAAGTATGAGGGCATTTTAAATTACAGTATTTCAAATGTAGTCTAAGAGAATTACAGGAATCAGTTCTCATAGTAGTAGTACATTACAGTACAGTAGTTTTCATAGTAGTAGTACATTACAGTACAGTAGTAGGAACTGAAGAATCATACTGTATTTGAAAAGTTGGGCAATTCCCTTTTTTTTCAGGGATGAAAGCCATTGGTACCTGAAATTTGCACACGTAGGGATTAAAGTGGTTTAACTTATTTAGGGTTTCTTATTCCATTGTTGTGGAGGAAATAGGAAAAACAAATTTGCCATTTTCAAAAACTGGTTGAAGATTTTCCGTTAATTTTCAAGGATAAAGCCATTGGTACCCGAGATATATACGGGTATACTGTACGTTGTTCATGAATTAAGAGACCAATATTTTACACATCCATCCTTAGATGAAGAGGCAGGCAATCCCTACCCCAGTCAGCCTCTGCTACACAATTTCCTCAACCATCTTGGGTAACTGTCACACACACACACACACTACAGTAGCTATACTTTTGATCTAAATGATTATTTTAACTTCAGTTAGCCAAATTTAGGAACTGTATTTAATTAATAATTTGGCGAGAAATTTTGACCAGAAATGTAACTCCTATTTCTTTCATTAAGTCTGAGGTAAACTTGTGCTGAACCTATAGCGAGGTATTATTGTACTGTATATAAAATGTTTATTGGCTCGGATATTTTTGGACTTTTTACATTTGTAATTTTTCCTTTATTAGTTTGGTTTGCCAGCCATTTTAGAGTGAATTAAAAAAAAAAAAAAATTTGTCAGTACACAGTGCAATCACTGACATTGGGACTCGAAAATACGTAATTTTACAAAATGTTGGTACGACCGAGGCAGGTCGCAAGTGCGGGTGGTCGTAAGTCAAGTAGGTCATAAGTCTGGGATAGAGCTGTACTGTAATTGGAAATTCCTCGCAAATAATCGAACGAATTTATTAAAAATGTGAGTCTACCCTCAAGTCCAAACTCTATTACAGTACTTTATTAATAGAGCACAGACTTGAGGGTAGACGGTCACATTTTTAATAAATTTGCGAAGATTTTCCAATTATTATTTATTTGTGCGTGTCCATAAACACATATTAACAAAACAGGTAAAGTAAATTATTGTCTCTAGAACGAATGGCTCCTTGTCCCAGCCACAAAAATGACGGCAACTTTTAAACTACCCACAGACATTCTAGGGTACATCAAGGGTGTCATCCGCGAATAACCGAGAACCGCGAAGTAAAAATCCGGGAACTGGGAGGGGGGGGGGTACTGTATTTGTAATTGTATTCAATTTTCTATACTTGCCATAAAGAACTTTTACCCATGTTTCAATTTGCCATATACTGTACTGTACCTTTCTCTTGAGAATAAAAATGCCTAGCTCCTGGTATAAAAAAAATGCTGGTTTCAGAAGATAACATAACAGAGGGAGGAAGTGAGTGAATTCATAGATATATTTTTGATACATCTTGTGGTTACTACAATACAGTACTTGCACAAAATTATACCAGTATTTATTTTTTCTTTTTTAAAAATGTGGAGACAGGAGAAAAATTTTAGCTTATGCAACAAACTATACAGTACGTACAGTAATCTATTCACTGGAAGTTTATGACCGAAGCCTAGGGTTAGTTAGTAGCAAGGCAGTTGATTGGGTTGGTGGACAAACACTGGAAGAATCACTGTAATTCTTCAGTATTTAATCTTTCATATATACTGTACAGTATATATATTCTGATATTTTAAGGTGCAGTATAATATCTTTTCCGTGTTGATCTCTGACAATTTCCGCACTTGGGGAAGCAGAAATTAGCTCGTGAACATCTTGAAGAGAACACAATGATGATTACTAAATTTTGAGCATCATCCTCCACTACGCTGCGTGACGTCACATGGCAGGAAGGAGCTTACGTCCCAAATTTGTTTGTGTTGGTATTCTCTTTATATGTTTATTACGAGTACATTTCATGTTAATTTTTGCTTCTCAATTGCGGAAATCAATATTGAAAAGTTATTATCCCTTAAATTATGAGAATATAAATAAAATAGAAAAAATACTTAAGAACTGTAGTGGCTCTTTGGGTGAAAATCCACCAACCAATCAGCTGCCTTGCTACAATCTCACCCTAGGCCTCAGTTGCAAGCTTCCGGTGAACAGACCAAGTATATTTTTATCTTATGGAGCTATAAAGTAAAAAAACAGACGTTTCTCGCATCTGCTATGTGCGAATCTCGCTAGTTCATGGGACCATGTGCGTTTATGTTCGAAAAAATAAACAGACCCATGTGCAAAAATTTTAAAAGCAGGTTTTTATGAATAAGAAATTGTTTTGCAATAGATCCTTTACATCTGTGAAAATCAGTTACCAGTGAAAACTAAAGTATTACATAACAGCACCCTCTACCAGTACAGCAAGCCACAATATAACAACTTGTGTGCATTCAAGCCTAAATACTGGTCTGTTATCCAGAAAAGGGGGGAAACAAAACCACTCGTAACACATACCTCAACAAGCGGTGTATCTGTGCTCAACACATGAGCTCCGGAGCTTCTTTTAGCCAAGAGTAATACATACAAGGTTACAATAAACCATATATCCCTACAAAACTAAAATGCTTTATTTTACCTGACATTACATTAATTCCTCCACACAACCATAACACCAATATAAATATGGAATGTACTCAGATAAAATTTTAATAACAAAACTAAAACAATTGAATACAGCACCAAAAAAAGCAATTTATTCACAGTAAGAGATTTACACCATAGCAGCATTGGGGAGTGTGAGACAACTCACAGGCGTTTACTACGTGACTTCCAGTAGCCGAGCCGTGTTAACGAGCTACAACAAAGATTTGTTCCCTCTGACTTTAATTTAAACTCGAGTGTAATCACCTTGAAAAATCCTTTAAAACGAGTTCCACATGACATGAGAACCTGAATTCTACACCCATTGTATAGTATGTATTAAAAAAAAGTGACATGGTTTCAGTTCATAGTTGTATTCCATAAATTATTAAGCTTTAAAAATGATTATATACCAAGGCTAAAGGGCAGATAATACTACCAACAAGCAGTATTAACTGGTCATTCAGAGTCTTAAGTTCACCAATCACTGTTTTGGGTGTGAAAGCAAATTCTGTGATTGAATACCTTGTACTTTCAGTGGCATCAAAGAGGCCTTCAATGACTCCTCAAGACATAATAATAATAATTACATTATGCACTTGTGTCACTGAAAGACTACATGTTGTATACCACAGAACCCAACTGGAATTTTGTTTTCTTTGTTCTTGATAACTTGCTTACATTTATCTAATAGGAATTCTTTTGAAAGACAAAACAATTGTCTAAAGCACTGACTGGAGGGATTTGAGTGCAGATCTAACTAACTTGTGTGCAACATCAATATTGTCACAGGATTCACTGGGAGAACACTATCTATCCATGTTATTATATATTATTCACGATACATATTACTAAAAAACTAAAATACGGCTTCCAATACTGTACCCAAGTATTTAAACCAAAGCAAATTTAAAAGAGAAAAGAAGTTGTGAACAAACTGAAGCAACACTAACTACTTACCAAAGTCACTCTTAAGTTTGGTGAACAATTCTTCAAATAATATCAACAACAATATTATTTCAAGAGTTTTCAAATATACAAACATAAGAAAGTTTTGGTTGTTCCATAAGGTTAATAACCATCAGCTTCAGTGTTGCTTATTTTGATATTCACTGATGGTACATCCCAGTCAATAACTTAAAATTATTTGTGCATAATTTAGATGGATTATTTAAAAGAACTTACAGTACATAAAAATGTTATGCTCCTTGGATTTTTTACAGTTTTATTTCAACAATAGACTACCAACCACATCTACAGTACTACAGTATATTGTACACATCTACAATGTTCTACTTAAAAATTTTCCTTCCAGCAACTTATCTGAAACTTCCATATTTGATGTTTCTTGTCTATAATTCATGGATTCAGCAATTTATGATAATTGTAAGTCATAAAACTGACAAAAAGCTAAAACATTACACAAATCAAACAAAGAACTACTGTACTATAGTACGGACACTACTGTACTATGACACATGTTGCGAGAGAAACTTAAAACAGTAAAAAATCTGCTGCATTAACCCCATATAATTATAAATTATACTAAGGTCTGATGTTTTTATAAAGAATATTTAAATTAAACTTCTGTCTATATGTACTGTACTTACACGAGTGTTTACAGAATACATGTACCCAGTTAAATAATCCTCGCTTATTAAAAACCTTTCGGGGATTACATTGTTTAACAATTACCGAGTATATGACAAAAGCATTTAGTTCTGAATCTTTCTTCATTAAAAAACATAACCAACAAGCCTTAATTATTTGTATTCAATTGGGAACATTCAGCCTCCAGGTCTGAGGTGCAGTATCATGATCGATAAACAAAAAGCTTAAACACTTACCGAGACTATACAATACTGTGGTCTGGTTCATCATTAAGTTGTCCTTCTGAATTATGTAATATGCATATTTTGTTATACAATTTGCACCACTTCATACCAAAGAAAGCAAATCTGTGTCCACAAAATCCAAGAAGGCAATTTGGAATATCATGATTTAAGTAGTGTAATGTTCTGGCATGACATAGGAAATATCATCCCATGGATGGCGGTATAGACCTTGCTTCAGTCGTTTCTGGTCCAGATAATGACCTGTTGAAGAAAAGATCAACGTTAAATGGTCTCCCTCTAAGAGTGCAGAGTCTCTCACTAACAAGCAAATTTATACATCTTTGCCACCAATTTCATTACTATAGTAGCTGTGTAATATTACACAGGATAATGCTGTAGGGTGGAAATGGAAGGAGTCAGTTGTTGTTTGAAGATGTTGGTACAGTAATTTAACGTCAAGTTACGCTGTGCCTTTAAGTTTTAAATCACCTTTATATACATTTTCTCAAGAATGACAAACTTTACCATTAAAACATGTTAGTTTTCACTTAACAGAAAAAAGGGGTTCGTCTTCCCGAAAACACCAAACTTATAACCCAGTGTTTAGGCACAAGAAGTCATAACTTTGATTTTGCTCAAATTTCATGCAAAGGTCCTTGTTTGAGTGCTGGTTAAGGATCCTGTAGCAGGTGTTACTAACTGTCACTATCCTCTCTATTTAACGGACTACAGGGAGAGGAAAGTAAGTTATAATAAGGGCCCATTAAATGTAAACCCTCCATCTAACAAACTACTGTACAGTATATAGTTATGAAAGTCCTATTATATCAAGAGTCCATTAAATGTGAAACCCCCCCATTTCACAGGTTATATGGAGAGAGAAGTCTGTTACATGGAAGGCTCACTGTACCTGTACAGTCTTTTCAGTAATAAACATAAATTCCATCAGCTGAATACTGAATTTAACTTACCAATGAATCCCATTGATCGGCCGAGAACAAACAGACCGTTAATGGCACCAATGTTGATGTACTCCTCGGCTTCTTCTCTGTAAAATGACACAGATTCTAGGGTTGTCTGCTATAAACCTCTATTATATCATGCACACAAACACTTAACACTATAAATTTATTTCTGCTATTTATATTTCCAGGAATTGTGAACATATAATTATGATAACACATCAATTGTAAAACCATGAACAGGTAACAATTATAGCACACGGCACTGACAAATCCATTAATGCCACTACCCTACTGTACTAAAAGCTGGGTTTTCCAGGCTACATGTACAGTATTCATAATATTATACATCTAAAAGTGTAAACAATCAATACTAGGCAGTGCTGTGTCTATTATGCCTTCATCCATCCTTAAATGAACAACTACACTTACGGCGTGAAAGATCCTGAGTTCCGTAGGAGATCCACAAATGCTACTCCTATGACGCCATCAACATTAAGGATGAGATTTGGTTTCTTGCTGGTGGTGATCTTCTCAACTTCCAATGCATAGTCTAAAAGAGGAGTGGTGGGGAAATCTTTCTTCACAAAATTCTTGATGATTTCAACCCTTTTATCTGGATTGTTCAGCTGGAAAGATATAATTCTGCTCAACTGACTCCAATAGTAACAACAGCAGATGAACCTTGAGCACATCCACCCAATGAAAATACACGTGATTAAGTTGTGTGTAACAAAGTGTATAATATATCTTTGCATCTCTTTGATCTCAAATTTAGTTTAAAATGCTCCATTATAGAACCATCTACTCCCAAGCTTCAGTGCTGTTAAAGGGGAGGAATAGATAGAAGCTAAAGCAAGAGAAATGGGGGAGGTTGACAAACTAAGTGAGAATGCCTGTAGAGGCAGTCCTGATCACAAGGGAACTCATGACATAGAAGACCACAAAGGGGGGTGGAAGGATCGGGTGAAGGACACACTATAGAAGAAAAGGGGGATCAACCTGTGTCAGTGAACAGGGAGTTTGGTGGTTACTCGGTTGTGTGAGGTGACAGGTAAACTAAATCATTATATTCTATGGGGATTTGTTGTGAGAGAATATAACAATGGAACACATCAGCTTCAGCAGTAAGACTAAAGGAAGAATTTGCATTTCTCCTCAACTCTTGCCAACCTGCACTACAGCAGTGGGATTTATTCAATTTAAAATACTGTACACCCACTGTAAAAATTCCTGGATAGTATTGGTATATTGAATCATTTGGAGTTCCAAAGCTCAACAAGTTATTTGTTATACTGTACTGTACACAGCTTCATACTTCAACAACAAAACATATCAAATATAAATTGTATTCAAGATTCATGTATACAGAGGGGGAGAGGGGGTATATATTTTCACTTAACAAAAATGCCAAACCACTTACTGACTTGACTCTGTGACCAATACCCATGATGAGTTGCCCCTTCTTGCGCATTTCATTGACAAATTCCATTGGTAGTAAACCTTTGTCAAAGGCTTCGCTGAACTGACGAGCGGCACCGTCCAGAGCACCACCAAACCGATCACCCTTGAGGTAGTAAAACAAAATATAAACTTCTTCTCTGTGGCCACATATTCAATGCAGTTCAAATATTGGTACTGTACAAGTTAATAATTCTTATCAATTCATTACCTTTTCCAAATTCTTAATTCTATTCCAAATTAACTTTAAATAAATTATATCCTAACATAAATTACTGCACAGTACATAATAAATCAACAGGCCAGGTATTTTGGTTGCATTTACATCTGGTTAAATACTTACAATAGTCAACAATCCTGACACCAAAGAGGACACCAAATCTTTTCCAGCTCGAGTGCAAACAATGGTATTATGAGCACCAGAAACAGCAGGTCCGTGGTCAGCAGTCACCATCAAACACATCTCTAGGAAAGTGGTTGCGTAGGTTGGGAGACGACGCTGGAACCAGAGCAGTGACAGGGTCCCACCAATTCCAAGACCTGTGAGAGTGTTATAAATGATGTGTGAAATGTAGCAGTTTGAAGGAAGGCTGCAGTACACCTTCCTCTGTTGTACCGTGGTGAAATAATATAAAAAAGTCACATAGCCACTTAATGATCTTTTAAGCCTCAATTGGCATTTAAACATTCCCCTCCCCCCCCAAAAGAAAAAATAATCTCTAACATAAAGCAATAAACAAATTAAGGAGTCATCATGTCCAGACTCTTACCTTGCTCCAGGACAGCAGATATAGGCATGCCAGCATACAGCAGCTCCTGGCCTCGCTCATCACTGATGGAGGTCATGAAGGAAGCCGGCTTACGGATAAGACCCAATTCCTATGTGGAATGAAACCATACAATTACTCTCACTGTACTGTATATACATGCATTTCACTCCTTACAATGAACCCACTGGGTATTTCAACATTCTGTGCTTCCAAAAACCTGTTGGGTGGCAAACCCTGCCAGGTCCTGCTGGTGGAATACTGAGGCACTTTCATATACAATACAAAATGTTCTCAATAAAGACCACAATTATTTTACACATTACAGCTCACCCTGGCCCAGTTAAAGTCCATTGGCACAGTTGGTGGAGGAACTTCTTCCTTGGGAACAATGATGCCCTCCTGCAGGAGCTTCTGGAACACTCTGCTGATTTCCTACAATGTTGAAAAGAAAATAATAATAACGCTGTACAGTATAACACTTCTCCACACACTAAACACCTCAAACTAACTCTACTCTGCCCACATTGCCTAAAACTATAATTTAAATGGTCAATATACTGCTGACAGTACTTGATGTTTAACCATCACAGAAAACTTCTCAATATGACATCCACAAAGAATCTCTTGGAGTGACCTGGCATCTATTGCTAAAAACCTGAGCTCCAAATGTTGGCTCTGACAATTACAAATATACTGTACAGTACTTACCTCACCCAGTTCATCAAAGCTAGCTGGGACATGGGCACCACAGTCAGCAAGAGCCTTGTTCTTGGCTATAGCTGTCTCCCGCTCAGCATTGGCACAAGCACCAGCATGACCAAACTGCACTTCAGAAGTAAACATACCTGAAAATAGAAATAATTATTGTATTAGATAAAGTAATCAATCATCACTAAAGATGTGAAATAAATGAAATGGTCCCAATGAGCTCCAAACACTAACAGGGAAAAGATAGAATGAATTCTATCATCATTAATATTTGTCTGCAAGTGAATGATAGAAAATAAATATATAATTCCCAACCTACCAGCACAAGTTCCGATGCACCAAGCAACAATGGGCTTGACAATGCGTTTCTCCTTCAGTGCCTCATACACCTCATACTCCTCAATACCGCCCACCTCACCAAGGAGAACCAGCATCTTCACCTGTATTAATTAACAAATTTACTGATAGTATTTAAAATTATATATTAAGATTTCAATTAAGATATAAGAACATACATCTGTAGGAAGGTTTAAAGTATACATTATATCCAACCTCTGGGTTATCATGATAGCGGAGAAGATGATCCATGAAGGTGGTCCCAGGATAACGATCTCCACCAATAGCCACACCTTCATACACACCATCAGTGTTGTGAGAGATGATGTTGTTGAGTTCATTAGACATTCCACCTGACCGTGACACATACGCAACACTGTAGATGAAAACAGAATAAACACATCAACAACATTTGGTCATACAATTTACTGTGGGGTAATATTCAGGAGAATACAAAAGGCAAGAGTCCTCACTTTTCTACAGCTGGAAATGATAAATTCATCTCCCTACATTTTCAAATCCTCTATAAATACTGTAGAATATTATTATTTCATTTCCCATTATTAACATTTCAACAGATATGCCAGTCACTCCCGATGTCTTACTACTACTCAAGCTTACTGGGCACTAATGGCCACTCTCACCTCCTCCTCCCATCTTCCTGAATAAGTATCAATATCCAAAATGTTATTCTCCAACAAACACAACTTTATCATGAGATAACTTTGCATATCTTACCCCTGACATCACACACGGTGTTACTCGTGGAAGAAAATGTATAAAAACCACCAGTACTGAACCCACAGGGGACTCCACGTGTCCCTTACTGTGATACAAACCTTCCAGGCCGATAAAGTTTAGAGTGCAGAATATTATCCATCATGCCTCCAGTATTACCAATCTTGAAACAGCCAGGCTTTACCCCCCCTACAGTGGCCGGGCCAATGATGGAAACTCCCTTTTCGTTGGCTCTCTTAATCAGGATTCGAGTCAGGTTCTCTGGAATTCCTTCAGCAATGATGGCAATAGTGCGGATCTGAAAATCAACCAAAGAATATAAAACTACTGTATTGCAATGTTAAAATGGTGCAATGAAAAATATCTCAAATTACAGTAAAACCTCGTGAAGGCGGACCCCGCTAAGAAGAATATCGCTTAAGCCGAACAAAATTATTAGAAGGTTAAGCCTAAGACCTTATTAGTGAACTGAAATAAGTGTACAGTACTTTATGTACTAAATTACATTTTAAAATTAATTTTGATTAATAAACTTGTACAGTGAACCCTCACTTTACACGGTCAATTGAACCCACAGCGGCCCGCGTAAAGTGAGAAACGCGTAAAGTGAACAACATAACATATGGGATTAATTGAAATAGAGACTAGGCCGACCCCCAAACTCCACTTTTTCAGACACAATACCTACGTTGTAGTAAAAATAACTTCTTAAATTTATGATGGTATGCACACACAATTAATAATTAAGAGAAATATCAATAATATTAGGTTTTTTAACACTTACATTAGTAGAAAAGATGGCTGGGCACACGGGATGGTTCAGGCAGAGGGCAGATTATTGGCCCTCACCTGTATCACTTGTATCAATTGTATCACTATCCACCACAGAGGCTTGCAGGGCCTCTTTGTCAAACCCCTCAAAGTCCATATAAGTCCATATCCTCACTATCACTATCACTGACTTGGGCCGGCTGTGGTGGGTGGCGGGTGAAGAACTCGGTAATGTTTTGATGACTGGGCGGCCTTGTGCGCACCCTGCTCGCACCGCTCTCGGCGTAAAAGGGTACACACACCGCGGAAAGTGAGCATTCCGTGTTCGGCAGGGCACCGCGTAAACGTGGAAACGCGTAAAGTGGGACCGCGTAAAGAGAGGGTTGACTGTATTTGTTTCATAAAACTTGGATACATTGGTGTTGTTCTCGTTAAATGGCAGTCTTTTTGGACAACCTCTTATCCCGTACAGTACACCCCTTCCCCCCAATTAGTTCGCCTTATCGAGGTTTTACTGTATTACCAAAAGTTTAAGCAAAAAATATTTACATCCACAAATACATTATACACAAAATATATACACCTACAGAGATACATTAAAGTGACCAATACACATTAATCTATAAAATCTCATCAAGGTTCTCCTTGGCAACTTGTGCCTGTGTTAAGGCTTAACACACTATGTATATCTTAACTACAGTTCATCACTGATTCTACTCATTCCAAAACCTCATACAATAGTATATGTGTTGTCAGACTCTGTCCAGCCCATAACTCTTCTTTACACACACACACACCTGTCTTCTGCCTACACCATCTTTGTCTCTAGTACTGTACATTACTAACATTCACTTTTATCATTTTAATTAGGTTGCTTTTTTCATTTCCTCAATAGATATACAGTGCAGTACACACAATATTCTTATCCTCATATAAACCTAACTTGTTTTAACAGCATAGTTCCACTGAGGTACACTTGCCTGTGGGAAGCCCAGCGTTTCTATGGTTGAATCATATGCAGAACGTAGAGATGCAAAATTGATGAGCACATCTGCATCTGAATGTTTCTTCATTGCATCTGCCATGCTCTTGTATACTGTAAAGAGATAAATATATACACAATACTGTACTGTGCTATATATCTTTATATTCCTCTTTAACTGTCTCATATATATCCCATACTAAACAAAGACACAATTTCCTTTGTTCACTTCTGGGTTACAATTACTAAACACATTTTACAATTTTGAATATCCAAAACACTACGTTTTAAAATGGGTTCTATTTAATTCTCATCTTAGTTTCATGACTGTAGCAAAGAACAAAAAGTGTGCCCCCATTTTACTGCCACATGTGTGGTGTATGTAGTACCAATGTTTACACAAAGAAATAAATTCTTAAAAAATACAATACAGTACAGTGCAGTGCAGTACTGTACTGGCCACAAGAATGAACACTAAGGGAAACAGAGGTAAAAAATAAGGCAGTAGATGTGAAGTAACAATAAAAGAATATTATAGATGTCAGGAAGTATTTTCTTAAGGTTAATCTAAACTTCAAGGTCTGACAGACTGACACTGTATTGTACCAGATTCAAAGAAAAACTAGTAATTACCCATTTAAGGCATATTTATATTTAAGATATAACGAGGTATATTTCTATCATGAAATTGTGATTATACTCCTTCAACAAAGGATGGGTTGTATTTATACTGTAGTTACAAATAATAAAACTTGAAAAATTCAGACCTGGAACAAGAATTTCTTTGTGTCCCCAGTAGAACTTCTGCTTATGGTCACCAGTGAAGGGGTACACCATCGCTGCCACCGATGGCTCAGGTCGCGAACACACAAAGTCAAAGTCCAACATGCCCTGTAAAGATGACAACACAATAAAACATATAATCAAGTACTCTATCAGTTATGACTTTCATCCTAGTTAGGTGCACTTTCAATCATTAAAAATAGAAAAGACTTTCAAAATTGATTAATTATTTTCTTATATAATCACCATACAGGTTGAGGTGGATTCTGCTAACAATGAACAATAATAATGTTGAACACCCCAGTGCCTGTCACCTGGTCACCGCACATAGAAAATCTCTTAAATTTGTATAAAATAAAAAATATATAAAATTATTGCTTATCATTTCCTCTAGTGTATCAAATGAAGTGTTAACTCTCACTATTTGGTAAACTGATTGTTACTCAGGAAGGTGTCAACCCAAATGATCAATTGCCATCTGAACGATCGTCTGTTTCCCGTGATTTTTTCCATCATGCTTACATGATTAGGTTAGGTTAGGTTAGGTTATCAATCGTCTACTTGGGAACCATGCAAGTGGTGTGTAATCTTGTACAACACTCAGGGTAGGAACACTCACCTGTACAGCTCGTGTCTGCATGCCCCAGATGATGGCTTTTGTTTCCTTGTGGAAGAGTTGTGTCGAGTCTCTTTTGCTGGACACTGGTGGAACCTCAGTGTCATGGTCCATCTTACGCTCTGGTCGAGGGGATTGCTGTTGGTATCACATTCATGTTAAGTGTAATGATAAATAATTATTACTCCTATGTGAATATCTGGAAGTGTACACAATGAATAAACACACTTGGGCAGTAAATGGTAAGGTGTTTGTACTGTACTACATGAACAAATATCGTCCACACACAGCAACTTCGACATACAATTACATGTACCATTATTTAGTTTTAAATAAATACTGTATCCCATAAACCCTCCCCAGTTCTGTATTGCTGAATCTGGAGCACATACGGTACAGTATACACACAAAGTGAATGTGTATAAATACAATTCTGCCACTATATAACAAAAACAAACATGATAAAATACCATACAAAGAAATTAATTTTAAGAAAATCTCAGAACATCACCACGTAAAGGGATCCAAGAATAAATATTTAAGACAAGGGGGGGGGGGGGTAGAAGAATTCAAAGACTTCACACAAAGGCCAACCTTAGTCCTTTGGTCCTTAAAGTTACAAGAAATTTATACAACTGGCCACACAATTGTGTTTAAGACATGACAATACTGTACGTTGAAGACTTTACTTTTACTTTTATCCTCATCGCAACTGATCGGCTCGTTAGCCGCTTAGACGGTCAGTCACATCTGTTACACACTGTTGGCAAGTACTGAGCATGTACTGACTCCTGAATGTATCTGAACCTGCTCCAGTGTTGGCCAGGTCTGGCCTCAAATGAGTTCACACTCAGTGCTGTCATAATACTCTCTAGCAGATTGTTCCAAGAGTTGACAATTCTCACTACAGTATTTAAAAAAAAAGAAAAAAAAAGTTTGCTCTGACAGTTTTCTGAACTTATGACTTCTTTAACCTTGAGCTGTGACCCTTAGTGGGGCGGGCATCTACCAGCTCCAGGTATGAACACTTGACTGAGTATGTAATGTCCTCAGAGATGTTAATAAACTTCAATTAAGTCACCCCTTATCCAACTATAATATAAGCTAGGCAGTTACAGGTGTTAAAATCTCTGGATAACTGAGGTGCTTCCTACATTCCTATATTTATATTTTCAAAGAAAGAAAAAATTAAATAATGAAGACAGTATACTGTATGCAGTATTAACAGTACAGTATTATCTGTGGGTCTAACACTGCCAGAAAACTGAATACAGTATTGGAATTACATTAACAATTTATATACTTCATAACACATTCCCCCAAAACACTGAAATTAACAATAAGTTATATCACCATCCTGTACTATCCATTCATCCAGACATCAAGAGCAGAATACAGAAATCCCTGATAGCACTTAAGACACGAATCAATCTATAAGCTCGCTAACTATCAGTGACGACTATTTAATACTCTAAATTTTCTGTGTAAATTCCTATGGTTGAACATTTATACATACAAACCAATTTCCAAAATGACATTGTTTTTGACTAAACATTAATAAAGGAGTTGTATGCCAAAGACAATACAGTACAGTACACAATACTGGTCTTAAAAGCAACAAATAATAGGTAAACAATACAATACAGTTCAGTCCATACAGCAGTTTCCTTTACATTTGTTGTTAAAATTTCCACATAACTTCCTCTCATATTCTTCAGCTTATCTAGGTTATGAGGATGCAAGGCCCAGCAAACAAGGAAGAAACTCAGGCTCTTCCCATATGCTCAGGAACTGAATACAGTGACCCCTCGGTTAACGAACTCAATCCGTTCCAGAAGGTCGTTCGTTAACCGAAAAGTTCGTTAACCGAAACCATTGTTTCAATGGGTTTTTGGGTAATTGGTTCCAGCTCACCGAAAATTTCCTAAATTCAACAAAAATGGTAGAAAAGTTCACTTACTTTGAGGTGTGTTTGTAGAAGGCTCCTGGATGATGATGATGATGATGGAATTTAGAATGGGGGTGGAGGAGAAGGAAGAAGAGAAGGCATTGGGGTGGAAGAGAAGTCACCCCTTGGCGCCATTTCACCCATAAAATTTTAGCTCTCTTGGTGTAATTCAAGATTATTTTCTTTAAATCAACACTGCACTGCATTATATATTGTCAATATGTAAAATATATTTCAAAATGACCAATAATTTGCTTGGAAACACAGAAAAAAAGTGTTTAGTTGAAGAGTCTCAAGCAAGATGTTACCTCCAGTGAAAACAGAGAGAGACTAACGCATGTTTGCTGTGTTAAGAGGCTGGATGCCGCGCATTAAACTAGTCACTTTACCTTCAATTATGTTCAATAATCGTTAAAATGACTAAAAAATTGAATATTAAACTTTTAAAATTATTGAATAGTATAAACTTCTTGATATTTACCAAAATAGTAAGGAATTTAAGCCCTAGAACCGATTAATGTATTGGCGGACTGATACTAAAGCTGGTTGCCCGGTCAGTGCAAGCGAAAACATGAGGTCGGTTCGTAAGAAATTCGTTAACCGAATTTTTGTTCGTTAACCGAATTGAAGATCCTTATGGAAGGCAGTTCGTTAACCGAAATTTCGTTAACCGAGGCGTTCGTTAAACGAGGCGTTCGTTAAACGAGGGGTCACTGTACATGATTCTCTTTAATCTTTTATTATTAGCTTGCTGTACAACTTACCTTACAGCTGGAACAAATTCCTTAACTCATATTATAGTCATTCATTACATCTTGTCATTTTTATACACTACAGCCTCTAACTGTACCTGGCATGAACTACCTGTACTGTATATCCATAATTAAAACTCATAGTACATGACATAAATACAAGTCACTCCTCTGTTGAGTTCCCTGCGAGTTATGTTGTGTGTGAATGGAGGACGTTTGGGCCATGGGTGTTTGGTTTGGGCCAGGGTAGTAAGGACCTAACCATGAACCAAACATCCACTCACTGTTGTGTCCTCATTCTTGATCTTCATAATATCCCACAATATTCTCTCCAGCTCTTCTGAATAACATACAATTACACCTACAATTCCAAAACATTTAAAAAATTACAATTACATTACCATACAGTATATCAAATGCTAAGTACTGTACTGTACTCAAAGACTATGTGTTACTTTGTATTACAACAAACTTTTACAACAATGTACATGCTAGACAATACTTTACACACTCACGAAGAAACACTAAATACATACAGTACTGCACATCAAATACTGTGCACACTATTTAGGCTATAAGTCATAATAATACAACAATACTAACTGGTGCATTTATTATACATCATGCATTTATTGTGATCACACATGCTCAGTATATGGTTGGTCAAATGAAATCTTTAGCCAATTCCTACAACTCAAATAAAAAATAGCAGCAAATACAGGCCAAATATCACTGTTAAGTTTTAATGCCTCTCAATACTGCTTTCAAGCATAATTTAGAAATAAAGTCAGGATAAACTAACGATGCAATTCTTCATAAATCAAAATCAAATTCCATATTTATGAACAAAAACTCATGATGCAAAATCTAATGTTTTATAAGAGTATCGTGCAAATATCCCCAAATAAGAACTTCCCGAGTGAAGAATGAACAATATTAATATGGCCACTATGCCAGGGAGCCAGACAACACTTCCTCGTACAGAAACCAAGTGTAACAGAAGGAGAAATCAATCACAATTAAAACACAGAGAGAGAGAGAGAGATGGTCAAGTACAGAAACAGGAAGGCTTTATGATGAGTTGTGTCGAATAAATAAAGAAATGGCAACAATAAACTTTAAAGGATTGAGAGACTGAGAAGATCTCAGGCCACAATGGTGAGTGGATATTTGGGCCACTGTTAGGTTAAGATTAAGTCAGATTAGGTCCTACCCACCCTGGCTCAAACCACACATCCATGTGCCCAAACGTCTTCTATTCAACTACAATGTTGAGTTAGTTCACTATAAATGAGAAAAAAGAAACAAAGTGGAAAAATAACTCTCTTTACTCTTAAACTGTACGGTCATGTTTCAATGGAGAGTCGAGGCCAACCCAGCTACTAGCGTCCCTCTGACACAACAATAATGCCTAAACCAATGAAGGTCAATCCGATCCACACCCGATCCTTCTCGTCTCCAGCCTTTACAAACCTCCATAAATTAACCCAAAAAGTATGAGGACCAGAAGAACTTTATTGACTTAACCAGAGGCCCATCTTGACCCTGGATGTTGATCATACCTTCTGACTCATCACCTTCCAATTACAACCACAGAGACAGTCATCCAACACAGCTTTTCCTTCCATCATCTCAAAATTAAAGTAATGTAACAGTCAGGGAAAAAATTCCTGTCTGTCCTCCATCCTGAGACTCATGAACCAGTGAATCCTAAACATCACACTCTGTTAGGCCCATAGACAGTGCACTGGGTCGTGTAAGGTGTCTGATTCACAGGTTCATGAGTCTCAGGTTGGAGGACTGATGGGATTTTTATTAGTCCACAACTGTACATCTAAAGACGTCTTAATAATTTAATAATTACCAGAAACACTAAAAATAGTCAAAGATGTATTCATGACTTATTAACATTTTCTCTTTGTAATTATGATAACACAACATTCCCTTCCTTATAAGAATGTAAACCAACTCTCAATCCACCCAAGAAGGTTCAGAGAGCACACTACCTCACACAATGCTGCTTGGTGCCTGTACAGACAACATCCAACAGTTACCACAGATAGTATTAAAGTATTCAATAACTATATACTTCTTCAGTTTCAATACCTGTCTTGCTATTCTTAAAATAACTAATAATTATCGAATATATTAACGCACAGCTACTTGAATAGGCAATAAATGTTTATGGACACTATTCAACTCGAGTTAGATCATCAATAGCACCAGTTAGTGAAATAAGATGGTGTTACAGAACCTACGAGTATCACTTCATAAGGTTAGGCTAGGTTAGGTTAGGTTAGGTAGGGTTGGGTAGGGAGTATCACCTCATAAGGTTAGGACTACACACAACGGTCAGGGCTGTTAACATCACTCAAAAATACCCGTTTTCTGTTTGTCGGAAACATTTCCTTCAGATACGAGATTTCTGCAGGAGGACCCTAAGGAAGGAACAGAGAATTAACATTGCAAACACAAGTAAATGTTGGAGAAAGTGAAAATAAACAATTACATAATGATCAAGTGTCATGATGATAAGGTTTCTCCTGTACTGTACCATGTTTAACTCCTTAAAGAGTAGTGTTGGTGTTTTACTCTCAACCTAATTCTAGACGATTTTATTAAGATAAAAAAAATACCACTCAATGGGCTAATAAAAGGCTTTCTTATATACTGTTAGGACATGTTCCATTGTTATTTCATGTTCTAATTCTGGTGGAAACATCATATTCAATCTTGGTTTAAATTTAAAAAGGTACCGGAGCCATGCAGGACACTCTTAACCTATACTAAACAAACCATTCTGTAGTCTACACATCATCAGCAAGTTATCTGTGAGACTCGGCAAAATACAACATTAGTTCTCCACCTTGAAGAGCTCATTATTGCCAGGGAACTAGCCCATGTAGGTGTAGATTATACTGAATGTGTAAGTCTACTCAGCAGCTTCTCAGATAGCTTAAACTGGATTGAATCAGTGGTTCAAACTCCTGTCTCAATGGTTGCTATCGTTCAGTTCACGTCAACTTCAGATTAACCTGCTTCACTTCAACTTTCCAGACATACAGTACTCTAAGATTAACAGTACACCAGTGTTCCAGTGGGGCAATGGAGAGGACAACCACTTTTCACATTTCTATCTACGTATATGCCGGTACTGCAGCTATAAAGTTCGGAGTGATTTTTTGTTTCTTTTAGCTGCTGTGGATGTTATGGTACAATGAACAAAAAATTGTTCATCCAGAAAAGTCAAGTGTTCAGCATCACCAACAAGTGAATAATTTAAATACACCTGTATAACGATACCCTTTCGTTGAACCCATCAAAACCTCCATCATTATTACTACAATATGCAAGCTGGATCTCACAATGGGTGCTGATGGTAGTGACACCATGTGTATCTCTCACTACTATGTCATGGGTTCGAGTCCTGGCAGACACATAGGGGAAGGATATTATCCAGTGTGACTCTCACTACCAAATATGGCAGGTTTCCTCTGGGTACTAACACTGGACAATATAGTTAATAATAAAAAACAGAACAACCACCAAAATGGCTAATAATGAAGCTGGTAAGTGGTGAAACATTAACCACCAAAATGGCTAATAATGAAGCTGGTAAGTGGTGAAACATTAACCACCAAAATGGCTAATAATGAAGCTGGTAAGTGGTGAAACATTAACCACCAAAATGGCTAATAATGAAGCTGGTAAGTGGTGAAACATTAACCACCAAAATGGCTAATAATGAAGCTGGTAAGTGGTGAAACATTAAATTAATTCATCTGCTAAAGTACCAGCTGTCATGAATTACGACTTGATACATATTACCTCCATTGACTGTACTTTTGGCTGAACATATTTTACAGTCTGTTGATATTGATACAGTAAACATGCAAAAATTGATAAAAGGAGAAAATGAAGCAATTGAGGAGAGAAAATGAAGTATAACTGATTAAAGAAAATGATGTCACCTGAAGAAATAATATCCATACATCAAGTTAGGTTAAAGTCCATTGCTATTTGTTCTAGATATCTGGTTAATAGCTCCCAAAGTATACTAATACAGGTATGCATTTGTCCCCTGCCTATAACAGTGAAGGACAACTGACATCCTGTTGGCCTCTGAAAATAGACTGAACAAGCACTAGGCACTTCAGTATGTCAAGTTTGGTTACAGAGCTTGGAGTTTATTTATAGTCTACCTATAGCTCACCCAATGTGATATCAAGTAATATTAGAGGCAGAACCTAGAGCCTTATACTGTACCAGATTACAGCTAATATATTAAGCTAGAAGATCCTGAAGCTAAATCAATGTGACGAAAAAAAAAAAAAAATCGTTAACTATAAAGTGTCCAGCTGGTATAACATTATAATAATTAATATGTGTACAGAGGAGTGTATATTACTGCAACAAAATTTGTATACCCCTGATATTAACACTGTACAGTACTACAATAAAAATTTCCTGATGCTTTCAAAGTAGATAAATCTCATTGTAAAAAATAAGTGTAAAATGGTATTATATTTGATTTCCCTCAACATGAATAACAGTAGAGATCAATTAAATTCACAATACTAAACACACAGTCTCGCGTATACACACACCAAAAAGTGTCAGTCAAATTCTTCATTACCTACATTACAGTCCCTTAAATCACATTTTTACATCCTCTTTCGTTCACTGCACAAATATTATTGTGTCTGTGATCTCTCTATGTACAGTACAGGTGTACTCCCCAAGTGATCCCACAATTCACTGTTCAGAACACATCATAGTATAATAGTGAGACAGTAATTGTCTTGTTCTGTGCCATGAACTTCAGATCATTACCTTGGTGGATAGAAATGGAGAAGTCAAACATTTTCCAACAGCAAATGTGGCAACAGTAATGAAAAATAGTTACCAATGGTGAATTTTGGTACAAGTAGCTATTGGCAACCTACTGACAGAAGCTTTAAATACAAGAGGACAGATAAGCAGTTGGGAGTCATGACGGCATGCAACGAGCTAGTACAGTACGTCACACCTAAAAATCACCTTCAAACTGTTTTGGTTTGTAATTTCTCTACTGGTAGTGGCACAGGCCTGTGTGGACACACAAGGAACTTGTTATAACTAGGTAGTCCTCATTGGTAGCAGAAAATAAAAAAAGAGAAAATGAAGAGAAAATTCCTAAATTTCAAGATTTTTACTTTTTCCAAAACAGCAAACAACAACATCAGAGATAAGATTTGCATTAATTGTAAGTGATGATGGGAGTTAAATATATAATACTTGTAAGACACAATGAGGGACATGACTTACTGCTGTGTTCTGTCCTCCTGGCAACAGGAAGTTTGCAGTGTGACTCTCCACAGTTGGTTCCTTAGGGATTGGTCTTTTTCCCAAGGCCATGGACACAATGGCTGTCATGTGTGTCTCATTTCCAAAAACATGGACTGGAATACCCAGTGTCTTACCCACTTCACGCATCACACTGGAAGAGACAAAATATTGAACTTGAAAACCTCAAATTATAACCAAAGGGAAGAGTCCAGTGACCTGTGAGATCCCTTCCTACAGTACACCCCGGGGAGAGCTCATCAGTGACCACCAGGAACACTATTACACCTTCACTTCCTTATCTCAAGCTTTTCAACATTATCCCCACAAGTCTTTCTTTACTATCATCCCAGGTAACATAACAGTGTGTGTTGAAGTATAATAGTACTGTATATAGTTTCTAATAAGATTCTATAATCATTCCCACATAACATAGAGACAGCAACTATTCATACTTTGTAATGCTGCACCCTCCCTGTCAGAACACACCACCACAATCCAGGCTCTATAACCCACTACAGTACAGTATTACTAGACTCACCGTAGACCTTCCTGGTAGTTTGGTCCAGCACGGCGGACAAAGATGCTAACTTTCCCCTCAACCAACTTAACCTGGAACTGCTGCAAGGCTCGTACGATGCCCTTAAACGTTGCTGCTACGTTGGTGAAGTTGGCAATACCTCCTCCAATGATTAGGATCTGGAGGTAAAATAAAAAAATAAAAAATATAATAAACTCTGATCCATATAAATTTCACAGCACATTAAAAATTGGTCAATTAAAATAAACTTAAAGGCTGTAATGTTTTTCTTTACAGTCTAAGAATATAAGACTAAAAAATTACCTTTTGTGTTTCTATAACTTTATATAATATAACTTTCTACACTGTATCATCACTAAATAAACATACAGAAACAATACACAAGGTTTTACTGTACTCATTAATCCACAAGGACATAGTTTATATTTCTAACACTGTCAAGGGAAATATAGCAACAACACAAAGCAGAAGTGACGACTAATTGATTAGGTATACGTCTTAGTGCCACAACAGCCAAGGTCTTATGACGGAGAAAATTAATGCTAAAAAGTTAAGCTAAAATCAAAATGACGGAAAAAGAAAACCAAACTGGAAAGAAAAATTACCCAAATGGAAACAACAATAATAAACAAACCTCTATTAGAGAGAGAGGAGGCGACACACTAGTGATAAATACAGAAAAATAAGAGACCAACAGCATACATCACCTTTCCATCTGGATGATTTTCTTTGGTCATGAGAGTCAGGATGGTCTTGGCATATTCATAGGTCTGTTGCTCAGATGGCGCTCCTGAATATTCACCATAGTTAGCCAGTTCTGTAGCTCCTCCCAACTCACAGATGGTGTCTGAATAAATGACCGATGCTCCTCCGCCAGCTACCATTGTCCATATGCGGCCTCCTTCATTCAGGATAGTTAACTGAAATACAGTAATAAGAAATAATATAGACAGATAAACTATAAATGAGGGACATAAGAGTGTATAGGTGTGGAATAACTTACCCGATATTAAATACATGTACAGTAAACCCTCGAAGATCCGGACAATCCGGATTTCAGAAAATCCGGACAAAAAATTTGGGGGGTTCTGGGCAAAGAAGCCTCCTAGAAGTTTCCCTAAGAAACATTCCCAAACCAGAGCAAAGAACATTTTAGGCTCGTGGGAGCTGCTTGACCCGTCAGTTGCTTGGACACAGGTGCCCGAGGAGGTGGGAAACAAACAGAGTTGACAATTGTTGTTTGTGGGAATATTATTTTTGGTGTTACTTATATCATTTATTATTCGCCGGAAAATCCAGACAATTGGCTTTTCCGGATCTTTGAGGGTTCACTGTAGTAGTACTGTACCTGTGTGCAGATGACAGAGGATTTACAAACAAAAAACAATGTCCTTATTAAAACCAGAGTAAATAGTGAGCAGAGAAAATTTCCTGTCGAATACAATATCAAGAGCATTAAATGTTTATTTTCAAGCAGGTTGAATACTGTACTGTACTGTATGTCTGAAGATTTACGTGATCAGTGATACTGTAATCTTCAAGTGGGGAGATGCACTTGAGGGTCTCATGTAACTACCTTTAACGATGCTCCACTTTTAGCGTCCAGGTCAGCAATAAAAGCTTCCTCGGGTAAAGCGTCACGACCGAATGGAGGCGGGTAGTCAACATCACCCCACTTGGCCTTGCACATAAACTCCGCTGTGGCATCCAACTTGGCCGCTAGATCCAGAATGTAGACATCTTTTGAGGTAATCACAAGTGGGTTGATCTCAAGGTAGGTGAAGTAGAGGTCAGCGTAGAGGTCATACAGTGCCTTGATGAATGCTGCGGCTTTACTGGTGGAACCAGACAAATATTTAATGTTAGAGCAGAATTTCTTTATAGATTTTCCACCATTTTGGGAATGTATGGTGTTTATTGACCATTTCAAATTAAAATGTGAAAAAAACAAAAAATAAAATCAGATCACTTATGGTGATTATTCTTCAAGTAATGCAAAAATTCAAAACAAAACAATTTACAGTAAATGTTATGTATTTCAAAAGATGCGAGGGAAAACAATAATTATGGTACAGCGGTGTACTTACTCTTTGCGTGGGCCATTAACATGAGTAAGAAGTTGTTCTTTAATTTGAGCTTCTGTTGGTTTCTCTTCAATACCCAGTTCAATCTTAAGAGCCTTTGAGTCCACATCACCAATGTCCACTCCTCCCTCGTGTGTGAAGAGGATGGTGTCCCCATGGCGGTGAGAGTAGATACACACATAGGCCTCGTCACCTTGGTCGTGGGGCAGGAATGGTTCGATGATAAAACTACGGAGCTTCCCGACTGCTTTACCAACCTGTCCAGTGTAAGAGGAATAGTTTATCAGACAATCACAAGAGGAATATTTCTGAAACGCATCTCTACTCTCATGATGCATTCAATGACAGGCAAAAAACCTTTACTCAAGCACTTCTTTCATTATACAGGAACAGAGACGAGTGTTTATGGAAGATGTATACAACTGATACATCACTTTATGGATGTATTATACAGTACAATATATACAATACAACACCATTTGTGGATTTTTATACAAGAAATACACCGTTGTTTGTAGACGATACGTACAAGATACAACATTGTCTGGAGTTAACCTACAATAATATAGACAACAGTTAAAGATAAAGATATATATATATATATATATATATATATATATATATATATATATATATATATATATATATATATATATATATATATATATATATATATATATATATATAAGAGAGAGAGAGAGAGAGAGTTTTTTTTTAAGTTTAACAAACTTATTGACAAAGCTTGGAGTACAGCTTGCCTATTGTGAGTAATTCAGTCAGGTCTTGACACTGAGGGTGGTATATCTTCTCACTGGCACGCAGGACAGAGGTTCATACACAAAGGGGATACTAGTATAGGTTATATTCATGAGGGTGCTACAGGAAGGAAGGAAGGAAGGAAGGAAGGAAGGAAGGAAGGAAGGAAGGAAGGAAGGAAGGAAGGAAGGAAGGAAGGAAGGAAGGAAGGAAGGAAGAAGGAAGAGAAGGAAGGAAGGAAGGAAGGAAGGCAAAACAATCAGTGAGAAGGAAAGGAAGAAGACTTGACAGTTGGGAATTAGATACGGAAGGGGAGGGTCAGTCAGATGAGAGGGAGGGATGTGAGAGGGGTCAGTCAGAGGAGAGGAGGGATAAGGAAGGGTTAGAGAGGTGAGAGGGATTAGAAGGTAAGATTCTAGGATGGGAGAGAAAGGTGAGGCCGATAAGGATGAGGTAAGGAGGGAGAAAGGTGAGAAAGGTCAGAGAGAAGGAGGAGGGTATGAGGGAGGGTAGAAAGAAAGGGAGGGAGGGAGGGAGGGAGGGAGGGAGGAGGGAGGGAGGGAGGGAGGGAGGGAGGAGGGAGGGAGGGGAGGGAGGGAGGGAGGGAGGAGGGGAGGAGGGAGTAGATGGAGGGTGGCCTACAAATGCCTGAATCAATACCTCGTGTTACCCGGCCACCTAGTTTAGAGGACTATGTCTATGACGCGCGGCGCACACACACACACACACACACGCACGAGATAAAGGGTGAGAGGACAACTATAGTAGGTCTAAATGTACTGTACATGGTCAAGCTGGTGAGAGGGAAGGTGGAGGGGCGTGGGTAGGTGAGGGAGGTGGGGCGTGGTAGTGTATGGGTGAGAGGGCAGACAGGGCGTGGTAGTGGGTGTGGGGTAGAGAGGCAGACAGGCGTGAGGGTGGGGACACAGGTGGGTGGTAGTGGACGGTGTGGGTAGAGGCAGACAGGGCGTGGTGGGCGTGGGGACAGGTGGGGCGTGGGGTGGGTGTGTGGGTAAGAGAGGCAGACAGGGCGTTGAGTGGGGGGGGGACACAGGTGGGCGGGGCGTGGGTGAGAGAGAGACAGGCGGAGGGGCGGGGGACACAGGGTGAGTGGGCGTGTAGGTGAGAGAGGCAGACAGGGCGTGGAGGGCGGGGGACACAGGTGGGTGGTAGTGGACGTGTGTAGGTGAGAGAGGCAGACAGGGCGGAGGGGCGGGGGACACAGGTGGGCGTGGTAGGTGGACGTGTATGGGGAGAGGCAGACAGGGCGTGGTGGTGGGCGTGGGGGGACAGGTGGGGCGTGGTAGTGGGCGTGGGGTGAGAGAGGCAGACAGGGTAGTGGGGCGGGGGACACAGGGGCGTGTGTGAGAGGCAGACAGGCGGAGGCGTGGGGGACACAGGTGGGGCGTGGTAGTGGACGGGATGGGTAAGAGAGGCAGACAGGGCGTGGTGGTGGGCGTGGGGGACACAGGGGCGTGGTAGGACGTGTGGGTAAGAGAGGCAGACAGGGCGTTGAGTGGGCGGGGGACACAGGCGGGTAGGGGCGTGTAGGAGAGAGGCAGACAGGGCGTGGAGGGTGGGGACACAGGTGGGCGTGTGTGGGTGAGAGAGGCAGACAGGGCGTGGAGTGGGCGTGGGGACACAGGTGGGGCGTGGTAGTGGACGTGTATGGGTAGAGAGGCAGACAGGGCGTTGAGGGCGTGGGAGACAGGTGGGGCGGGCGTGTATGGGTGAGAGAGGCAGACAGGGCGTGAGTGGGAGACACAGGTGGGCGTGGTAGTGGGCGTGTATGGGTGAGAGGCAGACAGGGCGTGGAGGGCGGGAGACACAAGTGGGGCGTGGTAGTGGACGTGTATGGGTAAGAGAGGCAGACAGGGCGTGGAGGGCGGGGGACACAGGTGGGGCGTGGTAGTGGATGTGTGGGTGAGAGGCGACAAACAGGCGTGGAATGGGCGTGGGGACACAGATGGGGTAGTGGATGTGTGTGGGTGAGAGGCGACAGACAGGGCGTGGAGTGGGCGTGGGGGACACAGGTGGTGAGGGAAAGGCGTGGAGGCCGGCAATCAATACCCCGGCAGAAGGTGTGTGTGTGTGTGTGTGTGTGTGTGTAAGACAAGGTGGGTTGAAGGTTACCATTCAAGGGAAGAACCTGAGTAAGTTCGTGTGAGTGTGTGTGCGTAACTTTAATCTGTACAGTGAGAGATCCAACACACAGCCATATTGTAATCTGGTATATTCGAATCACACACACACACACACCTCACCCTTAATCAATGGACACCGACAGTGTCCCTGTGATAACGTACGAGTATAAACCCTCCTTATCTGTTCCTGCTACACAACATTTTGAGCTATGACTCACATCACCCGCTGACAACACTTTACACCGGGAAGCTTGTCTGTGAGGAGCGGGTTGACAGCAGGGGGCAGACACGAGTGATTGAATTGAATTACATTGCAACACAGGCGGCGATGGATCGCCAAGTCATTCACCACACCCAGCCCCAGTACCCCCCACCACCACACCCAGCCCACAGTACACCCACCACCACACCCAGACCACAGTACCAGACCACAGTATCACAGTACCAGACCACAGTACCACACCCAGCCCACGCATGGCAGCAGTATTCGAGCTTGGAGAGTGAGTGAGAGGACTACAGTATAGCCAGGGTACACTGTAGTGGTCACAAGTACACTCGATGACCCGAGAGATTCAAGGGTCTACTTCACGAGTCTTTGACCATTAACCCACCGTGGTAAATGTCATCCTAACCTAACCTAACCCAACCTAGCCTTAGTATGTCAGAGAGCCTCCCACACCCTCGTCATACCCGCAACAGTGGCTGAGTGAGGCGGGATTTACTCTGCCATATCAAGTCCAGTATGTCTTAATAAACCTAATCATGCTCTCTCCATACCACACACCCGGCCCATCCTGCTCCCGGCCCATCCTGCTCCCGTCACACCCGGCCCACTTCATGCTCCCTGGGTCACACCTGGGCCCATCCTGCTCACGTCACACCCGGCCCATCCTGCTCACGTCACACCCGGCCCATCCTACCACGTCACACCCGGCCCATCCTGCTCACGCAGTCACACTCCGGCCCATCCCTTGCCCACTGTCACACCCTGGGCCACCAAGGCCCATCCTGCTCCCGTCACACCCTACACCCGGCCCATCCTGCTCCCGTCACACCCTACACCCGGCCCATCCTGCTCCCGTCACACCCGGCCCATCCTGCTCCCGTCACACAAGAAGGGCTGGTTGTCTTTAACTACCGGTCTCCGTCACACAAAAAACAAACAAACCCCAAACCGGTTCTCTCCTTTCTACACCAGGGGCGGCAACTCTCTCTTAAACTGTCTCTTCACTTAATGACCTCACTTGTTGCAGATCACCTGAAGAATCCCCACCCCAACACTAACCTACCCTGCCCTACCTTAACACTGACCTGACCTGACCTGACCTGACCTAACCACCAATAGCGTTAGGGTGGTTAATCTTTAGGTGAAATAAACTGGCATGATTATTCTTCAGGTGATCCAATTATTGTATCTGAATAATATATTATTTCTAGACGTAATACCTGGTCATGATTGTTATATAATAAGAGAAATGGGAGGTTAGGTTACTGGATTCACTTCCTCCTCCTCCTCCAGTTCAACCTCCACCATTACTCCACTTCCACCACCATCACCAACACCACTACCAGCACCACCACCAGTACCACTACCAGCAGCAGCAGCAGCAGCACCATCACCACCACCACCAACACCACCACCATCAGCACCAGCACCATCAGCAGCACCACCACCAGCAGCACCACAACCACCAACATCACCACCACCACCAACATCACCACCACCACACCACCATCAGCAGCAGCACCATCAGCAGCAGCACCACCACCAGCAGCACCACAACCACCAACATCACCACCAACACCACCACCATCAGCAGCAGCAATCTCATCAACAGCAGCACCACCACCACCACCAACATCACCACCACCAACACCATCAGCAGCACCACCAGCACCACCACCAGCAGCAGCAGCACCACCACCATCACCACCACACCAACACCACCACACCATCAGCACCAACACCATCAGCAACTACACTGCAGCACCACCACCAGCAGCACCACACAACCACCAACATCACCACCACCACCACCACCATCAGCAGCAGCACCATCAGCAGCAGCACCACCAGCAGCAGCACCACAACCACCAACATCACCACCACCACCACCACCACCATCAGCAGCAGCACCATCAGCAGCACCACCACCACCCCAGCAGCAGCACCACCAACATCACCACCACCAACATCACCACCAACACCACCACCAACACCATCAGCACCACCAGCAGCAGCAGCACCACCACCAGCAGCAGCACCACCATCAACACCACAACCCTTACTTTGTGTGTTCTGAGAGAGTAACAAGGACACGACCAGAGGACAGCAGCAACACGACTCCTCACAACCC